GCTGCACCGCCGCCGCCCTCGCCTTCTCCTCCTCCTCTTCGTCCCCGTCCTCCTCCTCCCCCTCAAAATCCTCCAACATCAAGCTCCGTTGCGACTCCTGCTTCTGCTTCTGCTTCTGCTGGACTTGAGGTTGCAGCTGAAGCGGTTTTTGCATTTGCTGCTGCGGCGGCTGCTGCGGCTGCTTACCGGGCTTATGTGTATGGTCCTCGTCATCATGGCCCTGTGTGAAAATAATAGGGCCCACGACGGAAAGGTAAGCGCAAGACATTCATGGCTTCTTACCAGGTGCTGAAACCTCCAACACCAACCTCCTCCCCCACGGCCCGCCCAACCCACATACATACGCACATACGCACGTACATGCAGATCCGTGGCCCCGGTCGCCCTTCCTAACCCCCCCCCCGCATCTCCCGGCGCTGGGTTGGTAATACGGCACCGAACCAACCCGTGCAAATGCGTAGTACTTGGGATTGTGCGTGTGTGTGTATGTGTGTGTATGTGTGTGTGTGTGTATGTGTGTGTATGTGTGTGTTTTACACCTTCTGGAGTTACGTTACCCTCCAAAGCTGTAGTATCGAGGCCCCTTAACGAGCCGTGAGGGGCCCAAAGAGGGCCGCCAGTCGAAGGCTTTCCCAAACCAGGCGATCAGATATCTTGACAAAACGAACGGACTAACTCCTTATTTCGGTCCTATTTTTAACGGGGACTCCAAAATTTATGCATTCCCTCGCGCGCGCACACACACACACGCACACACACACGCACACACACACACACGCACACACACACACACATCCAGTTGCACGTGCACACCTCCATCCCGCACCCGGGCCCGTGTCCGCCGCCATCCCGCCTCTCGCAATCCACCGTAGTCAGGACCCACTGCCCCCCCCTCACCCCCCCCCTCACCCCTCCCCCTTACCTCCTCCTCCGTCTCCTCAATCGTAACCAGAGGTCCGAAGTTGCGCCCGGCACCGGACGCCTCCTCCTCCTCCTCCTCCTCCTGACGCCTGCTGCCCGCCACGTCCTGTAGCACCACCACCACCACCACCACCACCACAACTATCATCACCCCCACCATCACCACCACCACCCACACCACCACCACCATGACGTGAGGGCCAATCCAATGCAACCCTCGATCGGATCCTTACCTACCGAGTCGTCCTCTGAACGTTTTGCATACCACAATCTTTCCCTCTTTTTCTGTACATACCAGTCAGTACCTTCCAGTACCTACAGTTACTGTACGTACGGTTTTTTACACAGCTCATCTACACAATGCTGCATACCAAGGATAACCCAAGGAAACCAGACAGAGCGACTACACCACAAAAAATGTCGGTGACGCAACGGGGGCTTTACTACCGGAACCACGGGTCGATGACTCCATCATTGCTCAGGACTCACTAGGGGCAGTTTCGGACTTCGGACGCCTTCCCGCAGGCAGCGGTTCATTTCTGATTTCCCCCTGCATATGATCCCCCCCTCCCCACTTCATGCACGCGCGCATACGCATACAGACAAACAGACAAACAGACGGATCGGCCTCACTCACTCACCTCCAGCAGCTCGGGCGGAACGGTGATTCCCGGTACCCCGATTTCGTGGAGGCGTTTGGCGGCCAGGGCGGACCGAATACCCACACCGTCACTTCGGACGAGCAACTCCCTGCCGTACAAGGGGTCCGCCAAGGGGGTATAGAGTGGGTTGGTGGGGGAGATGGAGGAAAAGGGGAAGGGGGAAGGGGAAAGAGGGGGGAAATACAGGCGTGTGTGTTTTAGTGAAGAACTTGACCAGGAGGAGCAAATGCTGAGGATGGCGCAGACGTGTCCGCCCTCCCCTCCTCTCTCCCTCCCGCCCTCCCCTCCTCTCTCCCTCCCACCTTCGCCTCCTCTTGATCATTTCCACGAAGTACGGGTCCAGAGGATGGGAGGGCTGCGACTCACCGGTTTGCTGGTTGCTGAGCAAGCGGGGGGGTTGAGAGGAGTTTGGGATGAGGGAAGGAGGAGCGGAGTTATATGGATGATGACGATGTGAAAGTGCCGACGTCCAACACCCCAATGGAGGAGGGAGGGAGGAAGCAGTGACAGCATGCTACAGCTACAGCAGCAGCAGCTACAGCTACAGCTACAGCGGCCACAGCTACAGGTATAGCAACAGTCATAGGAGCAGCTACAGCAACGACCCAATCCCGTTCACTTTCTTTTTTTCGACCCTCTTTTCCTCCTCTCGTTCTCTCCTGTACTGCCGAACCTTCCTCACCCTCTTCCTTTCCTCCCTCCCTTCCTCCACCCTCCTTTCCGCGCGTTCAGAGTTCCCGCTCCCCCTTCCCTTCCCTTTCCCCTCCTCTCCCCCCCCTCCCCGCCCCTCACGTGAACATGGGGTTGCCGTCGTCGTCCTCCGCCTCCACCCAGTGAGCCGGTAGCGGCGCACTGATGGCCAGTCTAGCTACTTCCAGAATGTACGGATCATCCTGGCTAGGATTGATGCCTAAATAGGCACACATGTCCAAAATCTGTAGCGTGTGTGATTGATGATGAAAAGGGGGGGGAAAGGGAAGGAGAATTTATTGTTTCATGCTTCGAAATCTCGAAACGAAGTATGAGTGTAGAGATAGGCAAGTAGTTACTGCGGAGGAACTGCCGCGGTGCGTGGAAGCAGGGTGCATGCATGCATGCATGTGCCGGACCACAGTACGGCAGGAGACGCCAAGCTCCTACTTGGGTCGCTCAGGCGCATTGGTTCTTTAACTGCTGCTGCTGGGACATTGACCTCTAGTTTTGTGTTTCACCGTGCTTCCTGGAATCGCATGTCGGCTATCGAAAATGCTGAGCCCGGTGTCGATGGTGGTGGCTTCGTCCCTCTGGACGTCCTCGAACTTGCGCTCCCCCGTTGCCCCGCGTCCCGTCGGGTTGTAAACCTTGCCCCGGAATGTGGTGCAGCATTTCATGGCGAATTCCAACTTCTTGTGTGTGTAGTCGCGTTCATTGCGCCTCCAATGTAAGCTGCCAAACGCAAGTCGAGGAGGTTAGTCAACTGCGTGACAGCTTTCGTAAGCGCCTGACCTTCTTCGGACGTATTGCCCGCCATTGCTGTTAAGATTATGTTACCGTCATTACTATCGGCCACTAGTGCAACTTTCAGAATGGGTCGGTGTTGGGAGGTGATGGGTTTCACATGCGGGTTGTTCATTACCCAGCCAAGCTGGCGGGCCTAGTGACTTAGCTACTGTAACGCAGCACGGCAGGATGGAGCAAAATAAATTCTCGTCACCTATGCTGCAACTAAAACTGTCGCCATCCTTGCTGTTGCTGCTGTCCCAGTCGTGCACCAAAGGTGCGGCGGTTTCTCTTTATAGCTTTTAAAAAACTGCAGTTTTGAACCGGGCCTTCAGTTGGATCTGGCCCTTTCCTTTCTGTCGTACACACATCACGTGGTACCATCCTGCTGCATCACTTGCAATCACACGCACACACACACAAGCACTTCTACGGGCTCCTGACGTCACTCACCCTTTCCAATCAAATGCACTTAATAAACCAGAGCAGCAGCTAGGTCGAGCTACAACAGCTTTTCATTGGAAAAATCCAACACACGTTTCCGGTGACTTCGCAGCTCGCTTCGGTATATTAAAGTTTTATATCACTGTGTGCCACCACCATCAGCATTTCCCTCGTCACCAACTCCGGTAAAAGATCATTAAAACACCCAGAAAATGGCCCAGAAGCCTCCCACTCTGTAACAATTAAAATAAAAAACACCACCTCTCACCTCCTGAGGTGCTGGAGGCTGCTCCTCTTCATTACCCTGAAGCTGCTGGGAACCACCAAGCTCCATAAAAGCCGCGCCACGATAGTACGACAACAAGGGGTGCTTGTACTGCACCTCGCCAGTGTCTTTGTTTACATACTCCCTGTGTTCAGGGTGGTGGAGGGCCAGTAATCAGGGAGATGCCAAGGGAGCCGAACGCTTCTCACAGTAATATGATGACCTCCCGCGTACCCGCATCAGTACCAATACAACGTCCATGGGCCCCCGGCTTTTACGGACACACCCGCACTTGTGTGCTGAACTTGTAGCTTGTAACTCTTACAGTAATAGGCCCGTTATGCCATTATTTATGTTGACGGTAGTCTATGTTGACATACAGGTGTACATACACAGGGGAAGAACCAAAAGTGTGTTCCCCTTCTTCACATACAGGTGCACATACAGGTGCACATACACAGGATGTTTATCACTTGCCATGCAGATTTGTGCAGCTAGATGTGTGATGGTTTCCTTCAACTCACCTGAGATGTGATGTGCTCTTAAGAGGGACGTTCCTTCTCCTTCAAGTCTCTAATAAAGATGTGGTTTTACGAAAAACCCACATCCACATACCCACACCTTCTCACCGTCGCACCATTGCCGCATCGTATCGTGCCTCCCAGCCGGGGGGCAGTGAGTCCGGTTCAATCATGTCACTGATGACGGCCTTGATGACCTGGTACTTGCCCTGCAGGAATGGATGTGTTGGGATGTAGGATTCAAAGGTAAATTCCAAGCTAAGCGGGATGCATTTGGAGGTGGAGGTGTTAAAGGTGGTGTTTGGGTTAGGGGGTCGGGATGTGTTGCAAGGATGGAATAGGGTAAAACAATTCCCACAATCTTAAGAGGAAACCAAGTCCCATGATCCTGAACCTTTCAATTTGTCGGTTTTGATCCCCGACAAAAACGCATCATGGAGAGGGGCTATATTCCGGAGCGAGCCCAACTGCCGTTGGTTATGTGCAGGGCGAGACTGGCCTCGAGTTTGGAACTGTCATCAGACCAGATTTCCTTTCCTATAGATAATATTGACTTAACAGGTCGGACGCTCGCAAAGCTATCCCTGTGTTGAGCAGCGCACGTCTTCAGCAGAGCTGTTCGGTCCCAACCGTTGCCCCGGGAGGCACCCAAATGAAAAGGGGCGACAGAGCCAACGAAATGAAATACTGAACAGATACTCACAGGGGGTACATCCAGCTCCGCGGCTGCGGCCAATGCCTCTGCTGACATTCCCGCTTGCATGAATGCCATGGCTCACTCTCAGCGTGGCTCCGCGCCACGTGGCAGCGTTATAATGCGCTCAAGCACCTTTAAATACCGCAACAGGATTCGCCATGGCTTCTATCGTGCCCTACCATCGTTGTGCAGCGGCCTGGTAGCGAAAGCGATTACAGAGAGAACACTTGTTAAAGTTCTTATAGCTAATCTTCATGAGGTCGTTGATAAAGCCCGTCCATCTTCGAGGAGCTTCCTTGTAATAAGGTTTGGCATGCGTGTTGCATGGTTAACTTGGCGTGCGCTTAGAATTGCCGAATTCGACACTTATAGCTCCTCTCATCATTCTCAAGGTCATGCCTGCGAAACTGTGCCTGTAGGCAGGGCTCAAAGGCAACAGCTAGCAGAAACGAGCTCAAGACCGTACGAGCTCGTACATCCACTTGTCCTCAACTAAATGGTATGTCCCGCAGATCTATTTTCTGTGCGTCGTGGCAAGGAAGTTTACTTGCGTACTTGGCTAGCATATTGCCGAAGCCCGGCATCAATAGCTGCACCACTCACCAAAATGCAGAGCGTGTTGAAGTCGGCTGCGCCCACGGTCTCCAACCCGTTCATGGGTAATAAGATGTCCTACCGTGTGGCTGCGGCCCCGGTTCCTTGCACGACGGCCTTCCGCCAGGTGACGACCATGGCCAAGAAGAAGGGTGTTCGCCTCATCGTCACAATTGAGTGCACGGAGTCCAAGGCTGCGGGCGCTACTCCATCGCGCTATGTCACTCAAAAGGTGCGCGCTAGTCAGCGGGTTGGGGCAGCCGTCGTGTTGTTACGGCGAGCATAGGGGCCACAAGTTAAAGGAGAGTGCTGACAGATTTGAATGCCTCTAAGGTTGCATTAGTATCTATTCTTCTTTCATCTTTTGAGCTTAGGATGGGCGCAATCTTTGCGCGTATCTCGGCTCCTCAGCAGCCGGCCACAAAAGCCGTCGTCTCCCATCTATTTCTACGCCAAACTTACAGATTCACTCCCTACAACATTTTTTGATATCCAAAGCTGCTTACGGGTATCATTCTCCCGAGCACCGGGATTTGCCATTCTTGTGCTGACCGGATCCCCTGCCATTTCCCCTTTCTTTACAGAACCGCAAGAACACCCCAGAGCGACTGGAATTGATGAAGTATAACCCCAACCTGCGCCGCCACACCCTCCACAAGGAGGTGAAGTAATTGCTGCATCACTTGCTTTGTTGTCGTCCCATGTTTAGAGGCAGAACACCATGCAAGACCTTAAAAGTCTTTGCGGACTGCGGACTGGGACTTGACGGATGGACGATTTGCTGTGACTTCGGAACCGCCGCTCGGGGCTCGGCTGGGGTGAGGTGCTGGGATTTGGGTCAAGGCGCCTCGCGTTGCCTTGAAGCGATGTCTAAGCTGATTGTATGGTGGCTGTAGCTCAGTGTTCTGGTCGTCTGATGTTAAGTTGTGTTAATCTGCCCATGGGCGGCTTGCTGTGTTATGCGGTGATGTCGTCGCGTCAGGCGCCGTGGACATGGTGCCGGGACCCGAGGTTTACCGGCTCCTCTCCTTACTGGTGGAGAAACCACCAGCAAGCAGGTTATACAGGCCCGCACAACATCATGACGCACTCGGGCGGTGGCATGGACAGCTGCGCCCAACGAGCCGGATGAGCGTCCTTATTGCGGTCGGTACCATTTCGCGAATTTGCGGCCAGCCGATGATGTGTGGCTTAGCTGGTTTGACGCAAGAGGCAGGTGCAGATTGTACAGCTTGACGAGCGTCCGGCGATTCTTTCAGTTTGGTTTGGCGGTGTAGTGCCAGGTGTTTCAACAGTACGATTTGGGTTGGGGTTATGTGAGATTTTGACAGGGTGTACACGGCGGTTCGAGGATGCGTTTATGGCAATTTTGTCCATTTTCCTGTAGCCTAGACCACCTCGGACTGGCGCGTGTCCCATGAAGGAGGAGTGTCTGTGTTCCCCGCAAATGCCTCGTCGCGCGGTGAGAGTGGCTCCTGCAGGCTCCTGGTGTAAGGGCCCTGCCTCGCTCGTCCAGAGGGACGCATTGTTGCTCATGGGCCGTGACACAAAGCCAGTCTGACACTAGGTTTCTCCTCAGGAGCGTTACATGGCTATGTCAATTGGGAAAGTCCACAGCAGAACGTACGCGCGTGTGAGCTACCCCTTGTCACAAGTACAGCATGGCTTCTTACACGGCGATCATTTGGATGCCATGGTCAGCCAGTAAGCGTTCACGGCTCCGAGGCAGGTTTAGAAGCAGAAACGCTGTAACCGAGCTGTGTGCTGTGACAGATAATTCAGATAATTAGCGGAAGTCAGAATGCCACACAGCGGAAGAAGTGTACTTATCTAGGCACTTTATGTAGCATCGCACCTGCCCCTATACAACCTGAGGATGTCGTCTTGGAAGTGTGCGCAACGAGATGTGGCTGCAGCCAATGTTCTGGCTTCAGGTAGGGGTCAATCGTCGGAGAGGTGGTTTGGGTTGGGGAGCTGCTGGGATCACCTAGCCACTTGAACACAACAGTTGGGTAAAACACCCGATAAAAAAGGCGACAGTGTGGAGGTTGCGGAAGAGCAAATGAATCGCAATTCAACCAAATCGTTGTGGCGAAAATTTAACCTTCGTACGACAGCAGGGTTTTCGGAGTTACAGCTGCTGCACGGTCAAGATCGTCAGCCTCAGGGGCGCCCAAGAGGCTAGGATTTGCCCGTTGAAACGGTACGGCAAAGGTGTGCGCCCCGCGCAGAGCAGATCTCCTCTGCCGAGCCAAGGCAACTCGCCAAAATTCCCGCGGGTTACAGTGCAACCGCTGTGCAACCGTATCCCAGGACAAATGTCAGGGGGCTTGTCTCATGATTATCATTTCGCACCGCGTCATCTCTTAATTAACTTCTTGTCACTGCATTACTTGTCAGGGGTGGGGATACGCCAGGTAAGTCGACAGTTGTGAGCACGACATGAGCTAATGCGACGGGACGGCAATCAGTACTGTATCGTGCCTTCTGGCCTGGAGAGGGTTGCTTAGATGCAAAAGGAAATTGCAACATATGCACAGGTGCTTATTTCTCTGTATAACTTGCATCGTCCGTCTTTTCAGTGGCAGCTCTTGAATATAGGTATGGACATTCGCAATCACGCAGAACCTGCCATCGCAACTTGCATAATCTTATTAGACTTACTCCTATGCTTATGCAAGCACATCTCAACATAGGTCAGAGGTGACCGTCAAGACGATCTTGCGCGTCACTGAGCAACAAGCTTTTCCCTAGGGCTTATTTAATTGATGTCCTAAGTTATAGGATCCCTCAAACGTTGTACCGGACGTTACCAAGAGGCTCTTTCAGGCACGGAGGGGGTGTCGGCGCCAAAGCACATCAGCAGCTCACGGGTCGGTAATGGCGACCCAGGCGGAGCCCATGGATGCAGCTCCTGGTATAGGAAACGAAGCTGCTGAGCCGGAACGTGGAGGCGCTCCGTCAGGGTCGCCGGCAGCGTCGTCAGCGTATATCTCCAGCGAGGCGGACTTGATAGCCTTTACCCGCCTTCCTCTTGAGGAAAGAGTATTGACGGCACAGCTTCGAGGTGTCCTGGCGGAATCAGCGCTGACGGGGCGGATTCGCTACAAATGGCCGCTGCTGCGACCTCTCGTTGACTTTGTACTAGAGCAGGTAAGCCTTGCCGGTATAAGTCTTAGCGAGGCTGTTTTAGAATTTCCTGGGTAGTGACGAACGCCGCCTGGATTATTTACAGGTGCTGTCAGCTTACGATGCCGAGACGCGGGTTGAAGTCGGACCTCCGGGTCCCGACGCAGTGTTAGAAACGATTGAGCGGTTCCAGAAGCTTTTATCAGCCTTCAGTGATGCCCCCTGGACGTTTCAGCGCTTGTGCGAAATACTCCTTGAACCAAAGCGGCAGTACTCACGACTACCCAAGGCAAGTTCACGGACGTATCTGTGATGCATGGGAGGGGCGTGATGCAAGGACTGCCCAAGTGTACGAATAGAGCTTGACCTGATGGCACTAGGCCAGCGTGGTTCGCCCAGCACGCATGGGACGATGGTTCTGCACGTGCCCCTCAGTTGCTATCAAAATGATAGGGCTGTTCTGCGCTCATCCACTTCACACTGGAGCTTGGGCCATGCCAGCTTGCAGGCAGCTTCGCTCCCTAGGCCATGGCCCGCCGACCCCGATCTTTCCACAACCGCACCGCCAGCCGCTTCTGGCTGACATAGCTGGTCCTGCTGTCTCACCGTTGACAACACGCCCTCGCTCCCTGTCATTGCGCACGTCCGCGGTCAATAGCTGAGATTAGGGATGTTGACAAAGTACCACTCATCCTCCATCCAACCTGAAGCCTTGCATGCTCCCTCCCCAAAATGGCATTTACGGCATCCCGGCGCCACTAAATCCACTACAGCTGGTGCTGGCCATTGAAAAATGCTTGCTCGTTACCACGGAGCAGCCGCCCACGGACCCGGACCAGCTCCCACCGCCACCGCTGTGCAGCACTCTGGGGCCGGTTAACACCAATCCACCACCCGTGTACACGAACGCGCATCACGGAAGCCACAGCGGCCATGGCGCAGGCCCGTCAGGTGGTCCCGATGACTCGTCCGGCTTCACAAACTCCTTGCTGGACGTGCGTCACCACCCGTCGCACCACCTGCACCATCACTTCAATCACGTCGGCCCTCCAGAGCACATCGAAGAGGATCACTGGCCTGAAGGGTTGCCGGAGGGGAAAGGGGCCTTCAAGGCCGCTGGGGTCGGCCTGCACGGTGCACTGAGATCCGGTAGCGGCGGAGGGGCAGCGGGACATGGCTCCCCCGGTGTTGGCGGCGGCGGTGCCAGCACCAGCGGCAGTGGAAGTCCCGGAGGAGGAGTTGCCGCAGCAATCCATGACGGGCCACATGGACTGCATCATAGCCCACCGGCGGTAGGATCCGTGTCGCAACAGGCGGCACCCGTAAGCTGCTCACATACCATATTGAGTGTGCTTGGAACGGGGGGTATGAGCTGTGGCGCCGGTGGGGGGTCAGCGGCGACCGCAGCGACAGGGTGCTACATTGGCGCCAATCACGGCTCCCCAGCCAAAGGCCCTAGCGGGAATGCGGCAGTGATGGACAGTGCGCCGGGTACAGTGGATTCGTCGGTTAGAAACGCTCCTGACGATATGGTAGACGTGTCTGGGCAGGTGCTCTCCGGCTGCGGACACCAGCGGCAGCAGCAGCAGCGACCTCATGCGGAAGGGGGCTCGGACGGCGTGAGTCGTGTTCATGGGCCGCCGGGCGCAGATGGTGATGCTGGTGGTTCGCCGCCCTCCGTTGAACGCTGTCCGGTGGTGGTGCTGAAGCCGGTTGCCAGGCCGGGTGCTGTGCCCGGCAGCGGCAGCGCCAATGGCGATACGGGCTGCATTGAATCCGTACAGGGCACCAATGCGAGTGGGACGGGGATTGGTTTCGGAGAGCAAGCCCCCGGTGAGCAGCATCGGCAGGCAGCAGAGCAGGGGACTGGGACAGGCAGTGCTTCTGCTACAGTGGTTGTGGGGGAGGGCCGCGGTAAGGTGGTCGAGTCCGACGCTGGGACCACTCCAATGGCGCCCGTCGGTATTCCGCCACCGGTGGGTTGAGTGTTGTGTCGTGTTTGCAGCGTTTTCCTCTGTCGCCGTCTTTAGGCTCAGCAGTGGGGGTTTTATGTTGCATGTTTTCCTAGATTGCATCAATGCAGGGACTGGACAGGGACTTCGACAGGCCTTCTGTAGAGTCGCAGTGGCGTGCATTTTCCCCGCGTGCGCGCCTGTGAGGTAACCCATATGCCTGATCCGGTTCGTAGTGGACCTTGTTGGTCTTATACAATCATATGCGAGCCTTTTGGCCTAAGTCCATGTCCGCCGTACTTACAATGTACGACAACTGCAATTGAACTCTGCTTGCAATTGCTCATCCCTAGTAGCGTTCCATCTTCGGGTTAAACATTGACGCCATTTGGCGGGGGTTTCACAGTGTTTGCCTATGGCGGTGGTTTGTGTAGCCGTACATTGTGTGAGCCTGGATGAACACGAACGCTTGCCTGATTTTGGACTTAGCCTTAGTCTTCGTTGTACTGAAGTGTATATCATGCTGAAAAGGAGGAGCAGAATAGCTGCCTGCTGTTGCCTTGGTGTGTGTTGGACGTGCAAAACGTGACTGTAGGGTGAACAGTGAAAGCAAGGCACTCCACAGCGGAGGGCAGTACAGCAATCTTACACAGAACACATAAGCCTTATTATAGGATAGCTGGAGGATAGCAAAACGGAAGACGCAAGGTAGATTCTGGACATCGACAAGGCTGCCGGCGGAACCAGCGCTCTTTGGAAGAAGCATATATGGCGTGGCGCGACGTGCCATTTCGTCGTAAATGCATTCTTATATCAAGCTTTATTTTGTGCTGCGTGTCGCTGGTTGGCTACGCGCGTAATTACCTGACAGCGGAGGGCGCGCTTTTGACAATTTGTATTTGCTACTTTTCTCTTCGGATTATGAGATCTTAGGTATCTCATTGTGATGGCCTGGATCTGGTTTGGTTCCTTGAAGAGAGTCGGCTGCTGAGCATGTGCGATTGCAACGTCCGGTAAGAGCTCCCAAAAATCTAGGGTATGTAATGACCCCTGGGAATAGTCTGGAGTTTCTTGGATTGGATGACTATCCCGAGCTATCATCTCAACGGCCTGGACGGCAGCTGCGAAAGTCTGGTGCTGTGGTCTGTATTCCACTGAGCTCTGTGAAGCCAACATCCGCACGACTACTATAACAAAATTAGATTACACTCAACAGGCGTAAGGAGGAATGTCCGTGGAACAGCTGTGCTTGACATTTCTTTGTGCTGGAAAGGGGCCAACTCGATATGCGCGCATGCAAAACGTTTATGCTGTAATTCTTCAGCATAACCAGGAAGCGTATAAGGGTATGTGCGTGGCGGGGAGTAAGGGGTTGCTTACCACTAGTTAGAGCTGAGAAAGGATGGCGGTATGCCATACTGCATGATGGCGTCATATTCGGGAACTATTACTACTACCAAGGAAACGCGCGGTGATCCCTTGCAGCGGAGCAGGGGGGTTAGAGCTGCGCTACCTCGGAAGCGTGGCGATTACGTTTCGCAGCACGGCGTGCTGCACACGTTATGGAGGTTTACCAGTGCCCTCTCAGACACGGGATCCTGGCTGTCGAGCTCTGGTCCCTTCAAATGAACCGCGTGCAGTTCGTGTATCGTGCCGCCGGGTCGGCCGGGATGAGTATCACCAAGGCCTTATCCGCCATATCCAGCAGCAATACGGCATTTGAATATGAATAAGGAGGCATATGTATTTATGTTCGTATGTGTGACGTGTGTACAAGTGTGTATATTATGTGTGCGCATGCATAAGAGTGTATGTGTATGTACGTGTCTCAGCGTGTTTCTGTGTATAACTGTATGTGTGTACATGTACATATGTGCATGTTTGTATGCATGTTTATGTGCATGTATATATGTATATGTATGTGTGTACATGTATGTGTGTGCCCGTTAAACTGAGGCTACAGACAACGCAGGAAACGTTGCAAATCCAATAGTACGTCCCGCGCGTCTACGAAACAGGACTGGTATCGACATCATAAAATATCCTTAATGACAGCGACTAAATTATGTACGGCAGCTAAAGATCCAACCGAACGGTGGACATGCCATATATAGCTCAGTTCCTAAGCAGCACCGGCGTTACTCGTCGTTCGTATCCGCAGCCGTACCTCCGTACACTCAGCAAACCCGAATAAAGGAATGAGTGGCCTGGCAGCCCGCCGTACTTTTTATCAAACGTAATGACGTGGCTCAATGCACGTCCGCTTGGCTTGGTTCAGGACAGCGCACGGCAAGGGTACCGCTGCCTGCTTAGGAAAGTTCAGTACTACAGAATCGTCACACGACAAACCAACCCCTGTTTGCATCTTTCCAGACCCGGACTACGTGGCATGCGGCTCGCGCTCCCGTTTTTAGTTAATGTGCAGATGTCAACTGATGGGAGGTGGCTACAGAAGTCCCCTACATTTCTAATTCTACGCACGACATACGTTGTCCTGCCGTACTTCCTAATTTTGTGCATGGTACGTTGTGCTGCCGTACTCTCACAGCGCTGACCGTCCTTCTTGCCACAACCATCCAACATCCAACCACATATGTGAAACATCCTGACCAGCTGTACACCTATACGCCGTACAAGTGAAAACGAACAAATGGCCGCGAAGCGCATGCACGTGTGCCAGCAGGTTTGCTCACGCTGCATTCCCCGCACATTCTTAATGCGGCACAATTCATCAAAAAACACACATGCGCTACTCGACCGACAACGTTTACACATGTACCTAATCCACTCAGAACCTTCGCAATCATGTGCGACGGGCAAAGCCCAGGGCATATGTCCCATACACCTGTCATGCGCCTGCACGGTGCACAAAGTAAGCGTAATTTGATGTTACCCATCAAACACCGGGGTACTGTCCCTCCCTCATCTACCAGTACCTCTCCGACCGGCAGTCTTCCGTGCATGGCGAGGCTGGCTGGCTGGCGACGCCGTACAAGCCTTATAATTGCCGTATAATCCGTGCCATGCACACACTCCTTGGAACGAGTTCTGCTAATGTCTATGCAATGACTAACGGACAAATTTCTGACATGCATTTCCGTACCGCCGCTGCCGTACACACCTGATACCGCGATAGGGTGGCTCCGATAGAACGTCGTGATAGCCGCTCTCTGCCTTTCCACCTACCTCTTTTCACCTCACTGGCCAGTGGCTTGCGAGCCAGATGCAGGGAAATAGACGTATCCTTGCCGACTATTTCACGCACAGGGATATATCCCATGTGCGTCAGAGCGCAGCTGAGGCCCTTCTGTTTAACACACTGAAAAGCGCCCCTCCTGCCGACCCCAACCACAGCGTCCATGGATGTGCCAACGGTATATGCCAACGAGCAACTGTTACCAACAGCGTACAACGACGTATGTCAACGAACAATGATGAGATCAACGGTGCAATGCGCTGGGAATGGAGCCATCATCTTCCTTTTTGCATCAAGTACTCACAACCACCTTATAAAGGGTTCTGTAGCAATGCCGTACGCGGTTCCTACAGGAGCTTTATCTTACTGCAGCTGCAAAACAGCACGACGCTTTCGGCCTGTTGTCCTGGAGCCGATGGCGCCTGGTGGGGCATCCTATTCAATGTCCACTTTCCAGAAGGGGCTTCTTCCCCGCGTCCCCATATGGACATGCTCTCTTCTTCACGCTTGCCTCCCTCCCAGGAAATGCCGTACCGCATTAAGTGCCGTACCGCACGAGACGACGACACTCAGAGGCCATCAATAGTAATCGATCAATCGACCAATCGCCCACAGCCACTCATCCACCCCGCCATCTATCTCATGAGCCTCATGAAACGGATTTGACCGTTAGTACGTATGCAATCACCAGTACGACCAAGAGCATGCATGTGAGCAGTACCGGGCCCCGCTGGTCGTCGTACCGAACGGACTCGCGGCGCAAGATCTGCGCGCTACGCTTGCGGTACATGTACAGCGCATACAGCATGAAGGCCATCGCGACGGGGGCCATTGCCATGCCGGCGATCTGCGTTGCCATACAATACAGCAAGTGAGAAGGGGCTTGGACACGCAAATTCGGTTCAGATTAATCAATGTCACCTCGATCTCTTAATTACTTGTGGTTGAACAAAACGGGTGTTACATTATCGCCGCTCTTTTTTTCCGCATACATAGACGATGCGTTTCGTTTATTGACTCCAAATCTGGAATAATTTAACGCTACCCCTTTCTTGACCCAGGTCAAACCTGAATTCGACCCAGTTCCAGCCTCTGCTCTTCCCACCCCATCCCACAACGACCTGCCTTCTTGAAGTGAATACAAAATCGTGTCGTACAACCCTCGATACAACGATACAACTTAGGGTAACTCTCCTCCACATACCTGGCTAGCGTGGCAAATGCCACCCGGGCAGGCAGGCTGTCGTTGTACGACATTGCCAGTGTCGGTAAGCGCCTGCTCTACAACGGTTCCGTCCGGGAGTGGTACGGCAGTTGCACCCGGCTGGGGACCAAAAACCGTCAACCGGTCCGCCATAAGGCTCAGCGACGTAAACATTACAAGTACGGCAATGTTTAGCCACGACAGGAAGGTTCGCTCGGCTGCGAGCGGGACAGAGAGGTACGACAGGTATGTGCGTGTGACTTCAAAACTTTCAGTGCTTGGATCCAGGCTGGGTTTGGTTCCCGGGGGGCGACAAGGGCAAGGGCAAGAGTAGCGATGCGATAAAATGGTTCACAGTAAACATTTCAATCCTCCAGTTCCCAATATAATTGCCAAAAACAAAGAGGTCCAAGTTTTACATCGTACCGGCGAAGAAAGTCTTCGGTTCGACCCGCGTCCGCACCATTGCTGCCGCGCGAGGCAGCTCGTAGCCGCTCCCGCCGTTCTCCACATCGCCTCCACCGCCACCGAAGCCGCTTCCACGTCCTCGAAGCGAAGCCCACTTGGCAGCTGCCCAGGAGCCGCCCATTGCCTCGCCAGAGGCTTGAGCGGGCAACGGCCTGCCGATATACATACACACAAAACATGCATACATGTAAAAATAAATCACAGAAACATGCATACATGCATACAGGACAAACGAAAACGTGCATACAGGAAACACGCATTCTATGGAAAAACTACCAGCCTATCATTCGAATATCATTTCATATCCCGTCATTTCAGCATCGACCAGTTTGCTGTTAGCTGCTACAGATAGCACCACCCCATTCCGCCATTTTTAAACCGCACACAGCGCGGTGCCCGTACGGTGCAGTGCCGTACACAGTTCCAGGAAACGCCCACGCAGCTGCCCCAGTTCCGACACCCACGACACCTTCACGCACCCTTCAGTGCGGGACGAAGGCGGCGATACGCGGCCCGCATGGCTCTGTAGGAGCGACTTTAGTGACTTGGTTACGCCGCCCCGGCGGAAGCGTGGAGGCCATTTCTTGCTACCGCTGACGCCACCGGCGCTCATGCTGCGGCTGCCGTACACATCGGTGGTGTCCTTTCCATTGGCGGCTAGTGCCTTGAACCCTACGGAGCCGCTGCCGCTGACGCCGCTGCCACCGCCGCCGCCGCTGACGGCACCGCCGCCCCCGCCACCGCCGCCGCTGCTGGTGCTCTCTGCGCCCCTCCTACTGGAGCTCGACAAGATAACGCTGTGCGAGGGAACGGTCGCAAGGGACAGCGGGAGCGGCGAGATGGCGCTGGCGGAGTACGGCACATCGGCCCCGCCGCCGCCGGCGCTCATGCCGCGCCCGATTGCCGTGACAGCGGTGGCGCCGCCGATGACGCCACCGCCACTGACGCCTTCCATGGCGTCGGTGGCGATGCCGGTGGCGCCGGCGGCGCCGGCAACGCCCCGCGAAGACGCGGGCGACCCACGGGTCATTGTGGCCGCGGCTGCGGGCCCTACGGAGGTACGTGCTTCTACGGTTGGCAGGTAGCTACTCCGGACACTGCTCGGGCGACTTAGGTCGCTGCTGCTGCGGCTGTTATTGCGGCTGCCGCTCTGGGGTTGCAGGGCGCAGGGCAGAGGATTTATTATCAAGATGAAGATGGGGACAATTAACATCGGAGATCGTGAATTACAGGATTCCGCCGGAGACAGGATTCGAAGTGGGGTCGCTGCGAATTAGCGAAAGCCAGCGTTGGTCCTTTCCGAAAAGCGATCCGTATAAATCATCATCATTGGCCCGCTGCCATACGCAGCCGCTCATAAGCTCGAGACTGTTCAGCACTCCTTGGCTTGTCCTGGGCTTTGTGTCAACCTCCAAATACATGAAAACGCACGCTGACGCGGGCGCCCCCTCCCCCCCACACACACGCACACACACACACGCACACACATACGCAGGAATGGAACAGGATACAAAACAGGCGTGATTTAATGCCTGAAAATGCGTTGCCGTACCTTTTTCGTACTGTTGTGGGACGAGTCGGAGTCGTCGGGCCCTCCGTGCCGTGGGGGGCCCACCAACACCGCCACGTGATCGCCACCGCCGCCGCTTCCCACGCCCCTGCGGATAAGGCCCGAGTGTGCGCCCTGTACGGCACCGGTATGGAGTGGCTGATGGCGCAGGGATGTGGAGGATCCGCGAATTGTACGGGCTGGATCCACGTCACGTTGGCCACCAGCGCGCAGACCTCCCCGTACGGCAGCCAAACCGGAATCCGGATCTGAATCTGAATCTGGAATGATATCTTGGGCTTGGTCGGGCCGAATGTTGGCGGGGAACAGCCATTGAGGGACCTCCTGCTTGGGTGTACGGCAGAAGAGGGGGAATGGATCCAGAGTTATGGGGATTGCTTTCCAGAATTCAGGGAACCAGATTTTCTGTGTATTTGCCGAGAGCGTACTCGGTTGAATGTAGTTGGTGCGTACGACCGGACCGTACATGGCTAGAGTAAGTCGCAGGAGTGCGACGGAAAGAGTAATTTCGCGAGTTCATAGCGTCAGAGAGTACTGACGGGTGTCCGCTGCGGCTTCTGCGTAACCTGCAGCAGCCGATGGATATTCCGGGGGGTTGGAGAAAATACCTCACATACTTTTACGGTACTATGTACGGTACGGTACGGCGTATTGCTCATTTTTCGTACCTCCGCGTACTTGTCGCCCGTATCTGCCAACTCCTCAATCGTGGCTGGACTCATAGCGACGATGGCGCCGGGACCGCCACCCGGTACAGACCTTCCCGATCTGAAACCCAAACTCAATCCCGCCCCGCCGCTGCTCCCGCCGCCACCAGTAGCCCCAAACACGGGCGGCGGGGCCCCACCCGCAGTTACGGAGCGGCTGAAAGCCCGGTTGCCTCGCAGCCACAGTGCCGTACGGATCCAGCTGGATCCGGCGGAGGACGACTGCGACAGACCGGCTGCGGATCCAGATCTGATTCGAGAGCCTGGAGCTCCGGAACCACCTAGGTGCTGATGCTGGTGCGGATGTTGTTGCTGTTGCCGGTGGTGGTGGTGGTGGTCGGGCAGAAACCAATGAGGCGTGTTTCGGAGCTTCTGAGGGTACAGCAGCGCCATGCCGTGCAGGAATTTTGAAAACTTGGGAGCCTCAACGAGCAAACCGCTCTCCCGTAGAGCCTGCCGGGAAGATATGGATGGAGTGGTCAGTTGGATGTTGGTGGTTGCAAGTCTTCTAGTTGATACGGCAAGGTTGGTTGGATGGGTCCGTTGGGAGGCCGTTTCTACAGGAAGCGTGGAAAGTGCTGCCGATGACGTCATCGTCGTACGCGATAAGCCGTAATCTCACACAAACGTTCGTTATGTTCCCGCTTTCCCGAGGGGAGGTATATTTCCTAAAGCCCTTCTTTTCTTCCTGAAACTTCTTCTCAACAAGCACAAAATGAAGACACCAGAGGCATACAGACGCATTCCTTCACGCGCGAGGTCGCTCACCAGTACCCAAGCGGGGCAGGTGTCCTCGTTCTGCAGCTTGATCTCGAGTACGGCATACGGAAATCGTACGATATCCTCACGCCGAACGGCAAGGCTTGGGTCTCTGCAACACACAGAACGGGCACCGACAGAAATGTGTGCGCGTATGTGTGCACGGACGTGTGTGCGTGTGTGTGTGTGCGTGTGTGTGTGTGTGCGTGTGTGTGTGTGTGCGTGTGTATGTGTGTGTGTGTTCGTGCGCGTGCATACATCAAACGTCGACGGCACCAGCGGGCAAAGTAACGAAATGGGGAGGGAAGGGAAGGGCGACACCCGAATGGAAATAAAATTTCGTATCGAGTATTGAAATGAAGCAAGCGGGTAAAATCAGCGGCCGGGAGGGAGCAAAAATGAACCCTTTCTAGGTTGTTATGGGCTGTACGCAAAGTGCATTGGACCTGAGGGCACATGACGGCCACAGGAGCAACGTTCTAACATTTGATACCGGCGGGGCCCCGCGGTTTGTCAGGACAACTACACGGAGGCTGGTGTGCGGCCCTATCCTATCCCGGGGGTTCCGGCTCGATGGGTGGCTGGGGACTGGGGTGCCATTTTGTCGTTAACCCCTAGCGCCGTATACATACTGCGACTCGGCTTATTTGACTTATCCTTTCAGTATTGTGAACGAAGATACATGCAGCCGTGTAAATTCGATATCGGAAATGCATGTGGTGGTGGTGGTGGTGGTGATGGTGGTGGTGGTGGTGGTGGTGGTGGCTCTCTCGCATTCCTGCCATCACACTCATCCACTCGGTTGCGCGTTCCCAACCCCCAACCCCGGCATTACAACCGACAACTGACCATAATACAGTCAGTCCCGGCACTTCCGTTTCCACGCGTGGTTAGTATTCCGGTAATTCCCAACTTCCAACCGCTCTGATCACCGCGACCGGAGAAACCCTTTAAAGCCTCCAACAACACCCAACCCGTCTCCCGATACCCACCCCCCCGCCCCCCACCCCTCTGCCCGACCGCCCACCTGTGCCAGCCTCCGGGTGCCCGGGATGCACCCTGCTCCCGGGTCATGACCAATTGCGTGTCCAGGCTAATCCGTACGGCGTTCGTACTGGACAGTTGGAAAGCTGTACGGCGGTACTCCGTACGTAGGAACGGTTCCTGGATTCATTTGTCCGGCGAGATGTTAAGAAACAGGGGCGTGAGAGTGATTTCTTTTATTTTCTGTGCTGTATTATGCCGTACCTGATTCCGCTGCATGAGGTTGGCCTGGACTTCGCGCAGGAACGCGGCGGCCTTTGCGGCGGCTTGAGAGTTGGCTGATGAAGGCGGTGGCGGCTGCGGCGATGGTGATGCTGACCCGTGGGTCGGCGGCTGCATGGCTGGCAGCTGCAATCCCGTCAAGTACGCCGGCACGTCACGATGCAGCAACTGAGCGCGTTCCTGTGGACCAGGAGCCGCCGTGGGGGGGGGGGGAAGAGGAGGAGGAGGAGGAGGGGGGGGAGGAGGAGGAGGAGGAGGAAGAGGACGGCAAAAACTTACATGCGTCTAGAAATCCAAAACAATCCTCCAAGAAACTCCAAAAAAGGTTTGACCAGTAAAACCACATTCATGAATTCTCAGAACCTTCATTGTACATCTGTAATTTGCTGCAGCCACTTACTTAGTGCAAGTCGCTCATTAAACCAAGCAACTATTTGTTCTCCGTGTTCAGGGGTAAGCATACCTCCGAAGTACGCTACTCTGCTCCCATACGAACCCCACCTTGAGGCTGCACTCCCCTGTCCAGGCGTCGCGGTGCTTCTTACGCTCCACAAACACACCCTGCTCCGGAGCCGGCTCATCCACGCCGTACCACCTGTACGACATACCACATCACGCACGTGTCGTACGTACATATGTATGTACACGACTGTACACAATTCGCTGCATCGGTAGATGAGGCCGGATGGAGGGTACACGTTGCGCTGTCCCTGAAATTGCACGCTGAAACAGTCGCACGCGTGCCGTACGACAGTTGGTACGGCTTCTACCTACGCTTTCGTACCTTATACGCACCAGACTGGCGCCGTCACCCCGAGCCAACCGCTCGTGGTACACATCGAGTTGCTTGTTATCAAAATAAACCGAAGTGATCTTGGAACTGTCGTACATGTACTGCGCCAGCAATTGCCGCGTCAGCTGCACTGGTGCCGTCGCCGCCTTCGCCGCCGGCATCGGCGTCGACGGCGTCGACCAAGGCCCATTCGCCAGCGCCGAAAAGCCCTCCGCCGGCGACGTGGGCGATGGCGCCTTAGGCTGCAGTACACCCGCAGGTGCTCTCCAGGGGTCCCCTATGGGGGGAGCGGCGTTCGTGCAGCTGCCAGCACCGGTTGCGGCGGCGGCGGCGGCACCAGCTCTCAGCGGCTCCAGGGGCAGCAGTGCGCACGACCTGAGCCCGGCAGGGGGGAAAGAGGCAACGGAGCAAATCGGCGACGGCGGCCCAGCCCAGGGCCAGCATAAACCAGCCCAGCTTCATCGCCGGGTTGGGGCCCGCATCGGTCTCCCCCCATTTCATTGCGGGACAGGGCCGAGCCTCTGGTTGGCTGCTTGGGCCTGTCCGGGCCAGTGGCAGCAGGGGACTTGATTTGCTTTCACCTCGTGTTTTACACAAAAATGGATACGGGCGACACCAGTACCGGTAATCTCGTCGGATCCAAGCAGGTCACGCCGTTCATTCACTCATTTATTCAGATTAGGAAGGTTTTCATCAGCCCAGCCCAGCTCAGCTCAGCACAGCCCAGCACAGCTAAACGTCAGGCAACGCCGCCCCAGGCGGCGGGACGAGGCGGAGCTCCCCGAAGGTGAGCGCAACAATGCAGAGAAGCGCTAAGCCACAACAGCGGCGGCTGAATGAGGAATGCGTTGGTCCGAGTACACGCGCTGTCAGAGGCGCCGTGAGAGCTGCTCGCGTCGTAAACCCGTATTGGAAAAACAGGAAACAGGAAACAGGAAACAGGAAGCAGGAAAGAGGCAGCCTTTGGCACACAGCTGCGGCCGGAAGGAGCACACCATGCCATGAGCTACGATTGATATAACGTACTTGCGGCCAAAGATGAGCACCGGCAGGTGGCGTATGACGGTTGTTTTGACCCGCAGTACGTTTCGTGGATCCACCCAATACTTGGTTGTGCTCCTGCGTCATGTGTACGACATGTGGAAGGATGCCAACAAATCCATTCAGTCGTCGAGCAAAGAACGAAAGCTTTGTGTTTTCGGGAGGGGGGAGGTTCATTTTCCACATCATGGCCTGTGTAAGGACTGTGTAACGGCTACCTCATACCGTCTGATAGCCGCCGAAAATGGATTACAATACGTCAATTATAATACCATTGAACAACGTTTAATGCTGAGGAGGCAGCAGCAGCAGCAGCAGCAGCAGCATACATACCTCTTGAACTGGTCTGGCGGTACCCACGACGAATTTGCGGAATTGGCATTATGCGCTTGGGCGACGTGCCGTACGGCCTCGTACAAGTCGGACAACGCCACGAGAATCATGTCATACGTGAATCCGCCCAGAAGGTAATCCTGGAGCAAGATTATGACAAGTTCACAGTAATTGTTGGATCCGTGAAGATGGTCTAATTTGAACGACGGTATTAATGGGCGTACGGGAGACTGCACGGGTAGGCGTTACCGTTTGAATGTTGAATCCCAGCCTGCCTCTTGCATTCTATGAACTAACAGAAAAAGTTAAGAGCTCAACCAGCAGATCTGAAACAAAATAAATAACGACATAAACAGCAGGGGCGAGTGCTGGCTACAGATCAGAGCTAAGCAACAACAGATCTGCGTCGTTCAACCGCTTTCATCCCCCTTTCCGCTTTCCGCCTTCCCCTTGAACTCCAAAACTACAATCTGCACAACGAACCTCTGGCCGGCCTTTCCTGGCGCAGTAGCTCAGTGGCGCCTTCCCTGGACTATAAGCGAGAAATGTTGTTCGTACATGTCGTACGCACCTGGATGCAGCGGTGGTAGACGCGCCTAATCTCCAACTGAGCGATCGCCGTCTCGGTCGCAGCGGCAGGGCCCCCCGTGCCGTACACGTCCGCGGACGTCGAACACCCGCCGCCGTTGCCACCCCGCGCACCGTTGGCCAACGGCTGATGGACCCAAACCGCTCCAGAGGACCCAGTGGTAACCGTTGTGACCGTTGAATTCGTTACAGTTGAAGCTGCCATGGCAGTAACGCCGCCGCCGGCGGATGCTGCGACATTTCTGTCGTGCAACAACCCGAGCTCCGCAAACTCTGTGTACATGCACGTACGTAAGTACGCTTCAGGAATGTTTCTCGCAAACCGCAGTTGGATGAAAAAAATTATGCATAATTTCGACCGTTGCACGACGCCTATTGTACGACAAAGTTAAACGGATTTATTTAACCTCACAGCATGCAAACAATTATATCCATCCAAACTGCCAAAGCTTATATCATCGGAAGGGTTAGTAAGCTTCCCCCCCAGTCTCCTCAATCTGGACAACTGACAATCCAGATCCAGATCCAGCGGTGCTCACCCGCGGAGTTGTACCTCTCAAACTCCTCGAGATCTCCCAGCTCGTCACCTGTACGGCACAGCACCAGAGCAGCACGGTACGGCACAGTCGTCAGCCTATGCAACCTGACCCGGGCCAGGGCCGGGGGATTTGGGTGTTCGTTTCCTTTTCCCTCCGTAACCATAGAAAACAAGAGGCTATCGGCAAAAAGGGAGCGTGAAAAGGGAGGGTGTGTCGGGGTTTGGCCACCGGTACGTGGTATTTGGTACACACACTCGAGGTCCGTCCATAATACAATTCAAGTAGCGTGCAAGCAGATGCAAGTAACACATCTGAATGTAAGAAGGTAGCTTATATTCGTAAAATGCAGTTGTACTCTGCGCCCCTGATCGACACCGTCAGGGCCCCCATCGCCACCCTCCTTTACTGCACCGTCTAGGGGGCATCCAAGTGAGTGAGGAAACACGTGTATAAAGTAGTTGGAAACAGCTCTGATTAAACCGACAACTGGCCCACCGACCTATTTCATCGCACTCTGCGCGCAGCTCGCTGCACAACGTTCGCAGGGCCACCGACGGCGTTGCATCCATAGCCGCCGCCGCCGCCGCCGCCGTCGTCGTCGCGCTGCCGCCGTTGCTGCCTGCCGCCGCCGCCGCAGAGGTGGCACTAGCCTGCTGATGCGCCTCCTGCAGGCGCTCTGCGGTGGCCATCACTCGCAACGTAAGGCCCTCCAAGGCTGCCTGAAGGAAGCGACGCACTCGGCGAAGGTCCTGAGAATGGTTGGTGGAAAGGGGGCGCAGCAGTTTACTTTGTTAGTTTGGTAGCCATCTTGTAGGGAAGTACGGCATTGGGCACTTAACAAAATATAAAACAAATATATATACTTGGATGCACGTGGCTCATTCAACCAAGTAAAACAGGACATTGCGTGCAGGTGACGGTGACGGACGGATCCCCAGATTTACAAATCCATTGCGGTCAGCAGAAATCTAGTCAGCAGGATTTAGGAAAATAAGTTTGGGAGGTAATGAGGCAACTGGGAGGGAATGTACGGAGTTGCCGTACGTCCTTCTCAGGACGTCGTCGTACCTTGACGTAAGCTTGGACGAAGGTGCCACACTTGAAGTCCTGCTCCGTCTCTGTCTCCGCGTGAGTGGTAGCGGTGGCAGCGGCGGCAGCGGCGACGCCGCCATCACCAGTTTCGCCGCCATCGCCGGCGATGGCGGTAGCGGTGGCGGCGGCATTGGCCGACTTGCCTTTGCTTTCCACATCCCGACAGAGCGACAACGATAACAGGCAATTCAGCACGCTCACGCCGTCGTCGTCACCGCTGCCGTCACCACATCCGCCGCCATGCTTGCCAGCGTCGCCGGGCTCAATCTCCGGCACCTGCGCTGGTACTTCTACTTCCGCTGACGACGACAACGCTGGGGACGTACAGATGCTGTATCGCCCGTTCACCAAGCCGCCGTCGGCGAAGGGCTTATGAAGCAGATCTCCTGCGGAAGCGCACACGCCGCCGCGGCGGTGCAGCGCGGCCTTGGTTTCGGAGCCTTTTCCTGCCGCCGCATCCGCTGCTGCTGCCACTGCCTCTGTCAGCATAGCCCGTAGGGCGCCGGCGTGTAATGCATGTCGTTCTAGAGACGGTGGCAGCCGCTGGGCAACGGGTAATGCCAGAGGTCCCACACGATGCAGCAAGCCGGGCGGCAGTGTTGGCGTTGAGTTTTGCGCCGCGCCGCCTCCGCTGCCGCTTCCTCCAGGGAGGCTGGCGGCTGCGGCGGCAGGTGCGGTGGCTGCAGTGGCGGCGGCAGCGGCGCAGGCGGCGGCAACCGGCCGTCGCTCGGATTTCTGCATGCAGACTTGAGAGTAGGGCGCGCGGTAGGAGCCGAAGAGCGGGCGGAGCGGATCGAGGAAGGAAGGAGGAGCGCCAGCAGTCTGAGAAGGGCTGAGAGTTACAGCAGTAGCAGCAGTAGCGCTTCTGAATCCTGCCGAGCCTGTTTGTTGCTATGCTGCTGCGCCGCAAGTCGTCCTGGTGCTGCACAGAATTTTGGCTGATAAGGTTGCTACTGCTACTACTACTGCTACTACTGCTGCTGCTGCTGCTGTTTGGTCAGAGCTTGTTAAGGCACGGCCCTTCCAGCCGCAAACCCGTGGTGATGTCGCTGCCACTGTTAATGCCGTTCCGGCTCGTAACCAACGGAAGACGCGACCTTGGCTGCAACTATGACCCGCCCTCTCTGCGCGCCCGAAGTGCGTCCGTTTCCCTTTCACGAAACTGCGCAACGGAGACAGGAGATGCAGCCAGAATCTCGAGCCAGACCTCTGGATCTCGGCGACCGCTGCCGCGCACAGCGGATTAACTCTAACGGGGCTGTGACGGACTTTGCTGTGCTAGATTTGATCAGATCAGGAAGCGCTCCAAAGGAGATTCCAAGCCCAGTAGGGAGGGACTCCCCTGGGCCAACTCGTAAGCATGGACAGGAGCAGGAGCAGGAGAAAGAGCTGAAGCTGGATTCAGGGGCTTCCGTGTCCTGGTGTTCTGTCGATCGAGCTTTGTTGCAGGTGTTGCGCCCTGCCTACCCAAGTGCAATCAAATCACTAGGCTTGGTCCAAGCCCGCCGGAGAGATGGCCTAAGAGTGCGATGGGGAGGTGTGGGCGGACGCGGTCTGTATGATGGGTGGTGCTGCCTCTGCCCGCCCGCCGAGGCTTTCTGAAAAAAATGTGTGAGGGGACTGCCGTATTTGTGCTTGTGGAGGTGTTGCGTTCCTTTCAGGCGGCTCAACCGGGCCGATCACCGCTAGAGGGGAAGGATATCAGGAAAACCATTTGCGATTGCAAATTACAGGGATTTCGGGGATGTCGTGGATTTTGGACGCGTGGGAGCTTCATTGGGCGTTGAGTGGTGTTCCAATCCGAGGAAGGGTCAAACCACCCGTCACCTGTCAAACAGGACGGCAGGTGACCAAACGCGGCAATCTTTTGCTAGTCGACTCGAAATTAACTTGGATAATCTCCTGGCTTGTTTTGTTCTAAGAAAATTATCGTGATGTGCGCTGGAAGAGGTTTTGCCCGTCACTGCATCCCCGTACTTTAGTAAAGCTCGATTTTGAATTATTGTCCCCCGGCAATTTCTCTGTTTGATACTTGCGGCCTCATGAAAATTCTTCCTTTCTACGAGGAAATGTCGGAGAAGAAATAGAGATGTTTGGGCAGGCGAGACATGAACGATGTGGTTGGTGGTTCCCTTCAGCAGTCTTCCGCCGAGGTGTCTTTACAAATTACTCTCATGCCTCTTATGTAAACTCGGGTGGAGCTGGGAATCCATTCTTACAAATATTAATACTAGCATATACTCTTCCAAGAAGTTGCAGGGCCCTCGTCATGAAGACGGTCCGACGGAACCAATGAACGAACGCGTCTCAGTGCTTGAGTATCGCGGCCCTCCGTCGCTGGCTATCAATAGCCACATGCCTTAATAGTCATTAGAGACCGCGCAGTGAAAGAACGAAACAAAACGTAAATCCACAGCGAGGAAAAGCCCGCCCCCGACTGCCGAGGTCCAGCATTCTAAACAGGTTAAGTCCACGTAAGCGGGCACAGCGCACAGCCTAACACGCACATCCGCAACAGGCCTCATGCCCGCAGCGAGTCCCTCAACATCATCGCCAAAGAGCCATCTGCAGCGCATGCAACGACGGCCTTCCTGCCAGACATTTCAGTCCTCTCCAACTGAAAGCATTAGCATCTCCTGAGCGAACCTTCCTGACATCATTTTCCCTCCCCGTCTCTGTAGGGATCTCTAGGTTGACAGCGCCCCATTACCCCACGACCCACATGAACCTCCTAAACCACTCAGCCCACTTAACCCACAGCCGCTAGATCTCTCTCTGTCGGGCAGCTCTCCCCCCCCCCCGATACACACAACAGCCGCAGTTCCTCGCTATAAGGAAATCAGCACCAATCGCTGCCTCCAAGAGGTTCTTCCCGCTCCCACGGCTTTTACACGAGTTCCCAGCTATTCGTCGTCCTGGTAGTACTCGGGCAGACGGCCCGGGACGGTCCTCTCTATGTGTTCTCTCATCGCAAGGGAGAGAGCCTAACGCCTCTTGCGTGTGCACGTACGTAACCCCTCAAGCCATACTGCGGCTCGGTCACCCCCCCCCCAACACACATACAAACACACCCCTTTCCCCCTTCCCCGCTTCCACCGTCTTTCCTCCTCTTCCCCCCCAACTAACGCTCAGTTCCTGTATAAGATTGACAGGAGGGTTTCCAGCACCAAAGCACAGCACAGCAAAACTCAGGATGGCACATTTCCAGCAGCCCCGAGCCCTTACAGGTGACCTGGGAATGGGGGTATATCCGCCACGAAACGGCTCCCCTCGCCCCCTCCTCCGAAAAGGACGGCGAGCAACAGAAGCGAGTTCATGCATCACGACGCGGTATGGCAACGTACGACATGGTTTAGCTAACCAGCTAGGCCATTGGATGGATGACGTGATGAAATTATTCGTCCGTCTTGGCGTAATGGAAGATACGGACAGCGGAGTGACCCTAATTGACAGCCTACGTAATTGCCGTACCCTTTCCTTACCTGAAATTTCGTTATAAGGCTTTAGTAAATGACTAGCCCTTTGATGCCTCCATCCTCCCCTCTTCCCAGCTGTATGTCAACAATTTGCGGGTTTAGGCGGAGTGCGTGGACCGGCTTTAGACATACATACGTGAACCAAAGCGGAACGCACACAGGTACCTATTACTAGGCCTTCCGGGGGGCAACTGTTTTCTTTTTCTGCAACGGGTGCGACGGTAATGTCGACCATTTTTTAATCGATATGGACACTCACGGAAAAGGAGGCTGTGCGCCAGGGTGAGGGTACGTCCGGATCGTGTTGGCTCTCTGATCCCTTCTAAACAGTGTCGGAAATTAGCAACAACAATAGTCGCCGACAGGAAAAAGGCAAGCTAGGAGATAAGCAGTGTCTTGTCTTTCACTTTAAACGCCACTTGCCGTACTTGTACGTCAACACAATTAATTTCCACCATTTTTTGTTAGCAGACCAGACTTTTTCGGCGGAGGTACAAGGATCTGGATCTCAATATATAAAGCACTACTTTACGCAAAATCGCGACAGGTTGCAAAGGGATTAAGGCTAAATAAGGCCCCAAACACTTCTTACCCATCCTAACCCTGACCCACGGGGTCATTCCAACCCCACGCTGGGCTCAACGGCAAACAACCTCCCAGCCAATCATGACAAGCTAGCACCTTCCGAAATCGCAGCAAGAAAGCCTTCACTGCGCTCCGTCCTCATCGTCCCTTCATTCAATCGCCGTGCTGCAGACCAACACTTGGGCTATGTGATGCTTCCGCACATACACATACATGGCATACGAAAACGAACCATACAATGCTGGGACACGATTTTTTAGCACACACGAACACGAAAAAAACAGACTTGCACAACGGCCACGAGCACTTCCCACACGCAATGAGTCAAGTGCCACCACAGAGGAAATCTTACACTCGGCCAGAAAAACGCGGCAAATAAGCATATATCATGACTTGCCAGCAGGCACATTGAGGCAGAATACGCTCCTCGCGCATATAAACCTTCCTACATTTCTGCTATCTCATTTTCGTCTTGGAAATCCTGTTGTGTACGACCAAATGACGTGTACGGTACATTCTCACGATGACTAAACACCTGTTAATGGCGAGAACGTTTGTTCATGACGATTATTTTATCATTATTACCGTCAAGATACATTCTCGCCAACCAACTTACAAGTGCCCCTAAATTTATTACGCGCATACATGCAGACATATAAACTTACATTACGCGCACAAATTTAAGCTACAAACGCCACATACGCAAACGACATGAAAAAAGGGGGGAAAGAGGATAGAGGAGCAGAGAGGAGGAAAGGAGGAGGTACACCGCCGCAAAACCTGATGAGGTTGCGGCTCCTTCTCTCCACAACGTCCTTTCCCTCGGGAGGGGAAACCTGTCAAATCTCTTACACATCTCTCTCTCGCTCGCTCCCCCTCATCCTCATCCTCAAAAGGCCGCCCGGGAAATCCCCAACAACAACGGGGGAAAACCCGTAAAAGGCCCAACCCCCTTCCCCCTTTTTCCGCAACTGCCGTCCGCCCGCCGGTGCGTCCCCCCAGCCAACTCCCCCCAGCCGCCCCCAAATCAAACAAGACTCCGGATCCCAGGGGGAGTTTAGCGCAACAAACCGAGCCGCGCTATGCTCCCAACCCATCGCCCCCGCAACCCCCGAGGGGACGGGAGGGGGAGAACACCGACAGCTGACACAAACAATTTGCACGTGACAAGGAGGGTGGGACAAGGCCGCCGAATGTCCAGGAGGCCGAAACACACAGGGCCCTCCAGGGAACACGCACACTCGTTAGTTTCCCCCCCACCAGGAACGAACTACTCGCGGCTAACAACTCGTGACCTGCGGTAGCAGCCGTATCGCGCCGCCTTCCCTTCACCCTTCCCGTCCCTCCTTTTCGCCCTAGGTCCCTCCCCCAATGCACCTCATTGGCACCTCCTCCATCCCAGGTATGTCCGGTACCTTGCATTGGGGGCAGCCACCACACCGCGCCGCACCTTACGGCTTCACTCTGAGATACACACAGACACACATGCACCATGCCATATCCACAAAATTCCTGTGTTTTTGCGCCCTTCCCCCGCGAAAACACACCCCCACATATGCGCCCACTCACAGATGCATGCAAAAACGTACATGCATACATTACATACATACGTGCACACGAAAGTACATTGCGCGGAAGGCAAAGGCGCGGAGAGGCATGCAGACACACATATACGCACACGGGGCGCCGCGAGCGTCCGCCCCGTAGCCAATTAGGAGCGGTGGGGGAGGGACACAGGACGGCTTGTAGGCCCTGTTGATTGTTTTTCAATCCTTGGCACTGAAAAACAGAGCCTGACGAACGAACGACAAGGATCGGATATACAAAAGGAGCCTCTTCGACGGAAAGCTGCGCGCTTGGAAAAGGTGAACGCTATTACAACATCAAGACACAAAAAACATTCATAAATACATACATACATACACGCCGGCGCACGTACCCACATACAGCTCTGGTTGTGTGCACCACAATGTCATTAACTGACGGGAAGAGAAAACCAGGGAGCCACCAATGGGCACACAAACACGAAGAGGGAAATAATGAGGAGAGCCAAAAGCGCTGCCGCTGCTTTACCGTTGCGGGTTGTTATAAATGTTAATCGCAGTCATTGTTGTCGTTGTTGTTTCTACAAAATGTCCGTTGTCCTTGTCGCAGTCATGTGTTGCGATATAAAAGTTGCGTTTTTCGGAGTGTTTTCCTTTGCCACGCCATTTCCGTCAAAACACAGACGTCCCAAACGATTTGTCCCTTCCAAAAATAAGGCCCCTTAGGCGTATGCTCTGCGCGTAGCATATGATGACGTCCCATGGCACCCTCTGGGCATAAACTACCCACGAAAGAGCCATTAGAGGGAAGCCCAAGCCCATGGTCCTCCCGAGTCTCCAACCCAACCATCCACACCCCGCGTCTGAGACAAGAGACAAAAAACAAACGATAATAAAAAAACTAGTTAGTGCTCATGACCAAAGCCACCCAATGTGCGACGGCAATATGTCAAAATTCAAAGGTCGTCAAACTCCGAGACCATGCCGAAAACATCTATCTCTCTGTGCTGATCAGCAAAACGTTATACCGCCAAATCTTTCCTTTCACCAGCAGTTCCCTGTTCAAACCCTATAGCGCCCATAATGTGACCCAATTTAATGACTCTTCTTCGCCCCGCGCTCCGTGCCCCCACCATTTAGTCAGGCCGTGACCTCAGCCGCAGCCGCTCAGCAGTGGCGCTGAAACCAGAGCCCAGCCTCGCCCAGCCCAATGTCCCCATTTTTCTCACGAGCTCGCTATCCATGGCCCTATGGGTATGCCTTAGCCGCCAACGCCGCACCGTACTCACAACGGTCCCCTCGAACCACGAAGACCAACTACCATTTTGAGACGCGACACAAAAGAACCCCCAACATTCCGTTCAGACGAGAGGGCGTGTTCCTCGATCAACCCCTAGCACCAACAGAAATCACAGAGTCACAAAAGCACGCAATCCGTTAATGAAAGCCCTACATAAGTTGCTTCCACTCTAGGACGCGCACCCACGTACTCATCCCGTACTCATCAAGATACAAGCTGCATGCACGTACGCGCACACACACACACATACACAAATACATACACCAAGGGGCAGCCCACACAAAATACAGACACGCATGCAGTCACACCAGGGCGAAAACGCGTGCTCGTACGGACATGAAACAATGCACGTACATACACACATACACTAACAAAAACCGCGGGTACGGAAAGAAACCATTGATACTTAGCTAGCACCATACCTACTAGCTGCACCATACCGTGCACCCAAACGTATTGCCAGGCTCTAGCAACGCAAACCGCAGCCGGGGTGACGGCCCCAGGCCATCGCCAGGCGCCAGCGCGCAATACGCGAGCTACAGCTTTGCCGAACCGCCCGCTCCCCTGTTGCGCCCCGCGCACACATCGCAACGACTCCTACCAGGAGTAGGAGCCGCGCCCGTCGCTTCTCAGGCTTTACTTCCTCAGCTTGAGGCACATTTGCAAGGCCGCAGCACATGCGATGTGTGTCGACCTATCGATGCTGGTCATGTATTGTTTTTATTAGCTCTTCTGCAAAAGTAAATCGACGTCTCCACAGACGTACGTGCATACGTGCGTACGGCCGCCGCCTATTAGCACTGCAAACTCTGCAAACAGGTTCAATGGCACGAGGAGCCCCTGAAGAGGCTGCGGACGCTTTCCCAGGTTATCACCTTCGCCGCCGGGGCACGGGAGCTGTACGGGCAGCTGCACACAACTAGTACGATAACCTCGAATAACGGCTCCGTTGAGAAACCCCTTTCGACTCCAATTCTGCCATTGACACCAGCATCCGCAGCAAGAATTACAGCAGCAGCAGCAGTAGCGGCAAAGATTAAAAAAACACTGCACAAAAGTTGACCACGTCATGGAAGGCCACGCCTCCAAAGCCCCCTGATCCTAGCAACTCCATAGTCACCGGCCCAGCTTGATCACAGCAGCCAGGTGCTGCTCACACGCTCGCGGCAGTGTTCTTCACCAATTACCCAACACCATCACCCTTCGAAGTCTTTTCCCCTTTCCCCCCATGCGCCTGTTTGCAGATAGAATAGAAACAATGCGCTGTCTCGCCTTTTCCTTGTAAATGGCGGCAGCAGCAGGAGGAGAAGCTGCTGGGCCCTGCGGTACGGCTTGTCGTACACCCAGTATCGTACATGGCGTCGTACCTCACGACGCATGGGGAAGGGTTCGTGCCTCGGCCGCTGACATGGCTCCAGTGGTGGTACTGGTGGTGCTGGTGGCGCCACCGCCATAGCCCGGCGTGTCTGCCTCGGCTGCAAAAGCTGAAGATAGCGCCCGCGGCGCAGGACCGCTGCCGTTCGTCGGCGTCACGTCTGACGTCGGCGTGTCGTCGACGCCGTCAAAGGTTGCGGTCCATGTAGGAGGCGCAGGTTGTGGGCAAAGCAACGTTGTGGCGATCGGGGCGCCACCGCCGCTGACAGCGGCGGCCACAGGCGTGCACGCAGCGACGGCGGCAGCGTCGCTGCCGTCCCCGTCGGCGACGCACAGCACCGTAGCGCTGCTGCCGCATAGCACCGGCGGCAACGGCAGCGGCAGTGAGGCGTGTTGCGGTGGTGGCGCTGCCGACGTGCGCACGGGCTCAAGCCGTACGGCGCTCTGACACAAAGGAACCTGGGGTGGTGGCGGCGGCGGCAGCAGTGGCAGCGTCGCGCCGCCGGCACTGCCGCCGCAAGCACGCGTACCACAGCCCTGATTCGTCAGCGACTGTAGTGCCACAGTCGCCGTAGCAGCCGCCGCCGCTGCCGGCAGCCCCGCCATGGAACCAGGTAATCCTAATGCCATACCCAAGACACCCGTACCCTCGTCGGTCACATGACTTAGAACCGACAGGTGCTGCTGTACGGCGCCGTTAGCGGAGATCCGTGGACCAGCGCCGCCGCCGCCGCCGGCTATAACACCACCTGACAGCATGCCCAAGGGCCCGTCGCCCTCTCCGCTGCCTGTACACCGCAGCGATGTACGACCGGAAATCTGTCCCCTGCCGTCGACTGCTGAGCCGCTAGCCGCCGCAGGCATTGCGTGAAGCGGCACCGTTGGCGTGTCTGGCTGTAGCACCAGCGCCGGCGGGGGCGCCGGTGGCATGGCCTGCAACACCTCCGCCGACAGGCGACAAGCGCTTGGATCTTCCATCGACAACGCAAATGGCGTCAATGCCACCTTCGTGGTGGCTTGCTGTAGATGATGGGGCTGCTGCTGTCCAGTCGCCGCCGCCACGATCGCCGCCGTTGACGGGCCGTAAATGCTGCCGTACCCAGCAGGCGGCCGCCCGGGCGATCCGAGCACCGGCGACACAACGCCTGATGCTATACTCGTCGTGGCCGGCCCCGCCACACCACACAACCCGAGCTCCTCCACAACCGCCAAATGAGCTACAACGGCACCAAAGGCGCCGGCGCCGCCGCTGGTGGCTGCTGCTGCTGCTATCGGTGCCGCCGTTGCCGGCATTACCTGCGCCGCTGCCGATGTCACAGCGGCAGAGGCGTCGCACGCCGCCGCCGCGACCTCCACCGCCATGCCCAGCCCTAATCCAGACGCGGCCCCCGCCGCCGTCGCCTGCATTACCCCCGACGCGCCAGAGCTTGACAGCATCACCTGCTGCTGCTGTTGCTGCTGCTCTTGCTGCAGCTGCTGTAGCTGTTGTTGGTACTGCTGCTGTTCCTGCGCCAGGCGCTCCTGCTCCCGCGCTAGGCGCTCCTCCATCTCCCTCTGCTCCTGCTGCTGCTGGTGCTGCTCACTTCGAAGGTAAGCCGACATGATGTGATGCGCCAGGGAGGGACTCAGCGCGGCGCGGAAGGGAGAGTTCTCCACCTCCTCGCCATCCGCCTCGTACTCCAGGCTTCCTTGCGGCTCCGCAAGGAAGGAGCTGCTGCCACCGCCGCCGCCCCGAAAAGTGGAGGCCATGGACCCACGACGGCCCCGATGAAAGTCTCCGCGTCCTCCTCCCTTAAGGACCCCCAGCCTGCTTGTGCCAGCTGGAGTCGACCAGCCGGTTCCGGGGCCATGGGTTGCGCCGGACGAGGAGATGGGTCCGGGAGTTTTCACCTCCTCGCCTTCGCGATGCCGTTGCTCGACACCGCCGCCGCCGTCGCCGTCGCCGCCGTCGCTCGACGGTTCTTGCTCGGGAGCTGATGGCTCCGAGACCATCGCCTCCGCCACCACTACCAACGTGGGGGGAGCACCGCAAGAGCCGCCATTGCCAACTTTGGCTCGCCACTTCTGCTCGTCGCCGCCGCCGCCGCTGCCGCCGCCGTCGCCCCCGCCAGATGTGGCGTCAGCGCCGCCAGCTGATGGTAACAGTGACACCAGGTTCGGCGAGAAGCACTCTTGCAATAAGGGCTCTCCCACCGTCAACGCCACCGGGGGCGGCAGTGGCTGTGACTTGGAAACCTCAACAGGCTCATTTGAGGGACGACGGTCACCGCCAAGGCCACCAAAGACGCCATCTATGTTGCCGTTGACATCCATGTCGTGACTGATGCCGTTCTGTACGGCACTAGCTCTGTTGCCGCCAGTTCGTACATCCTCACCTAATGAGTCGCAGCGGGGTTGCGTTAGAGTGGCAACTTGGGGCCTGAGCATGCCGGCGAAGCTGTACGAACGCAGCGCCGCCAGCGTCGGCACCTCAGCGGAAACTTGCGCAGCAGAGTCGCTGCCGCCAATCTCGCCGCCGTCGGCGTCGCCTGAGGTGCTGCTGGCGCCGCCCGTCGCCGTACTATTCACAAAAGAGAGTGCTGCCGCCATTGATGGCACCTGTGATACGCTGCTTGTCATGGGAAGCAAGCCGTACGACGCCAACTGTTGTGAACTGAGCGAGCAAGTCGTACTTGGGCTCGTGCCACCGGCGGCGGCGAGATCGCTGAATGACCCCGGGGGGTGCCGTACCGTCGTGGCGTTGTGGCGCCCGGGAGAGAGGCCAGTACCAGTGCAGGTGCCTGGTAGCGACGCCGCCGCCGCCGCCGCGACGGCAGCAGCACCGTCACCTCTTATTCCCGGCGTCAACGGAGGTGGCACGGAGGCTGCGGAAGGCTGCAGAGGCCGCGCCGGCGACGCCATGTCGATCAGGTCACGCTCTATATGGCATGAACGACTCATGGGTTGGTGTGGCGGCTGCGACAACGGCGCTGCCGCTGCTGCCACCGCCGTTACCACCGCTCCTAACTCCACCTCCGCTGTTGTCCTAGCGACCGGCGCAGCTACTGAAGGCTTTGAACGCGGAATAACGACAGACGGTACGACATGGATAGGAGGCGCCTGCGACCAGTCGACCCATTCAGATGCCGACGGCAGCGTCCGGAGTTCCTCCTCCTCCGCCACCGTTGCTGTCACCGCTTCGGCGATGGCTTTTCCTGTGGCCTCCGTCACCTCGGACGCCGCTGCCGCGGCAGAGCATAGTGACGCGTCTGGCGCTGTCGTAACGCCATCACCGGCAGCACCGCGACTTGCCGTTGCGGGAGCCACCTCCACTGCCGCCGCAGAGACCCGCTCCGCCGGGACACCTGGCGGCGCCGCTGACCCCGCGGTCCCATCTTCATCGCCGCTTTCCGACGACCTCACAGCCATATGGGGCAATTCCCTCCCATCAGACGACGACGCGGTGACGGTTTCGGAGGCCGCGGCGGCGGTACCGCCGTCACTGCCGATGCCGTCACGATGCTCCCCCGGCGTGGTGACGTCACCGGTGGGCGTGAAACCCGCGTGTACGGGATCAGCGTACGATGAGGCGCCTGGCGACACGCTAGGCGTAAACATTACCTGCATAAAATTTAAAACCTGATTTTCAGACACCGTTTCAAGTCAGGACAGTTTAAACAATACATGTCATGCAATAACGTGAAAACTGCCAGATATTACCCCTTCAGCTAGATTCTTCAGGAGCAAATCTAATTGTTTCTTGCGTTATGCATGATTAGGGAAAGCGAAAGGTGAAACGTCCCTCAAGATATAGCACGCCGCTGCGAACTGCAAAAAAATGACTGTACCACTGTACCACTGTACGAGCCTGACGTACCTGAGCTTCCTGGGCGTCGGCCATGAGGCTCTTCGGGTCGAACATGGGAATGCCGTCCCTGTCACAGCCGAAAGAGAACATCATCAAAACAGGCAATGGTTCGCTAAGCGAATGAGTTCATCCACCGCAAGGTGGACGTCAATGCTCTCTCAACCACAATCAACTTTTCGGACCGGTGCTCTCAACCATGTTCAAAAATATGTGTACTTAGGGTTTTTACACTCTTCATCGCGATTGTTCCCAACACATCGTTCATGAACATCTTTTAGCCGTTCTCCGTAAACAATGTAAATATTGTATAGCGAAGTGACAAGTTAGCACGACAAGTCCAGGGCGTTCGGAAAAGCCGGGGGCTCGTGGCCGTAGCAACGGACTTACACGTACAACGTCGGGCGTTTGAACACAAGTTCCTCAGCACCGCCGCTACTCGCCGGGCCCTTGGGCGCTGCCGCCGTCGCCGTAGCGGCACCCTCCATCGCGGCGCCCTCAGCGACTGTAGCAGCTGCAGCCACCGCTGCCACCGCTGCTGCCTCCGCCATCCTCGACTGCATGGACATGTCCGCGTCGACCGTGCCGACACTTCTGTCCGCAGCTGCTGCCATCGCCGTTGGGGCGTTTATCGCCGCCGCTGCTGCTGCTGCGGCCGCGGCGGCAGCAACCGATGCCGTCGCGGCGGTAGCATCGGCTGCGGATGCTGACGCCGAGAGGCGCTCAGAGGCTCTTTGCTGCTGTAGCTGGGCCTGAATTCGGACACACACAAGACGAAGGTGGTGCAAGGTTATGGGAGGCGCATGGGGGTGATGAAGGTACGAGGTGAAGATACGAGGTGATGGTGGAGGTGGATCAAAGCCAAGGCAGCCAAAACGAGTTGAGAGCGAGTTTTACTGAACAGGGTCGCGCATTGCATAAGAACCGGCGAGGATGGTAAATGGCGAGGATGGCAAATGGCGAGGATGGCAAATGGCGAGGATGGCCATATTCTTAAGACGAGGCACGCATGACATGCATGAGTCAAAGGTGTACACTGGGTTCGAAAAGGGTTCTGGATGCCGACCGCACACCAGGGAAGCAAAACGTGTAAGGCTCAAAAGGGGAGTAGGGAGATACCCGGCAAGACCCAGCACGGAATTCCCTTTCTCCCTTGGCCGCCTAGATAAAAGCCAGTATCACTCTACACAGACTCCAAAACCCGCCGTGCAATGACTCCGAAACCCTTACCTCTAGCTCCTGTCGCACCCGCTCAGCTTCTTCTTGAGCCTTGGCCAAATCCTGCCGGGTTCGGATCCAAATTTTCCAGGTAAAAGATGCCAGAATGAGACCGAAGCGAAACGGGATCAAGGCAAAGTGTGTGGGAAGGGAAGGTGAGAGAGCGAGTCCAGAGGACACAGCACGACTCGTGAAGAGGGTGCGCCACTTCCCCAAGAATGATTTCTATCTCTACACATCGCCGCGGGCGCAAACGATATCCTATATATGCTCCTCATCGGATCTCCAAAAACAGAGCGGACAGACACCGCACTAAAATTAACAAATCCAAGGAACCATAACTCGATCCAGCTCACAGTTCTAATAAAATGCTTCTTTGCGTTAATTTGCACAACAACAACAACAACAACAACAGTGCCCAGTTCCTGCATCATCTGTGGGCCTGGCCTCAAGAGACACTCCACCCAGTACTGACACACATCCCCCGAAAATCCATTTCCCAACTCCGCAATTGTTATAAAAACACCCCAGCCCACAATCAACGAAGGGCAGTTGCGTAACTTTTGGTTTGTAGTTTCTTGCATGTGATGGGTACCCTCAATCCCACCTGGGCTGCCATGTCCGCCAACGCCGAGGAGGAAGGCAGGTGGCGGAGGTTCTCCGAGCCCCGCCGGACGAGCTTGTGCTCCTCCTTGTTGGGCGAGTCCGCATACATGGATTCGCCCAAAATGACCCGTGGGTCGTAGGCCACGTGTGCGTTGCCTGTGTCTACCGCAGACAGCATGCGCAGGATATCGCCAGCAATGTCCGTCGCCATGTCGGCGTCAAGCTGTTGTTGCTGTTGCTGCGGTTGAAGCTGTTGATTGTCGTACACATGCTGGGAAAAGGCGGTCTGGGAGGTGGTGTTGGATTGGCTGGATTTAGCTTGTGCTTGGGCGAGGGAGGACTGGGCGACAGCATCAGAATGCGCCGCGTCTAGGGCGGCAGCTACAGCTGTGGCCGGCTGCGGCAGCTGCAAAGACTGCGGCTGCAGCGCCGTCGCTGCCATCGGGCTGGCTAAGCTGAAGCTTCGCTCTGCGATGTACGACGCCAAGCCTCCACCGCCTGCGTTGCCGTACCCGGACGTACAGTCTAGGAGGGAGCTAGACACCGCACGCTCCAACCCTAATGGCATGTAGCCTGCCGTCGGCGTATCACTGCCCGTCGCGCCGCCAGCGCTACCGCCACCGACGCCGCCAGCGGCGCCACTGGCCAGCCCGGACGCGCTCCAGCCCGCTAACATCCGCGGTGACGCCAGACCATGCGGCGACACCGCACCGCTAATCGCCGACGGCGACATCATAGCGCCCCCGGTGGTGGCTGATGCCGTACCGGACATCCAGTCGCCGTTACATGAGGCACTTCCTGCGGCTCCGCCGGGGGCAGCAGCGGCGGCGCTACCGCCGTTACCGCAAAGTAGTAGGCCCTGCTGCTCATACAGCTCGAGAGGCTGGCTCCCGCTGCGGTACAGGGTATTTGAATCCATGGATCCGCGAGGTGACGGCGCCGGAGCCACAAAGCCAATCTGAATGCCAAGGGGGTCCTCTGCCACGACGGAGAGGCGGGAAAAAGCCCCCAGCATCGACGTCGGCCCGCTCGCTCGCTCCAAGGAGCTCCCGCAGCGCGGCGGCAGCGGCGGCTTGCCAGCCACTGCTGCCGCCGGCACACTGCCAGCGCCGCCGCCGCCGGCAGCGACTACCGCCGCTGCCGCGGCGGCGGCAAAGGCACTACCGATGGCGGACGAGCCCGACGCGCCGCGACAGGGGTGCGGTACGGGAATCGGTTGGCTAGCGCTGCCGCCGCTCGATTCACGTGACGTCGGCGTCGGCGGTGCCGCCAGCGCCCCGCCGCATGATGATATCGCCGACGCTGCACCGGAAACGACGGCACTAGAACTCAAGTCCTCAGGGTGCAGCAGCACGTGGCGCGTCGCTCCCGGCGCCGCTCGTACAATGCTCCGCCAGTGATGCCGTACAGCTGCGGCGTTGAAGTCACCCCATTCCTCCGGGGAGCAACCGTCGGAGCCGCGGCGACGGCTTGATGGGTAACCGCTTTGCGGCGAGCCACCGGCGTCCTCGTCACCCGCTCCCGTCACAACAGCCGCTACCGTACTGTACGACCTGGCGATTGAGGCTTCATCAAGGCCAAGGGCATTAAAGCCGCTGTGATGGCCACCGCCACCGCAGCCACCGTAGAAGCCGCCTCGAGCATCCGCGTAGTGGAACGAGGGGTTGTAGAAGGCACTGCCGTGACGGGCTCCGAAACCGGAAGCGGTAACGGCAGCTTGGAAACTGTTCATGTGCGCGCGCCTTTCGTTCCCAAAAGGCCGGATAGGTGGATGGGTGGGGGAAAGACGAACCACGAACGAGTGGATGGGTGGAGGGGGGGGAGGAAGGGAAAGGGGTAAAGTGCGCCACAAAGCATCGAACAAAGTATTACCAACCGACAAGCGGAGGAGGTCGCAGAGCAGCCGGGCTGATAAGGAATAAAGCAGTGTGATTCACCGAAAAATCCTCCCCTTGAAACCAAGCAATGGACCGACTTTTTGTATTCTAGGTTTTAAATTTTTAATAAATCTAGGACCTCAAATACATGCCAGGCAACATGGTACATCCACACATATGCATGCTCGCCACTCCCCGCGATCAACTACTAAGAGCGCATATCGAACGAGTCCGCCTAACCCACCAACCATTTCCGTCAACAAACCTCAACTGGGGACTACTTCAGGTGTTACAGTACTCGTGTGCCACCGCCGCCAGCCCCTGCCGGCGGCCCAGAGCACGAGTGGCAACCCCAAGAACCCACCTGAAGGCCTGTATGGCGGGACTCGCGGGCACGTTGGGGTGGATGCACGGAATACCCCACGCAGCCGGAGATCCGCTAACAGAGGAGCCCCCCTGGAGCGAGGAAATCAGGTCGCCGCCGCCAGCGCTGCCTAAAGCGTAGCCCATAACGGGCAGGCTCGGTACGGCGGAAGCCGGCGCAGCAGACGCAGCTGCGGAAGCGGATGTGCCGATGCAGCACTTGCCTGCGCCTCCAGCGGTGGCGGCAGCAGCAGCAGCAGCCGCGGCGACAGCAGCAGCTACAGGTCCCAGGGGCGAGCCGCTGCTGGGGGCGCCGCCGTGAGATCCGGTTCCGTACATTCCGCCGTTGATAGGCGTGCCGCAAGCGGGACTGGCGGTGAAGCTGTTGGACGGCTGCGGCGGCGGCTGAAGGCGCGGAATAGGCATCGCCACTCGAACCTCGCCACCCCCACCGTCGCCAGCCCCGTCCCCGCCGCTCCGTCCACCTCCACCTCCACCGCCTCCGCCGTCCTCACCACCATCCTCCTCGTCGCATGTCTGTAGATTACATAGTAGGACCAACAACATATACGAATGAAAGGCAAAAATATGTAGTAACACGGTACCATTGATAGGAAGGCATTGACGCCGGGTGGGCCGCGGGTTATCAGAGCAACAGTAGCAACAATAACAGTGCAACTCCCAACACCCGGCATTTGCTATATCGTGGCCGCTTGAGCCTTACGTTGCCAGATGATATGCCGCAATGACTAAAACACACACACATACACACACACGCACACGCGCGACAGGGCCGACACGCATGGCGCTTGCTCGGCGTGATCTTAAGATTAAAATTATCTAGTATATAACACGCAATAGTACGGGTTGACCACGACACTTGTGAAACGTTCGCTTGTGAAACCCATGAACGATGACCCGAATCTTTACCAAAACCGATAACATCACACCACCAGCTGGTACTGCGTCTCCCTCCCCAGCAAGTGATGAGACCGCCACACCATGCCAGCTACATACTCGTACAGTCCTATCCACCCACCCACCCAACCACCTGCCCCACTCGACCCATAACAACACCCGACAACACAGCCAGCCAAACTATTATAATACGTTATTTTTGCCTCAACAGAAAATACAACGCCGTTGTGCACGACGAATATAACTTGGCAATCCTACGCATTATTTACTACAATTATCTATTACTGCGAGGTCTCCTATTTCCGGCCACGGGAATGGATACCGTGTGTATACCTGCGCGCTGAGCTGCTCGTGCATGTTAAGCACTCGGTCCATGGCCTGCGCCACCGTCTCCGCGCCCTCCGTGGTGCGCAAGATGCTGAGCTGACGGGCAGTCCAGGGCTTGGTGAAGGCGGCGGTCAGCAGGTCGTGAAGCTCCGCCTCCTCCCAGCCTGCAAGAGGACGCGAAAGTGTGACGACAATAAAATACCCAAACACGCCCAAACTGGAAGGGCAGGGCACACGTGGTTCCTAAGGGTGTCCATGGTACAGGGCAGGTGGGAAGAGCAGCATGGGGCAGCACATGACACGACAGCGTGGGCAACGAAAACAACAACAGCAGGCGGAGGTCCTAGAAGGATCCCATCCAATGGTTGCATTGCGGTGTGATATGACGTGTGTATTTTGATTCCTAGGATTTGCTCCCAGACAGCGGCAAGGCTGTTCAACGCACAGATGTGAACCGCCAGTCCCCCCAAAACCCCCCCCTTTTCACTCGCCCTTCCTTTATCCTCACCTGGCACCTCAATTTTGAGGTAGCCCAGCACCTCCTCCAAATCCATCATTGAGCGAAGCCGGTTTCCAACCTCCTTCATGATAGCCGCGGCGACCTTCGGTTTGCCGTTGGTTGGAAAGTTGGAAGGTGCTTGTTAGTTGATGGGTGGTTGTGTATGAAAAAGCGGATAGCACTTAGCGTGTCGTAAAGTTGGCGTGAAAATGATGTCACCAAAATCGCATTTGTGCTTGCGTTGGAATGGCTACTCCTCTCCCCCCCACCAGCACATCGATTCATTTGCCTTGAAGCTGGGACCCGATATGAGCCCAGGTCAAGGCCGAATGTGCTGGACATGTCGCATGCGACGACATCAACGTACCTTGAGCAGTGCGCATTCGCACTGGTCCGCTAACAGCACGTCCATAATCCTGCGACCACATCGCAATTTGCGCACGGTCGTTAGGGAACTGTCAATCCTGGACTTTACAAACTAGAACGCAGCATGAGGAGGTGTAAATTTCGGCAATGCAGGAAATGTTTCAGCGCTGCCTTTGACGTCCGGGAAGACGCATTTATATAGAACGCATGACTACAGACGATGCAGAAGCATGAACACATTCTTTGCTTCGTAGAATGCAAATGCAAATGATGAAACTCATAAGCCGAAACAACGCTTTTAAAAAACCCCTAAGTTTGTTATGCATAGAAACGTTTTCAACAAACTTTCAATCAAAAACATCCTGTTCCACTTTTTAGAATGTTGATTGCATGAGTAAAACCCTCATTAACCTCCTGCCACGTAAATCCTGTAATTAAATCCCATCATTACTGCTGTAAATTCTGCCCTTTTCCCACCCTGAGCTCAACAGCATTCCGTTACCGCCGAAGCCGGGCATCTCTCCCTCAGCCGGCCGCCATCTTTCCCCTTCCCGCTACAACCTTTTCCACCCAGAGACTTCTCCACAGCTCAGTCCCGCCAAGCACCCCGCTTCGCCAAAAAAACCGCCACATCACAAAGCTCGCATGCTATCATTCAATCAACTTTAATCTGGGTCGCCCCTTAGAGGGCTACATTTGTGACCCCGCCACTTGCAGAACGAAGCAGCAGCACTGCCCTCTTTCCCCCAGGTCGTTGGTACTTAGGATTTTCATCGGCAGTTCTCACTTCGATTTAAGCATACGAGTCCTCCACCCCCAGGCCGCTATATTTGGAACCACCAGCGACTGCTTTTGAAACCCAGTGCTGCCCTCTCGCGACAGCGCCTCAGCTATTCCTGCAGCTCCGTTGGGACATCACGGCCCTCCCTCCCTCCTCTTCTTCCCCCGAAGCCTGACCTACCCCGCCCCAATCAGAATAGGGCCCTCCTGGCGCCAGTAGGAGGTGCCAGACATAAGGACATATTGATGTTTGTCTTAACCAGACCCACCCCTTCCTTCCACACGAAGCGCCATCAGCTGCGCAGTAAGTGCTCCAAAACCGCGGCAGTCTGATTCCACCCGTTGATCCACATGACGCTCATCCACTATCTAATTGTCTCTGATGTAGGACCAGCTCCTCAATACGGAACAACAACCGATCTCATTGGGCAACAACCGGGATCAACGTACCGACCCCCCCGAGCATGTTCCTCCTCCCAGGTGGGGAGAGATGCCGCACCTGACCCGGGCCGTGTGTCATTACTCCCCTCCGCCCTCGATGTAGGAACACTATCTACCATATATACCTATCCAATCTAAAGTAGGTGCTTTTGTTATCGGGCGTTCCATCACACACGTAGTACCCGCGTTTTCAAAAGTACTATTGGTCAATACACCGAGAGCTCCAGAACCCCCATGGACATCTTCATTGCCCCGATACAAAACTTGACGAAATACGCACCTGGCTGAGAACGGGATCGGAAAATCTGCTGAGAAAGCAGTCATGAGCCAAGAGGCGCCGTACAGCATGGGTACGACGCCAAGCGTTTCCAAATGCTGGTTCAGTGCTGGGCTGATCAGTCGGCTTAGCTGCCATAATTGAACCTATTAAGCATTTGCGTGAACGAAGGGCAGCGTGGTTTTGGTTTATCAAGTCAAGGGCTTTCGCAGGAATAGGGTTTGAGATGCGACTTCCACGGGCGCAGCATGTAGAACTTCAGACAGCGTCGTAGTTTGAGCAATGCTTCCTGCTCACATATTCCGCATCGTAGTTCCCCCTTATGCTTTAGGCACCTTGCGCGTAAATCAGACGAACGGTGCTGGACCAGATAGAGCGCATACTTCAAACGAACCCCCTACTACAGTACAAAGTGAAGTCATAATTCCAAGCACTCCTGAAGGCCGTATCCCACACGGAACATACCGCGTTGCCCCTAGTGATGTCGTGCATCGCCTGTTGGTAGCTAAATCCCAGAGCTGACTAGGTGTTTCCAATACTTTCATGGACCCGACAAACCTGCAGCAGCGACATGCTGCGGTGGTACAAGCTCCGCAATTTCCGATCCTCCATGAGCACTACCAGCGCGGCAAATGCGTGCGCCTCCGAGGGCATGTACATTAACAGCAGCCCCGTCAGAAAATTCATGCCCTGACAGTAAGCTACCTCAGGGTCGTACGCCGCGTATGCTCGCAGCACATTCCGCAACTGCGTCTGCCCTTCTTCTGCGTGAAACCGACGCGTGTTCGGAAAAGTGCGCTGTACATCCTTCTCGATGTCGTTGGCAGCTTCGCGAGTTATCTCCTGTGAAGGCAGCGGGTGCAGAGTTCCTTCCGTCAAGCGTCCCAGGGCTCTGCGGCTCTGCACAAACTAACTCATGATACCATGAACTCCGACGAAATCATGTTTCCAAATACAAATAATAAACCCGTGCAGCAAGCTCCCCTTCCACCTGTGAAAGGTACGCTTGGTACTCGCTTACGAGGGAGTGCCGACGGGCAAGTGACGAGAGCCACAATTCTGCAATGCACAGCTTCTTTTCAGCACAGGTTACGGCTAATGCATGGATGAATCCAATTAAGAGACACCCGTCGGCCTGGGTCGCATGCGCGCCAACCAACGCGCAACAGGTTGCGAACGATCCCCTCTTACCAATCCGCAACTGTCTGGGGGCATGCCAAACAGTGCGTCCCACTTGAAGGAAAACCTCTTGCTCGTCCTCGAGCAGAACTTTTGGCTGGCGAATGCCGAGCAACCCAAGGAAGCGTTCCTTGACCGAGTCTTTCAGGTCTTTTAAGCGAGCGGGTACGCTGCTGCTTTCATTTGAAGCCATTGCTGCTCTACGCTATAACCGGGGCGCCAAAAAGGCGCTGCCCGGCAGGGAAGACAGGGAGAGGCCAGTAAGGCGAAACTAGGTCGGAGATGCATATAAATGAGAAAAGGTATTTAACGTCTAAAAGTTCATGCACTCTTCGCTAGAATAACAGAGGCAAAATGGCTCGACAACGCTCGCGAATTCGCCGGGACAATTTTCCTTGCAGAAGAAGTCTAGCATCCGGCATAAGTCTTGCTAGTGATGCCTTAGACACATCCTGCTTCTGGAGACCCCAGTCACAACTCCTCCAGGAAGGGTGCAGAATATATTTGTACGACATGAAAGAGTGCCTCCATGCGGTCCCGTCATGGATGAGCAACACGATGACCGGTTGTGTAGATGTTAGGAGGCGAGTAGAGCGCTTTCGACATCACGTTGACAGCTTGGATCTTTTGACGTTAACTAGTGTTTCCAGGGACGCTAAAGGATAGCAAGTGGGTGCTTACTTTATTTGAGCGCATTAAACAAAACCTTTTCGGTTTCCTGTGTCTTTCTCTCAAGAAAGCTTGTAATATCCATGGCCTGAGCTCTTGCTACTGACCTCCAAGCGCTTAAGATGCGGTGTACATTCTAAAGAGCAGCAAGGTACTTCTTGCTAAGTTAGATATATGCTGCGTCCTCGGCTGGTTGTCTCAAAATCGAGCCAACCTCAGACTTTGCATATGCTTGTTTTGTCTGTTTCAGTTACGAAGATTAATGTTCTCTTTCAGGTGTTGTCATGGCGCTATTCGCAGATCTCGCATCTCCTCAAGGGCCAGCCACCATGGATCTGAAGCACAATGAACAATGGAACACGTGCGTCTCGGGCTCCGAGAGCATACCGTTGCTCTGTGAACCGGGCTACTTCGGCATACTTCCCCAGATAATGCCATCGTTTCTGCCGACGCTGTTGGGCACATCCGGGTTCCCTATCCCTGCCCTGTTCCCCAGTTTCATCCCCTTTCCTGGCAATACATTCCCGGCCATGTTTTGCAACAGCTTCATAAGCCCCACGATCTGTAACCGTGGCGCCAGCGGCCAGCAGGGCTATCCTCCTTGTTTTGCAGATGTTTCACCCAGTGAAAGCAGCGCATCCGCAAGCAGCGACCCCATCACCATGCCGCGTACCTCCAGCTGCACCCCTCGTTGTGGACCCGCTTTGCCACGGACGAGTTTGTACCAGGCCGGTGACTCCGCCTCAAGCAGCTTCCTGGACCGCTGCATTGATACCGAATCCACCGTTCTCGTCACCAGGCACCAACGAACTGTCAACTCAGGAAATGAACCCTCCGCCGGCGTCAGCAGCTTTTGCGGGGCTGAAACCTCTGCAGCACTAGGTCCCAGCGCAGTCCCTACGGGCCCGAATCAGGTCGCTGCTGGCCATGGTGCCGGGGCAGTTCCCGTCTTCATTTCTTACTCAGATATTGACGATGCTAAGGTCGATGCCGATATCGCTGGTGCCCTAGAACGCTGGGGGCCGGCAGCCGAGGAAGGACCCTGCAGGGTTGGGATCGGTTATGGTGTCGGCATCACTGATGGCGATGGCGATAGTGACGAGCTGCTGCCGCGGCCGCCGGCTTCAGAGGGGGTGACGGGCAGCGGAGTAGAAGTCGCCAATACCGTCACCCCGACGGATGCACTCTGCTTTCGAGTCTCGGAGCGAGGCGAGGGCCGTGTGGCGCTGCGGGGCCTTCTGTCAGGAGATTTGATCTGGGTCAGTGCCAAGAGATATCGGGCTATCCTGAAGCGCCGGCATCAGCGTCAACGCGGGATTCGGATTGGCATTGGCGGCCTCACGGTGTTCTCTTCGCCCTGCAATGGGACGGTGAGATGCTTTTTAGGACGTGGTCTGGACTGGTATGTATGGTCGTCTACTGTGGGTGTGATTCTTGTGGCGTGATCATTGCTATCGCCAATTGTTTCTGACGGTCATATGCAATGTGCTGATGTCCTTTAAAAGGAGGCTGAGGAACATGCAAGGTAAGGTAAACGGTCCTCGTGCGATTCCCTTCGCTGCAGCAGTCGCACTTGCTACAATTCCTGTTGCTGCTACCCTGCCTGTGTGTCGAGCGCCAGCATGCCACACACAGGCGGTCTTGAGGACCGAACTGTGAAACCCGCACAGCCCGGCGTTGCAAAAAAATTCGCGACCTATGTTATCCTTTGCGACCCATAGTTACATTGTGTCCCTTTGTCTGCGTTTCCTGCATCGCAGCGCGGCCTGACATCGTTCCGAGCCCAGGCGGCCTCCATGGAACAGCAGCAGGAGGAGCTACAGCTACTACAGCTCAACCCCCGGCAGGTGCAGCCGAACGACGACCCACAAAGTGATTACGTGCAAGAAGATTACGTCGTCGATATTGATGACGACTACTGCCATGGCAACAGTTGTGGTGATGAAGATGAATCTGCTGACATTTCCGATGGAGGCGTAGGCGGCAGTTCGTGCGCATGTCCCACCTTGGATAGTTCTGATGAACGGCATCCCGCGACGGCCGTAGCCGCTGGGGGTGCTGCTGCTCCGGCAGTGGTGACAGCCCTGCAGTGGGGTTTCGTGCCACTGGCGGCGCCCGCAGCCATGATGGGCACGGCTTTAGCTAAGGCTGCTTTGGAGGCGGAGCTTCGAGCTGTGCTTGCTGAAGAGACTGGCGTGCTCGCTCCGGATCCCAGCGTTGACGACTCAACGGCGGGAGCCTTGTCAGCGGACGATGGCAGCAGGGGTGGGGGCAACATTTAGTATGCCAGCGTCGGTGGTTGCTTGCGACCCGTAATACGTTCAAAAATAATTCTTCACATTTGCCCAGGAAGCGGTTTCTGCGTTTATGATAGCAGCCCCACCTCCGGAGGTCGGGCGGGCTTGACGTTGTGCTCTTGACCTTCTCCGTCCTTTCCTTCAACGTCGCAAGAACCGAGGGGCTGCTTCGTTTGTCTGATCTTGAGGTATGGAGGCAGCCCTTAACGCACACACGCACACAGTCAGCCTCATTCTAGGCCTTCGGTCTTCTTCCCGTCTTCCTTGCAGCCTCGCCGCGGTAAACATCTTCAGTAAGAAGCAACCGACCAATCTGACTTAGGGAAGGCAGTTATGCTCGAGGGAACTTGCCTGGTGAGTGAGTTTGCACTTCACTGGGGCTCTCCGTAGTGATACATAAGGGTGGAAACGGTGCAGGGAATTGTGCTGTGGACTTTCGTATGCTGATTGGATGATATAGTTAAGCTTCTGGCACTACCAGGATCTCTTGGTTCGACTAGAGGTACTAGCTGCGAATTGGCGATATAGACGTGAGGATTCAGGTCAGCACAAACGAGAGCGGCAGTGGAGGTTATTCTTGCTGGTTGAATGGTATAGTCGTACTTTTTTTTGCACGGGCGCGCATGTTTCTTACGAGGCGATGAACACTCTTATGTGTTTCTTGCAGCAGCCATAATGATCATATAATGCTCTTGTGATAGTAAGGATGATGATGACGATATGTTCGATCGGATCTGTTGCAATTTTCGTAGAATTGTTGGGCGTATCTGTTGGGCATATCTGGCGGCGGCTTAGGTATGAAGCCTTGAACGATAAGGAGAGCGGCCTTGCCTTTCCTTACGTTTCGGTTCCCCAACCTTGCGCTTGAAAATCGTAGATCAACTAATGTTTTTGGATAAGCTGGAGAGTAAACGGTCGTATGGATAGACGTGCATGTGTATCTTTTCTTTGGCACAGCATGTTGTTGATAGCCGGTGAGATAATTCGTTGGCGTGAGATTTGGCACATGGCCGCTCGCATCGCTTTTCTTGTTTGGATATGCGCCCCTTGCAAGACAATAAAAAGGGCTTAAAAATCTGGCTTAATCATAGATCATCGGTTTCCCAGCGTTTTTGGACCCGACGATCAGGTTTGCCCTGATGGACGGACAGCACTGCTCGATGGCATGTGCTTGCTCCCTTGCTTACCTGCTTGGTTTTGCCTCCATACATTTAGTATGTCTGTTTGTTGTCGTCGTCACGGTTCCTGGTTTTGTTTGTCCATGTTCATGTCCTGATGTGGCTATCTTGCTGCAGAAGATGGTCCTGCAGGTTGAATGCATTGAAGTTGTTGTATACTGCTTCAAGGCCGCCTTTGGGGTTGTTTTCCTTACAGGCTGCAACATGGCACATATTGTACGGGACTCATATACAAACGTGCGCCGCACGCATGTACGCTTTTGAGGACGCACACTCCCTATATCACTTTAGTAGGGTAATGTTATATGGCACATAAACAACAGGCACGAGATGTTAGCCGTGCCTATGAGGGAGTGCCACCTGCGTAGGAAAGCACTTCTGTTGAGCACTAAGAATGTGTGCACCGGGCTTGGTGGGTGCTGGTTTAGCTCCCTGCAGTAGGTCACATGAAAGGGAAGGTAACAGCGCTCTGAGAGTGACATGAATTTTGGATTTCAATTTTGTTCACAAGAGCAGCAGGTGGAATCGGTGCACACAATACTGGTTACGGTGTGACGGGTTTGTTTGTGTTGTTTTGTTTTTGCGTGATGGAACAGAGTTTGAGGGTTTTACCGTCACAACCTCACGTGTGTTTTTATTTTGAGGCCCGAGTGGGCCAACTATGATGAGGTAATGATGACGTGGATGAGTGTGTTTGGGTTCAACTAGTTTTGGGGCTTTCCTGATAGGCTTGGACGCGGGGCCATGATTTGTTGGCATCGTATGTCAAACAATCTGGTGCCTACCCTTCGCGGGCAACTGGGTCCCATCACTTACATCATGCCGGGCTGTTTTCCAGTTTGAATTTTGTGGCGACGGTAGTGGCTGTGGTGATGGGGTGGCGGTACTGTAGAGGTGGTGTATCAGTTACTTTCTGTTGGGTTGCGGCTGCTGGGGTTGGTGTTTGGAAGGCAACCGGATACAGTGTTGGATATCAAGGTGATGGTGGTTAGTGTTGGTGATTCTTCTACAGCAGCGGTGGTTATGTGGCGATGGTACGCTGGAGATGCAGTAGTGGCTGCTGCAGAAGCGATAAAGGTGGTGGTGGTGGTGGCGGTGACGGTGATGAATATGTTGAAAACTGTCTGTTGGACTGGGCTATCCTGCTCTTCAGTCCGCTTAACCTCGTTAATCCCACATAAAGACAAATTGCCAAGAAAGGTTTTCCCAACTACAGAGAACTTGCCAGTGGCGCAGCAGGTGAATTGCCGTGGTGTGACCCTTGCTCATGTCTGCTCATGCCAATATCACATTAGCAGCTATTTGAACTCCCATGTTATCCACACGTAGCAATTTAGCTTCCAGTAATGTTATTAGTAAACTGCATCGAGCTAGGTTTGGTGCATCTTTTCCTGCCTCTCTTTCCTAACTTCTGTTTCCAAGACTTTCCAAGCTAGCATGTACCATAGATCTTCGGCCCGTGAAGACCTTGTGTGCTTTGGTTAATGCTCCCAGCAATTACACATGCGTGTCAAGCAGGCACCCCATCATAATCGGTATTGCAGCAAGGCTAACAAAAGCGACGTGCCCTGACCCTCCCTCCGAAACCACGTCCAAGTTTGCACAAGGCTTAATGAAGACCGTGTTGTACACGCATTACCATTCTGCCGCTGTTGTAGCACCAAGAACTAAGTCGAGGATGAAAAACACGTGTTATTGGAATGCTCAGCTTATAATGATCATCGCGCGGAAGAAGGATTTGATGATCAACAGGGCATGCATGTTGGAGGCCATGAAATGGATGCCAGTGTTATGCCCCGACTTAAGAAAAATACCGATCGGTGGATGCAAATTCCGTGATATGCTCAGAATTGAACTGCCAGTCCGTCTGGCCAGGATGTTGGAACATATGTGGGCTCAGTTGTGCCCACCATTGGACATCTTTCCCTCACTGAAACTGATCAGGTGAGGGACGATCACTGGCGGAGTTGATGATATCTCGAGTGGACCAGCACCACCCTCACCATCGCTGGGGCAGGGCTTCCTTCTTGGCCTTCTGGAAGTTCACTTGCGCACGCAGGTCACGGACATGCTCCTTGTTGGAGGCTGACAGCATTGATATGCAACAAGAGTTCAAGGGTATTCTATGGGGCCTGCTGCACTGGCAGCTTGTCCGCCTGGCAACTCAGCTGCGAGGCGGCAAGTTTCATCTCTCCTCCCATCTCCCCCAACCCCATATGCCCTGGCTCCTCTCAGAGCTGCTGCACACCTCATCTGCAGATGCAGCCACTAGATGGACAGGACCCTTTGGTACAGTGATGGATCCAGAGGCGGGGTCATGACATCGCCAAGTGAGTGGAAACAGCCAAGCAGGTGTGTGGAAGCTGCTGGGCGGCTCCACGAGGCTGCCCTGCCCTGCCCTGCCCTGCCCTGCCCTGCCCTGCCCTGACTCTTTTGATCTGGTGTGGTGGTGCATTGAGCCCATGCGGAGGTCTGCTTGGTGTTGCATGGACGGGAGTGGGTAAAATCACCACCATAGAGAACAGAAAGTCATTACCTTCCTGCAGCCGCGATTAGTTCATGAATCTCATCAATCATTCACTAAATACGTGCCAGCAGCTGTCCAGCACTTTCAAGGTGCTCCAGTCTCGACTTTCATTAACTCCAATTTTTTTCCTGTACCTAACTCTCGAATCAAAATGAATTGTAGAAGTCCAAGCTCTATGATGCTCACAACTTCTTCATCCATGGTGATGGATGCAGATAGACTCAGCTCTTCGACTAGCTGCATCATGCAAGCAAAGTTGAAGCACGGGGCAGGTACCTGCCTCCCAAAACTAAGATATTCACAAGTATTCACGACAAAACCCATGAATTTTTGTAATTTACCTATAGCAAAACGGACCAGCAGCAACTGCAATGACATTGTTTTCACTGGCCCACTGCTGCATGTGGCCAGGTGGCCTGGTCTACACGCTGCTGTCAGCACAGCTCCGCTCCCTTCACGTCAGATTCCTCAGTCTAAATACCTATTCTTGGGGTCGTCCATCAAGGTGTTGCTCTCACAGTACAACCCAGCTGACCTGCGAGCAGCATCACCCCCCCTTGAGAACTAAGCTACAAAACTGCCGCATCCCTTCCTAGGAGAGCTAACTACGCCGTCTTGTCAACGCGCCATCACCTCTTGAGGCGTCCTTGCCCCTTTCCCGTCGCCCTCTGGGGGCACCAAGGTGCAACAAAACCCCGGAGGGCAGCACACCACACTTAACTCTGTGAACCAACCCACTGCTGACAGATAGGTAGTAGCAGCTGTAGGTGGTACGGCGCATATATCGTTTATGAATGCGGGCTCTTAAGCTCATAATCTTATTTAGCGAGCGCCAAATTCTTAAGAAACGTTTTCAGCGGCTATTTATACGGAGGTATTGTATGAGAGCTCGTACATGTCTGTGACCCTGTGGTCATTAAATTAACCCTCATAGACCTAAATAGACTACTTGGCAGATATCGTGTCAAACGCCAAGTTATCCGATTTGCTGCACGAAGACATTGGGATCGAATTTTTAGTAGTTATTTTGGATTTGTTGAACTGGACAGACTCTGTGCCTGAAAAACTCCAGATGGCTACGCAAGTATGAGTCGAGGCACATGTCGTGACGTTGGTTGAGCACCCACTTCTGCCGGAGGGTATAGGCGATGGTAGGCAAAGCTGGTGTTTGTGGCCGTAAGACCGATCCCAACGGCGTTGCCTGTGGCTTGCCATTCCCCATCGGGACTTCACCCTCTTGTGTGGTGGGAAGTAGCGGCGCTCGAACAAGGCCGGCAACGGATGTTGCGGCAACCCGTGTCCCTTACATGTCTTGTGTGTCCCGCATACACGTGTGGTGCTCAAGGGGCCCACGGACACAGCCTCTCACCCTCACCTCCGCATCACTGAGGGTGTTAGGTCAAGCGTCGTACTATCATCTCCCTGATCCCTGTGTAGACGCCACGATGCTCCCCATGCATTTCACTGCGTGTGCTTATAACAATGCATGACTGCTTAGCTCTCGCACTGTGGACTAGCTGGCTTGTAGTAGCTGGTACACAGTGCGGCACACATATCAACTACAAATACGCACGAAGCGCTCAATCAGTATCCCGAGAGGCCTCTTCAGCGGCCAGCTATTACAATTGGTACCGAGACCTTGTACGTGTTTGCAATCCTGTTATCATCAGCTCGACTTCATACGATCCACAAAAAGTGGATATCGGGATAGATGACTGTCATTGCACGAAACCTCGACTCAAAATGTAGCTGTGGCTGCCTGGGAAGACTCTGTGCCCGAAAACCTAAAGACATCTAGGCGCTTGCGTGGGCGGCACGTGACGTGACGTGGACTGCACACCCTCAGCCCCGGGGTAGGCGAAGGTATACGGCTGGTGGCTGATGGTATACGTGGCCGCAAGGACCCGAGACGGATCCCTTCAAAAGGGGAGGAGTGTAGGAGCTGGTACACAGTACGGCACACAGTAGCATATTAAAAAGAGCCTTTTCAACAGCCAGCTACTAGGTGGGCCACAAGGAACCAAGCTGCACCAACTGCAGGTGGCTCGGGAGTTGGGTGGGTTTGCGCCCTTCGCTTTCCTCTTCAGCACATGGAGGGCCTTGAGGGACCTTCACTGCACTTCACAGAGATCGTCAACCGACATGCGACACCTCGGCGACCCCCCCCCCTCACCCTCACCCTCACCCTCACCGCGCACCCGGGCCCCAGCTGCTGCGGCTGCGGCTGAAACTATGGTAACGAAATTGTCTGAAGCCAGGCGACATCCTCCCAGGCCTCCAGGACACCTCCCCCCCAGCGCACCCCCGCCCGGGCTCCCGTAATCCCGGCTTATGCAACACCACCCATGATACCCTCTTCCTTTGTTGACCCAAGAGTCCTCAAGGAATGGAATGCCGCGACTCCCTAGGGAGCTTACCCCCCCTAGGGGGGGAACCCCGCGGATGCAGAAACGTCTCTGTTGAGAGAGCACCTCGTCGACCCCGTTTGTGGAGTCACCGCACCACCGGGATTTATGCGTCTACCTGGCTTGTGGGCATTGCCGCGCTGCCATGGCCTCCTTTCCTACTTACGTAGTCTTGCTTCTTCGAGGTACGAATCCAGTCGTGCAGGTGAAATCCCGTCCCTCTCCCTCTCGCCTTACTTCCACCAACACCCTCCGCAACAGACTGATCAGGGTACACAGGTAGACAGGTGCACAGGTACGCAACCCAACGGGCCAAAAATACACCATCAACTCCAGTAGGTGATTTTGCACTGCATGTACACAGTATATGCATGCACTGCATGTAAGCCTGTGCTCATTCATGATTGCAGTACACTAAAACAGTTCAGGGCTGTCGAGTGCCGATGCCGCCTGACCCCGCCGCCGTCGCATCTTCCTGCGGGTTGCCTTGCAGCGGCGGGAACTGCGCCTGTGTGGTGTAGAGTGCGGGTGAGCTGGTGTTGGTGATGGCGTTCCTGCAGCAGGGGATGAGGGGGGGATGCCGGCGGCAGGTGAGGGCGGTGGAACCTTGGGTGGATGTGGTGATGCTGGAGATGATGTAGAAAATGGGGATAGCGATGATAGAACCGGAGACGCCCTGGAGGACCTGTTTTGGGGTTCTCCTATCACCGGGGAAGGGGCGGGAGACCCGTTGGATTTGTGGTTCCGGTAGTATTACCATTACTTGGATGTGCAGCAGCGGCACATGGCGTGGCACCGCAGGGCGACGATCCTGGCAGCCTGGCGCGGGAGCCCCTGCCTGCACCCCCGTAGTCTTGATGAGAGTCCCGCACCCACCAGCCCACAACCCCATATCACCCGGCCACCTATACCAGCGCCAGACCCACCCACCCACCCACCACACGATAATCTCCCGGCCGTCCACATCCGTGAGCCGTAGGTCCAGGGGCAGACTCGGCAGTCCACTGTACTCCCACTGAGCCCCCACCGTGTTCCGCATGTCACGCCAAACAGGGCCGCGAAGGGTGCCGGTGCAGCCGGGCACGAGACCGCTAGCAGCGGAGGGGGAGGAGGAGGGGGAGGAGGAGGGGGAGGAGGGGGAGGCAGCAGCGGTGCCGGCGCCTTCCTCTTCCGCCGGTTGTGGCCTCGGGCAGTGTGCAATGGCCGCCGCCGCAAGGCCGTTTCCCGCCACGTTGCGGGCGCTGAGACGCAGCCAGCCACCCGCGCTGGGCCGGAAGGCGCTCACGTAGATGCTGATGTTGGTACCTGTGGTGACGGGTGCGGAACGAAGGATGGGGAGAGAAGGGATGAAGCGCAGAGACGGGACTTGGGGTAAACTGGTAAAAAAAGGACTAATGCACGTTTAAGAACACACCACAATGTTACACCATAAAACAAGTGCGCGAACTCAAATCTTGCCAAAGGGTTAAAGCGCAAGGCCCGAAATAACGTTAGAAACAAACAAACGCACCTTGCCAGGGGCAGGCGACGGTACGGTAGGTGATGTTCATGATGCCGACCCGCGGGTCGGCCAGCTGCGAGAAGGCATCCACATGAAGGTTCAGGTCCAGGGGGTCACAGGAGTTGCACGTGTCCGCGACTGACAGCAGCAGTCGTCCGGGGCTGACGATGCCGAGGTCGCCGGAGGGGGGCAGATCTGAGGGCGGCGGGGTGAGGCTTCGGGAAGCTTCCGGATGAGTGCAGGCCGGGCTGCTGTCCTGCAGAGGGAGCTCCAGTGGGGGGAGAGTAGTAGGGAGAAGGACAAGGCAGTGGAGGCGGTAAGCGGATGCGGCGAAGACGGGGGGGTGTTGTGGGTTTCCCTGAACTACTGCGAGGCTGCAGGAAATTGTATCCAGTACAGGATTGAATCTTATTCAGCAGGGGTTCAGTGTGAGAAGAGCGTGTACGGCAGTAAGGAAGGGTATTGGCTAACACGCGTAGTGTCGTTGGAGTATTGGAACGGGATTCGGTTAGAAGATGGTTGTGCGATAACGGTCTCTAAGAAGTTACGGAGCTGTACGGGGGTATTGTTATCAAATGGAAGGCTCTACGGGCCCTTGCGGTTATCCTGCCTTATTGCGGCATGCTCGTAACCGTACTGCAAGGTATGTCCGTATCTTGCCGTACGCACGAGTATTTTACCTCTGCACAGACCACCTCGAGACATGTACCGCAGCCCGACAGCGGCCGCCGCGTGGCGAGAGGGGAATCCGGGGAAATACCCACAACGTACGGCGAGCTCAGAGGGCCGTAACCGCAAGAGTTGTTGCTGAGCGTTATGGCCTGTACGACAAAGCATACCAGACGAACAGGAATGAATAACAAAATCTTTTACGTATGGACAATTTGTTGCACTGGAGGATGCTTGATGGGGGGTGGCCGGGGCCGCGGCAGCGCTGATTTTTTTGTTGAAGGTTCAATAACTTTTTGTAAACTTAAATTCCTCAATCGTGAGGCGGCGCTAGGAGAGCCTCCGCCACCAGCACCTCCCGCTCCTCTCCGGGAAATGACTACACTGCACCGGAACATGCTATCTGCAGGAAAGTTAAACGTAGCTGCTCCGCCGTCCAGGCCGCACTCTGTCTGAGCTAAGCTAGCCCTGTAGTCATCGACAAACCCCAAGAAAACCCCACAATATTTAATATATAATAATCCAGGCTCATGGCCCGGCGCACTCCGCCCTGCTTGGTTTTGTCAGAAATACCCTAAACACCTTCCCGGCTTCCGGTAATGGTCTTTTCAGGACCATTCTACCCACAAGTGCGGTCCCGCGTTTTGGCATCTGGCCGACTGGAGTGGCTCAAGGAATCAGTTTCTATCGGTAAATCCATTCTTTTTTACAACGGGGCCGAACCCCTCTCCCCTCTCCCCGGTCGATTGCATTCCTTTAAAGAAATTTACGTATCTTTTACAACGAATTGGGTCACGGCCACAGCGACCAGACATGCAGCCCCAAAGATTTCTTTGCCATCCTGGGAAATAGCGAGTTCAGGATATTTGTGTGGTCGGCCGTACGACACCATCCTTGTACCGACAATGCCCAAATACTCACACTCACCTCTCCACTGTCACCGAAACGGAAGCCTCGAGCAGTAACAGGTACTGAGAAGTTGGTGCCCTTAGCCCACGCGCCCAGTGACGCCGTCAGGCTAGCGTTGCTGCCGCCGCCGCTCACGGCACTACTGCCGCCACCGCCACTGACGTCGCTTATGGCACTACTGCCGCCACTGCCACTGACGTCGCTTATGGCACTACTGCCGCCACTGCCACTGACGTCGCTTATGGCACTACTGCCGCCACCGCCGCCGCTTACGGCACTTCTGCTGCCACCGCCGTTACCGCCTCCGCCTTTTGCGATGCCGGGAATCGCAATCTGCAGCAGCTCACGGTGGCCGGTGCCTCCGCCGCCGCTAATGCCGCCGCTAAGAGGCGCCTTTCCTTCAGCTGCAGCTGCAGCTGTTGAAAACAGAACGGGGAAGAGCAGCAGCAGCAGCAGCAGCAGTCCCGAAAGCGACATTCTTGCAGACGCTTTCAAAATGATGATTCCGGAGCTGGTGGTGCGAAAGGAGCTGCGATGCTGTCCGTTTGGTAATCGCGATTTTGGAGATGGAGAGTGCCTGCTGCTGTGTGATGACGCCATATCTTGTTTCTGGGGTGGAAAGGCTGCGCAAGGGCGCGGGTCCGCAGTAGATTTCGTAGGCTCCGGAACCAGGAAAGCTGTGAGGTGCGTCACAAGGTGCCCCTGAATTGTTATGCAATGCTTAGATTCTGCTGCGTAGCTGGGACGCCGGTGGTAGGGCCCGTGACGTGCGTATCTTTCAAGAGCGCCCACACTTTCGCACGAAACCAGTCAGTTTTGTTGTTGCTTTGTCGGACTTTGAGGAGAGGTCCTGGAACAAAGGCTGCACAAAGCTCCGCTGTATTTTATGTTTTCAAGGGGCGTCCTGGTATCCTTATGGTCAAGAAAGGAAGCGTCAGAGGCGCTCCACAGGCGGGAGGTGCGCCTCCCCAGGCGCGTAACACAGCGCGGTGAACAGCGCCTTGCAAAAGCGACCGCAGCCCAGGCAGCAAAAGCGAGGGCTTGCGGACCTGCGTGACCTTGGCTGCGTTCCCAGCTGGAGCTCCTCTGTGTTCGCGCGCACAAGGGTGAGCAACCAGGCAACGTACTCGCAAAGTGCCCCACAAGTTGCGATTATAACAAAAGCACTTCCGGGGTCCGTCATGTATCGCATGAAGCTATCGTCTTTTGGATTGCAGCGTGTCGGGTGAGGAGGTTTGATTATTAAGCCCTTTTGCTGCCGTGACCTTCCGTAACCGCGCTACGAGGTAGATATCGCGTCATCAACACGCACACATCGGTGGAGACATCGCTAACAGAGATCGATTCGATGTGTACATTTTTTCTGCGCTATGCGTGACTGAAGGTGCCTGCCGTTAAAAAGCCTTGAAAACCCCAAAGCGAAAACCTAACAGTCACTTTAGCATGAAATTGTCCACGTACGCCAAGTTGTATCTGATTTCTACCTTTGCATAAGCTTTTCCTTGCTGCTACGGTAGTGCAAAGAGGTCGGCGAATCCTGCGTACCGCAAGCCAAAATTATGCCGAGCCCCTTGGCTGTGGGTCAAGCAGGAATGCGCCCCTGCCTGGAGTCTGTTAATTTTCTCTTGCGACAAGTAGAGCCGATCCCGCAGCTTTGAATAGGCCAGTCACCAAATCGCATATCTGGTGAAAAGAGTTCCGTCGGATATGGGCATGTGGGGCGAGCGAGCGAACGCGCGAGTCAGTCATTCCGCTACGAAACCATGCCATTCGCAACCTCCTGAACAGCAGCATACGTCGACTTGGAGACAGATTAAGTCCTGGATGTTAAGGCCATGATGGCCCACCTCCCACACACCTCCCCGACTCTTTCTCCTCCCCCCTCATCAACACCGCAGTAGCCTGATGTCCATCACGCCCTGCTGCTGCCGCAATCAGTTGAAAAAGGAAAAGCCTTCCCCCAATCCCTTTCCCTCCCCCACCTTGACTCTCTGTCCCCATGCTTCACCCCCCAGGTGCCCCTCTCGGCCACCCCCCACCACCCACCACTGCATGCCTCCCATACAAACAAGCACGACGGAAACCTAATCGCTTGCCGTACCGCTGAATGATCCGCATCTGAGCCGCATATGTATCTATTAGGTAAACCGTGAGTCCGGGAATAATCACAATCAATATCGGCAGGTCAACATACAAACGCGACCTCTTACAAGTGCACACAGCTGACACACACACACATCTCCCCACCTCCCAATGCCCGCTAATACGCCCCCCCACACCCTCTCCCCCAGCTGCCTAAAGGGCCCCGCGGATCGTATATACCCGTACAGAGTGATCCTCTGAGCCGCTGGCCAGCTGAAGTTGGCCACCTCGCTCAGAGTCCGCTGGCGCCGCCGCTGCCGTCGACTCCTCGTCCCCCTCAGGTACGGCAGTTGCCGTCCCCGGTGCATTGCGCCAGCGGAGTCGCCGTACAGCTGCCACGTGACGCCACGGCTCCCCAGCCGTCCACTGGAGCGAGGCTACGACGCCACCTGCAGCCACCACAGCGCCACCTGCACCTGCACCTGCCGCCGCCGCCGCCGCCGGTACCAGCAGCCGCCAGAGCTGCACAGAGCCGTCTTCCAAGCCAACCGCCAACAGGTGACTTCCCGTAGCATCACCTGCAGGCCCTACTACGCTACAGCCGCGGCGCGGAGCAAAGGCAACAGCAGTAGCAGCACATGTAAACTGCGGCAGCGTCGTCGCCAGCGTCGGCGTCACCTCCCCCGTACCGTCACCGCCACCGCCGCCAGGCCACCGCCACACTTTGACCGTCTCGTCCCGTGAAGCGGTTGCAATCAGTTGCTCGTCCAACGACCAGCCCACGCTCCAGATCACGCGCCCGTGTGCGCCCTTGACCCGACACACCAACTCAAAAGAAACCTCCCCCTCCTCCCCTTCCCCCTGCTGCTGCTGCTGGCGGCGGGGGCCGCTGCAGCAGCGAAAGATCGAGAAGGTCCTATCTCTGCTCGCCGCCGCAAGGAGTGTCCCCGACGGGCTCCACTCCAGCTGGGTGACGGTGTGGGTGTGCGCCCGCAGCTGGGCCACCGACCTCCATGACCGGGTGCACCAAATCCACACGGCGGCAGTAGAGGCGGTCTGTGTGCGTGTAAGTATGTATGTGTGTGCGCATTTGACGTACACCGGGCGGGTAACGGGGGAAAACCAGAATGGGGGAGAGGGGGGAGGAAATGGTTGAAGGGAGGGAATGTTGGGGGGATGGTATTGGGGTAAGCAATGGAAGGTGGGGACTGGGGACGAGGGGAGATGTATGATGCAGAAAGGTCAGCAAAGCAAGTGACTCCCGTTCAGTGCACCCAGGAGGGGGAGAGGGTGTTTGCGGGGGTTGGGGGATGGGGCCTTGGTGGTGGTGGTGGTGGGGTGTTGTTCCAAGGGAAGGTGTGTGTGCGTGTGTGTTACACCTCCTGGTGTAAGGTGTAACGTAGGGGCCCACACGAGCCCTGAGGAGGGGCCCAAGAGCCAGAGGGCCTAGGGCTGTATGAAGTTGAGAACGACACACAATAAAGACTATTATCCTAACACTCAGTACGAGAAAAGAAAAGAAAGGTGTGTTGAACTACTGTGTTGAGCTACCCAGCTACTGGTATGCCGTGGCGAGGTGCGCCTACCTGCCATTACTGACCCTCGTTAGCTAGGCACTGGGGCTCAACACAGTAGTTCAACACACCTTTGTTTTGTTTCTCGTATTTAGTGTTAGGATAATAGTCTTACGATTCTGATGCGTTGTTATATATTTCAGACAGCCCTAGGCCCTCTGGCCCCTGCACCTCCAGCTCATATGGGCCCCTAGAGGATATGCCTTCGGAGAATAACACAACGCCAGAAGGTGAGACATACACACACACATACACCAAACGTACATGCTCTCGTCTTCCACGACTTGGAGCTCGCAAAAAACTTGCAGATCCTCTACCCAAGCGTGCAACCCCCCCATACGCTCTATTTGCTCCTAGCGGCCAGCAGCAGAAACGAAAACGCCTTAGCGAGCGAGGGAGCGAGCGAGGTGACCCGGTGTAGGGCCCCGGTGGCCGGATCCGGGGCCAGTGAGGTGTGTGAGGGGGTTGTTATGCGCGGAGTCAACAGGGCGGTGACGGGGCTCACCTGGGCCTTACACGCGGAAGCTAGGTAGCGGCCGTCCGGGCTGGCGGCGGCGCAAAACACGTCATTGCCGTGGCCGTACAATTTGTGTGTTTCGGGCCACAGTGTGTTTTGCGCGAGGTGCTCCTCCAGGGGGGGTTCACTCACCACCTTGGGATTGGGGGGTGGGTGGATGGGAAAGTTGGGGGGTTTGGGGGGTGGGTGGGGGAACAAGAGGCATTATGTGAAAAACACAAAAGGGCCCGGGGGGGTTGATTTGGGACATCGTAGGGAGGCTTTGGTAGCAGCTCGAAAAGAACCCAGACACCCCTCAAAGGCAATTCTGTCCGTCCCCAGACGCTAATATTCACCGCATCTGCTTGCATGCAGGCAAACACGTATGCAGACGCTCTGAGTGATAAACGCACAGAATTACATACATTCATATATTCATGTACATATTCATACACATATACATACATTGTTAGCGTGTATATCGGTAAGAACCGATAAGTCACAGTACGGATTCGCTCCGCCAAGGTCTGGGCTCTTACCCAAGTAAAAGACTAACAAAAATGTATATGTTTCTGAGACTCTCCTTTAAAGGACATTCCAACCCAGACTCCCGAGTATAAAGACTCGTTGCTTAGGAGGCCGCAAATAGGGGGGTCCTTGTGAAGCAGCTGCCCGCGTTTCCAAAGCACGTGTGGTGTTGGATTGGGGGGGGAACGAAGAATAAGGCCTAGGTTCAAGTTCCCTGTCGCGCGTTGATGGCCATGCCAGAACAGGCAACATGATGGGTGAACTTGCACGCTACCAACTTGCCCCCGATGACGAGACGGGGCGACATAGAAAGGAGCGCAGCGGGCCCCCCCCTATCCCCGAACGCTCACGCAATAGACCATCCCAAGCGCTGTTGTCCGTATGGGCATCAGCCGCCGTTCACCCACGAGTTAAGGTCGGACATGTATGCACCGTGAATGAAACCCTAAGTGCGACCGTGCCCAAATACAACAGCACTGCCCAATGTCCAGAAGCCTAGCGCCGAAAGCTGTTCCATGCCAACAACGGCGTCCATGTTACTTGCACGGTTCCGAACGACTTATCTGTTCTGTTGTTTAAGTTGAGTAAGTTATATTTTTCCGCGCAAGTTTGTAATCTGACTTTACGTTGAACAAGGGGCTGTATGCATTGCGCTACCGAATCCGCGCCCGTTTGCTTGCGCAAACTGCCGCTTCGCCAAACGCTTCCTCTTCCCGCGGCCGTTTCAAGCGCCCAGTCTTGCAAGCTACGTTGTTTGCTTTCTGTGCTTTCAGTTACGGCAAAGCAGGCACCCCACTGTCCGGGCTGCATGCCGCGTGCGACTGTGGCCAGCATGCCCTCCTGCGCACAGCACTGACGCACCGCGGCCTTTCTTCGCCAAGAAAATTTATATACACTTGTACACGCGCATTTTGCGAATCGCACGCGCGCATCCGCGCGTTAAAATTCGGGACTGTCTTTGGGCCGTCTTGTACGGTCTGTTTATTCGGCACAGTACGACCGGACACATTTGTGCGAGGGGCTGCTTAACAACTTCTGTCGTACGATGTCTCTTCGGATCTACATCGGTTGTCCAAACCGATGTGTCTGTAGGTATCTCAAGTGCGTGTCATTCCTTATTCCTTAATTAGGAGTCACTTTATCAACTCCAAGATACTCGTAGACTATTCATTGATCAGCCTTAATCAAGAAGTCATGTCTTAATCGCTTTACGATTTAGCTCTGTGGCGCTGTAACATACATACATACATACATACACACATACATACATACATACATACATACATACATACGCACATTCGTACCTGGGGCGCCGCGCAGGGCACTGTGTCGGGGCCGTCGGTGTAGTCCCCTCCCCCCATACCGCTGCCAACACCTGAAAGGGGGGGGTCCGGCAGGCGTTTTAGTTTGGGTTTTAATTTGGGTTTTAGTTTGGCTACAGCCTACAGCAGATTAGTCGAGCACATTATGATCGTACGGGTCGGGCCACATCAGGACGTTTCTAGGGTCCCGGAGCAATGAGGAGACCCGCAGTCGCCCCATCACAATTTCCAAGCATCCTAACAACCTAACCGCCCACCCATACACACATGCATATCTCCCCCCCTTCATCCCCACCAACACCAACCTGCATTTCCCCCCTCCCCCGCCTGGCTCTCATCCACTGCCTTGTTGGACAGTCCCAGTGCCGCTATAGCCGCTCCGAAGCCATGACCCCGCCGGTTCTCCGTACGAATGGCGCGACCCCCGGGACTGTCCTCTCCGCCACGCAACGCAACCAGCGTGTCAACGAAGGCCTTGGAAACCGAGGGCGACCAGCCGGAGGGAAAACAATGGATTTAAATTTGACGTACTAATACGAAGTTTTATTAATTCGATAAAAAAATCTATCATGTAACCATATAATAGAGGTATTGAGGTGAAATTAAAAGGCTATTGAGTCACCAAAAAGGTGGCTGCAAGTGTTATGCGGCAGGAGGAGAAATGCAAAAATAAAATCTAACCTCTTAAGACATACCCACACATATATGTAGAGACATATATACAGGCATACATACCTGCGGCGCCTCCAGCACTCGGAGAACCTTTTCCTCCGACCCGCTGACGTACATGTAGTGGCTGCCCGGGGGGGTGGGTACGGCGGCCACACACCGGAAGTCGTGACCGTGAATCTGGGGAGAGACAGAGGGGGAAGGGGAATTAAAACACACACGCACACACGCGCGGGGAGGGTAAAAAGCACCGGGGGCAGATGTGCACACGCGCTACAGCGAGATAGTGCGAGGCGGCGGCCGAAGGGGAGGAGGTGAGAGCCGGGAGAACATCCTCACTAGGTAAAAATATACATTCGAGGTAGGGGCGGATGGAAATCCAGGCTGCCTAAACAGGCAACCTAGATATTTTTCACTCCCTGGATCCCATCCCCCCAAAACCCGTCAGCTAGCAGCCCCCTGCAGCAGCCTCGCGGTCCGCCTCTACGACAGCCCACCCCTACGACAACATCAAGAACACATACGACCATGTCGTACCTCGTACACAAACAGTGATACACGCACCTGCGCCCTGGCCACCTCGCACCAATGCAGCACACCGCCGCCGCCGCCCTCTCCTCCTCCTTCCTCCTGCTCTCCCTGCCGCCGCCTCCACACCACCTCCGAGTGCACTCGGGCCGTCTGGTCCTCCGACACGCTGATCAAGCAGCCGCCATCCAGCCCCCAGCACACGTCCAACACGGCTCCGAAGTGGCCTCCCAGGGCGTGACGGGGGAGCCAGGCGCGACCCCTGATGAGGTGGTTGGAGGTTGAGGTGGTTGAAGTGGTTGATTGGGGTTGTTGCCAGAGGTGAAGGGCGCCTGAGGGAGCAAGGGGGGGGCCGGGCAGTTGAACGGGGTTTGAAGGGGGAGTTGAAAAATGGGGAGTCATACGGTGATGTTGCAAAAAGAAGGGAAGGATCATCTGCCGACCCATTTCCTTAGCTTCATGTAGCTTTCGACCAATACATGCAGGGAGGGGGCGAGAGTTAGGAAAGGAGGTGGCGCAAGGCGAGAGGGGGAGGCAGGGGAGGGGTCGGGTGACAGTGATAGTTGAGTTGACAAAACAAGAACAGCTCACCAAAGGGGGGGCCGTGAGAGGGGGGCGTATAATCAAGGTGGCAGCACCCGTCACACGGTCACCTGGCTCCGTGATGTACGACGACGTAATGTTCGAAGATGGCCCAAATGTTTGCAATGCACAAACAGTCCACACACGTGCACTCACGTACATACGTACACGACACAGAGACAGACACACACTGGAAATATCCCCGTCCGAGAAATGCATGCATTACCTGTACCACACACTTTCTTTCTGCTGGGCTCCCTCCACAGAACCCCTTTCCCCCCACAGGCACGTCAGCTGCTCTCCTTTATAACCATGTCTTCATGCATTACCACATGAGGCAACGTTCGAGTTTTCTTTGGGACAGTGCTGCAACGCTTCCAAGCGCATGCCACAGGCCGGCCCTTCTCCCCCCTCCCCCCCGGCTGCCTGGCTCACCCGTAAAGCCGTGAGCCAGGATGGCCGCTCCCCGGCCCCCCGCTAGTGGACCCCACACGCCGCCAAAGTAACCCAGACACGAGGCGCCCGCATCCCCCAAACTGGCCTCGTTCATCCACAAGCCGCTGGAGGACTGGGGGGGTGAGGAGGGAAGGCGACCCCGGGGGGCGTGGAGGAGGGGAAAGTCAAGGAAAAGGAAAACAACTGCCAGCAACCACAGGGGGAAGAGGGGGAATGTTTATCAGAGTGTAAAGGGACTAAAAGCTATTAAAAACAGCACCCGGGGGGGTGCATGTCTATACGTCTGTCTGCACGTGTGTAGATGGGTAATATTCTGGGTACAAGAAACACGCACACGTGCACTTGAGAGAGCGATGAAAGCTGCCGATGGTGAGCCGGTGAATGTGAAACACACGCGTGTGCTCCGAGACACATTAACTAGCTAAGCGCCAATAAGACGGCCCCCATCCCGGGCGGCTCCCCGGCTGCTTGGAGGCTTTGGCCTTACTCCCCGCCCACCAGGTCTCTAACCCCCCTCTCGCCCCCCTTCTGACAAACACACCTGATACCTCCAGATGATCATTGTCCGGTCCATGGAGGCGGTCAACAGTGCCGTACTGGAGCGAGTGTGATGTACGACACCCCGCCGATGCTGGTGCTCCTGCTGCTGCTTCGCTTCCGCTTCTGCTACTGGTGTTGTTGTTGCTGTTGTTGTTGGTGGTGGAGATGGTGGTATAGGAGCCCACTGCAGTCCGTGCACCCAGTCTTCATGGCCTATGAGGAGGGCCTCGCAGGTCGCTACGTAGCTGGGGCGAGAGGGGGGTGTTTCCAGGGGGGGGAGGGGAGGGGGAGAAATCGGCATCTACAGATGTGGGTGAGTGGATGGGGTGAGCGGTAGAAGGTCGAGAACGATACACGAATGCGGGCGCGTGACTTGGGACCGCCCCCTCTGGCCCCCTCTCCTATGCCCGTGGGGGCGCTTCCCTTACTTCTATTCCTTTTCCCTCCTTTCCTCCCCTCTCTTCTCCTCTCCTTTCCCCCAGTCTCCCCTCCCTCCTCCCCCTCCCCCCGCCGCCAGGCTGACCGGGTCTTGTTGGTATCCACATGGGGCTTGGGGGCGTAGCGCTGAATGAGCGCCGTGAGAGGATCGGATCCAAATCCAAGTCCGGATCCAGGTCCAGCAGGGGAGAGGGGCCCTGCAGCCGCATTGTCGGCAGTAGCACCACCACCACTCGCCACAGCACCACCGTGTGGCAACAGCGGCTCCGGCTGTAGCTTCCAGATGCGGCCGTACCTGTTTGGCCAGACGTTATCACGCATGGCGCACATTTATACATACATACATACATTGCATACATACAGAGGGGCTCACAAAAGCTCCCAATAGGGACTCTGAGCTCCTCACAAATGCCCCCAAACCCCAGTCCCCCGCTTCCCCTCCCCCACCCAGCACCCCGCCCCAACCCACGCCCCGCCCGCACCTGTCCTGAGAGACACTCGCCAGCAGCAGCTGGGGCCCCCTGCCCCCGCTACCACTCCTCTCCTCATCCTCATCCTCTTCCACACAGCAAAATGCCACACCTCGTACCCAGTTTTCATGACCCTCCAAAACACAGGCGGGCATGAAGCGAGGTGCCCCGGCGCCGGGTGCGCCCGGTGCTGGCAGTGGGGGTCGTAAGTAGAGGTGTACTTTGCGGTCGGTGCCACCGGTAGCCAGCAGCGTCCTGTGGTGCGGTGTGGTGGAGGGGGCGGCGGCAATAGCAGCTGGCAAAGCGAGGGGGGAGTGACGGTGTACGAGTGGCTCTCTTAACAGTTCCATTACATCACATACGCACATACATCCTACTCCTAATCGCCGTCCTGTCCCTTACCCATACATACATACATAGGCAGGCGGCTGGCAGAGGTTAAGGCCTGACTTCTGCTCCCAGTCGACCCAGTCGACCCGGGTCCAAATCCGCCTGCCGGCTCCTCGGGTGTTTGAGGAGTGATGAAATGGGAGGTGGCCCCCCATCTTATGGACGGTGTAGGACGTGATAATATCAACTTGCGAGCTGACCAGGAACTAAGTTGATGCGCCGTTGATCCGCTAGATTTGGTTGGATGCTGGTGGTGAGTTGCCGAACCCAACGAATACATTCTGAAGTCGGATGGGGTGACGGATTAGGGTGCCCCTCTAGCAGGGGAGAGCAGGGACTGCCCCGGGAAAGGGGGCCGCTGGCGAAGTTAACCACCCTGTAACAACATACATACATACATGCTGGTGGTGGGTGCGGAACCTGAGTGATCCACTGAGAGGTTGACTAGGGTGACTGGATGAGGGTGCCCCGAATACCGGGGAAGGCAGGGTTTCGCCGGGTAGCTGCCACGGGTGAAGATATGTCCCCTTGTTCCACACATCGTACATACATACATACATACATACATACATACATACATACATACATACATGCAAACCCCGGTTTGCTTGAGTTCCATGCAGGGTTTCCATTCGTACCTCCACTCGACACAGAGCGCGTCTGGGTGGTCCCGCTGGCCTACCTAGACAGTGAACACCGCAGTCCGCGTCCCTCATCCCTCACCGCCCCTACACTCCTGACATCCCCACCCGCTTAAAACACCCCACCACCACCTCCTGAACCCCCGCCCCCGCGCACCAATCTGGGTCCAGAGGCAAGTGCGTCATGGCCGCCGTCGTCTGTACCTTGCTGCCCACGTGGATATGCTGGTCCAGCCGCCACTGAGATTGGCCGTACAAACCCGCCGCCGGGGATAAGCCCCCCTGGCCGGGCGCTCCGGCGGCCCCCCTACCGCGGCTGCTGCTGCTACTGCCGTTGCCGGTACCAATCGCCTGTGGGGACGACTCCGACTCCCCCGGTACGCTACTGCCGCCGCGGGCGGCAGTAGCAGTAGCATGGCCGCCGCCATCACCGCCGCCGCAGGCCCATACGAGGACGTCCGAGTCGCCAGCGGTGCTCACCAGCAACAGCCGAGACTCGCTGTAGCTGTAGCTGGAGGCATTGACGCCGATGCCGCTGGCGCCGTCCTGGGCTGCGACTGCTACTGCTGTTGAGCTACAGCGGGAGGGCTCGGGTAGCCGGTGGATGGCTACGGAGGTTACGGGTGCCGTATGGCCTTTCAATACGGCAAGGCGCCGCCAGGAGGGCGCGGGCTTGGGGGAGGATGGGGAGGGGGAGGCGGCCCTTTCAGCGCTCTGGGGGCAGTCGTGTGTGTCCGGGTAGGTCACCAGCCAGCAACAGACGGTGTTGTCAGCGGAACCGGACAGCAGCAGGTGCTGGTTCGGGGGAAGATCCGGAGTGGCTGCGGGGAAGGGTGTACGATACGGAGGGAAAGAGGAACCGGCGGAAGCAAGAGGGAGAAAAAGTAGGAGGGGGAGTCTGAGGCAGAGGGGTAAGGGGGAAGGCGCTGCTGCTTTTGGTGGACATGGAAGGGAGGTCGGAGCGCCGGGAGCAAGAGGTGATGGAGGAGTGGCTAGGGTTACGGAGGATGGACGTTGGGACCCAGGGGAGCTAATGCAGGGTGTAGGTAGAGTGGCCCAGAGTGCGCCTCGGAGTGATGTTTGAAGTGCTGCTTTTCCTTTTCAGGGTAACGAACGCCCATGCTTTGGGTACGAGCACACCTTCGCGGGGCACCCAGTGCACGCAATTCACCATTCCGGTGTGTCCACATATTGTTGATACCACCTTGGCCGACTGCGTTTTTGTGCAGAGAAAAAAAAGGGTTGGCGATTGGCGCGCAGCTGTCGTTCCAGAAAGCAAAGCCAGTTGCCTAGCTTGGTACGGAAGGTTATTTTTTGCTTTCTTTTCTGCCAGTATGCTGTTACCTCAATGTCATAGAGCGCGATCATATGGTGGGCTGCATAGGCAACGCCGCCATGCTCGCCCCAAGCCAGCGCGTTGACAACTCGGTTGACACCGACACCTATGTAGTCAAGGTTAACATCCATGGTTGGGAAACTGGATGCGGATTGACCGCAGGATAGTTATGAGAAGCTTCAATCTTCTGAATGTTGGCAAATTCGGACGTTCAGCATGCTCGTAGTCCGTCTATGGCGGGAAAAAAAGGTCCTCGAGGTATACAGGACTTGCATCGGATTTGTGTGACTACGCAAATTGTACTGTTGGGTTCCTGCCAACGGTTGTACCGCACGGTACTACTGCCTCCGGAGGGCATAATATCATTAGACAGTCTGCCTCCCATGCTTCCCCGTGTTACATCCGAAAACACAAGGAGTTACCGCCAATACGCACAGCAACCATGTCATGACGTCGTATCCACGCAGGCAGTAACAATGGAGTACGGCCTAAAACTATGCCCAACCGTCCACACCAAACTTCGCGTACCACGAAAAGCCGCAAACTGGATTCCGCAAACAGCCGGTACAAGCCCCAATTCTCCATCATCCATTCATGCCCTTAACCCATTTCCTCCAATGCGCCCATGCATTCCATTCTCAAACCGTCCAGTTGCACAGCACAACCACGACCAGCCATCCGCTGCCCTGAACAGACTGTCAACAAGAAGTAGTCAACCTGGCGGCTTCTAAACTCTACGGAGGGAAATGCTGCTCCTGTTGCTGTTGTTGCCCATAGCCATTGTGTTGCTGCTGCTGTTGCTGCTGCTGTGGAGGCGGGGGCGGCAGGACGAACTGCAAATTGAGCCGCAGCCGCGACAGCACCGCGGGAAGCGACGAAATGATGGGGCCGTACCGCGGTATATTGTCGTACAACTCAAAAACCGGCACCGCCACGAGCTTCATGTTCTTGGGGACCTGCCAACCGGGAGAGGACCGTGGACCATAGGATGTCTAAGGCGGGATATCAAAAAGACAACTGCGGGGGTAGTCAGGTCCCGGGGTGACGGTCCCAGGGCTACATGGGTGTTGAGGGTTGAGGATTCCCTGGCAAACCCCATCCAAACCCAAATCAGCTCCCAGCAAGCTATCCATACCGCCATACTCCATACCCATCCACCCACCGCGAATACGCAGCGCTCGGGCAGCTGTACCACAAACAGCTTGCGGCACTCCTTGGGCCGTGTGATGTGTGGCGGGACGTAGGGGTAGAACATGGTGTCGAAGTTGGGCCGATAGAAGACGCTCAGGACCTGCACCGAGGTGGCAGGACGAGGTAACCGCGTGAACCCCGCTGGAGGAAAGGAGGGCGCTGGAACTCCTGTGGTAAGGAAAACATGACCTGGAACAAGACGAGAGCTGAAGCAGGGGGATTAAGTAGAGGTTGGAAGATTTGGGAAGGGAAGGGAAGGGATGGGAAAGCGACGCAAGATAGTGGAAATAGTGAACGACATGGTTGACTTAGCAGGGGCTCGTATAAGGATTGGGAGTGGAGCAAAAGGTGGTGCTGCAGAAGAAACGAGTGCCCCTGGTGATCGCACGGTGAAGAGAACCTTCCGTGTGGACTTTGCACGGCTCATGGGGCGTAACCTCTCGGCCCCGGGAGGATATAGGTGTGAAGCTGCTTCCCAGTTTACAAAATCCTAGCACTGCATCCAACGAATGACCTCCGATTAGGGTTATCACGAACTCCTCACGCGTGCTCACCTCACCCACATCCCACACGACTTGAAGAGCCGCGTTGGTGGGTGCCAGCCGGTTGGACAGCTTGCGCCGCAGACCTTCCACTTCTGAATTGACAATGCAGGGTATCTCGACGTAAGGAGGGCAGAGCTGTGCTTTGGCGGGTGTGCGGCTTTGGACGTACCGTCCTCCCCGGGTCGCAATCGCCCCCCGGGTAGCCGGAAGAATGACTGCCCGAGCTGAAACAGAAGCACGTGTGGATGATTGTGTTCCTGTACCAGCAGGATTGCTTCCGCAGATCGTCGCATGCCCTCCTTTTCATAGCTGCATCGGCGGCCCCAAGCGACCGGGTGTCAATCCGCGAAATTTGCGCTTAGCAAGGGATCGGTCACATACTTGGCTTTTAATCGTGAAAGTCGCTCGTTTACATTTGAATCCTTCTCTAGCTTTGGTGCTTTCGTGCCGAAGCTGTAGTTGCCTACTGGATACACATTGAAAACTGGTTGGCCTCTCGAAGACATATCTCCTAGGCTTTATCTTTCTAAGTAGTTGTCGCAAGTTTGTCGCCGGTTATCACCATGATGGCGTCTAGCAATAGTCCAATCTTGCTAAAACTTCAAGTACTTATGATATTGCAAGAATTCTGAGTTTCATACAACACCTACTCATAACAAATGGCAAAGTGTTTCTCGGCTTTGACCTAACCGTTGGATGTGACACGCCGTACGCGATGTGTTTTACAGTGTTTGCACTTGCAAGGGGATTCCGACACCTTACATAGAGTACCAGAACTAGGTAAACAGCTGTGGATTCCCTGAAGGCACACGCCGCTCATCCCCCGCCACACGCCCCGTTGAAGACAGGGGCACACGAGCGCCATCCCAAGGCCCCCTTTGGTGTCATATAATAGTCACATTTCTTTGTCGAAAGCAGTAATGTTAGCTGCTGCATTAGGCAGCCCGATTATGCACAAAAGTGTCCAAGGTCACGTATCCAGAAATCGGATCACCGGTCAATTAACACAAAACGTCAATGCAATTTCCGGAAAGGAACATCTAGCCCGCGTAAGGCAATCCAAGCAAGGACAGTTATCAATCACAAGAGTGGTACACCTCAACACCGTACTAAGAAAGGTACGGCAGTCCAACGATTGGGCACCACGTAAGAAAGTCAGGTCGTGTGAATGGTGCCCAAGACTGTCAGCCTGTTAACAAATGAATATGCACGGTCAGGTAGGCAGGTAATCAAGGGTCCGTCAAGTCAAATGAAGGTTGGATCATCAAGACTATTTAAGGCTTTGCCAAATAGCCACAAACAATTCTCTGCCAAGCCCACGAATAGTTGCCATATAGACCAAAAAGACCGTATATGGTCGAGCAGAACCGCTTGCCCGTGAGATTGAGACCCTGTTGGGATCCGAAGGGCCGTTCCCCATCGGCGCACCCTGGGCGCATTGCTACGAAAAGAGACCATCGCTTTCCCTTTCTTCTTCCTTGCTTTCCCCCCTTGCGCGTGCTGCGGCCAGAGCGCTTTCAAGTTCCAGCTCAGGACAGGTGCCAACACACGCTTAAAAGGCAGAAAGGCAGGCACAACTGCGCGCAAAACACAAACAAAGATGTCCGTCAGGTGTCTGGCCAAGCACGGCAAGGCATATCCAACAACCATCTATGTACCCATCCACAAGACATTCACAAAGCATCGAAATTGGAAAAGATACATACACAATGCAGCCGCCTCCGCCGGGAGTGCCGCCTCAGCGGCTGCTGCTGCTGCTACTCTCGCACTCAACTCATCACACTCATTGCACTATCCTGACGACACCAAGTGCTCAGTACTTGAGCTTGTCGCTGAGCATTCGCCGGGCGGCCTGCAGCTCTGCCTTAAGTCGACTGTTGTCGTCCTCAAGCTTGCGCCGCAGCAACTCCAGCTCCAATGTTCTTGCGGTTGCCGCTGCCGCTGTCGCCGGCGGCGACACCGCCGACGCCACCGCCGCCAGCTTACCCCCGGCGGCTGTCCCCCCTCGAGGACTCGTCATGGGGCTGTGCAGGGCCGGCGTGGGGCTGCTAGTGCGGAGGCGGTCAATTAGCGCCTCTACCTCGGCTGCGGTCTCGCCAGCTGCAGCCGCCCGCCCTGACGCCGCATCCTTGACGGCCGCCAGCAGCAGCTCCATCTCCTCCTGTGAGCAATATCGAAGACACATAATATTCCTGAATCGTCTCGAGAGTATCTGGAAGGTATATCGAGGGAGGATAAGTTACAGACGTACAGATGAGGGAAGGACTTTCAGCATGGGCCATGAGGAGTCCATCCTCGAGCGATTATGGTCGAAACAACATCTAAACGTAGAGGCCTGCTCACAGCATGGGTGGTCGCAGTTGTAGACGCACGAGCAAACCAGTAACTATCATAGAAACGCACCCGGGATTTGAGCTCCGAGCGCAGCCACTTCTCGCACGCCTTGCGGAGATTCTTCTCGCTGCGCAGCCGCCGCCGAAGGTCATCCACCTCCACCTCGCAACGCCGCCGGAATTCGTCAACTTCCGCCTCAGCCCGCCGCCGTGCCTCGTCAATCTCGATGGCGCACCGCCGGCGGGTCTCAGCCATATCGGCCTCATACCGCTCCTATTCACAGGTAAGGCCAACAGTAGGCAGGCGGCAAACGACAACAGCAGCACGGGCACCGAGACGTCATCTTTTGATGCTTGATGTGACGCAAAAGCAGGGGACCGAAGTAGCTGAGCAAACTCAATATCACAGGCAAGGCGTCCAGTTCCTATTCCTATGCATCCAAGGAAGCTTAAATGCAATAAAGGCCTGTTTAAACGCCCCGACGGAAGTGCCATTAGAACAAGGGGCTACGTAATGGCTGAGGTGTCGCAACGCAACATACGTCACCATGCCGGCCGGCCGCGAGGTAGATTGGCAGGCCCTGGTGATCTTGCAGCACGCAAAGGGCGATAACCCCGAAGGGCTTCATGAACACACATGTGTTCTCGAGCACAGTCGTATTCAATGGAGCACCCCGTATCGAGCAGGGCCTTACCTTGACAACCGAGACGTCCTCCTTGTTTGCGCGCAGCTCGTCCTGCAGGATTTGGACCTGACGCCGCAGCTCTTCGCTTTGCTGCCGCCAATCCTCCTGCGCGACACGGCACATGTCCACGTGTGGGCGGCCTCCAGTCAGCCACCAGCAATCTTTTGACGTCCAAAGGCCGAAACATAACATTCCAAATCCGCTGCAGCAGCCCGGCGTTCTTGGCGAGGCCCAGATGAAAGTGCACGATCCCCTATCTTCCTGCTCTATGTGTGCGTGCGGCATTCGCTTCAGTCCAGGCTTCTTCTGGCGAGAAGGAACCTGAACTTTCCTTTCCCCCCAAATGCAACGTAAGTGGGCAGCCTATTCCAGCCTCCAACAAATGTCCCATACGCACCTTTTCCTTCTTCTCGTAGCGCAGCGCCATTAACGACTTGGCGGCCTCGTCGGCCTTGACGCGCACCTCCGCGCTGAGCTCGGCCTCGCGCTCGCGCACATCTGCTTCCAAGGCGCGGCGTCCCGACTCCGCACGCTCAAGCTGCATGCTCAACGATTCGCGCTCAAGGCGGACGACCCGCAGCTCCTCCGCTAGTGCTTTTATCTGGTGGGCCAGACAGGTGAAACGGCGCAGGAAACAAAAAATGACTGACGCCCAGGCCCATGCAGATTTCGGTACGCGTTAGCGAGGAACGGTGATAGCGTGCAAGCCAGGACCTTTCTATCGCTCTGGCGGGACATAAACACTTCTATCCCAGTAACTACAGTAGATGTTCGGAAGTTTGCTTGCATGTCTCAGGCAAAACCTGGTCCACCTCGCGCGCACACATACACACACATACACACACACTCACACTCACACACACAAGCCCCATGGTTGAACCCGCCCCGCAGCGCACTGAACTGACCTCCGCGTCCTTCAATGCAAGCGCCGATTCAGCCTGAGAAAGCTTGCTCTCGTATGTCCGCTTGGTGGTGGCCAGCGTGTCCCGGAGGCTATCGACCGAGCGCTCCTTTGCCCCAATAACTCGCTGCAGCTCGAGAATTTCCAATTCTTTCTGCTTAAGCTGGCTCCTGTGGATCTCAGTCGTACGCTTTAGAGCAGCATCCATCTCCTCTTCTGCTGCTTCGATAGCACGCCCAAGGCGATCGACGCTTTTCTGTACGTGCAGGGATACAATCCGAGCTCCTCAATTACCAATGAACCTTAGGAAACTAACACAAGACATACGGTATAACCCCCCAAACAAACTTGCCTCTGCACTGTTAAGCGCGGTTGAGTAAGTCTTCATCACATCCAACCCCGACCTGGGCGAAGCAATCTCTCGTAATGTCTTTAGTGGACTAAACGTTCGTTTAGGTTCCTCAAGTGCTTGTCGCAAGGCCTCCAGCTCCCTGAGCTCCTTCGCCATGTTCATGCTTCAAGTGTGTTAGAAGCTTGTGCGCAGGCTGAATTCCAAGCGCACAACGCAAATATAGCTACAAATATACGGACTAAGGTTATAGCCAAGAAGACTACAGCTGAGTGAAGTTGGAAAGGCACCAGGCAAGTCAAAGTCCAGTCCTTTTAGTACAACCGTCGAGGTTGAAAGCGAGAATATAACGAGCCAGCGTATTCCTTCAACATGAGGCGTTGAGTTTTGGGTCAGCGCTTCATAAAACAAGGCTTTGCCGTACCATTTCAGGAAAGTCGGTAAGAGAAGGAAAAATAGAGGAATTTGCTCAGGCCTGCGTTCGCTTCCTGAGTTGCATTTCAAGAAACGTTTGCTGAGGTTTGACACCAAAGCGTGGCGACCTTTCAGGTGACAGGGCCCTTTTAACACGGCTGGAATTAAGCAGGGCCTTCTTGAATGTCACCATATATCAGAGGATATCCCAGTAACGATACAAGCCCTTAACTGGAAATGACTTGTCTCACAGAACCAAGGGTCGCATGAGCCATAACGTCTGAGCTTTCATAACTTGTAACATAACGTGAGACGCTTTCATAACTTGTAACTTGTAACATAACGTGAGACGCATTCTTAGTGCACGCTGAGCCTGGCAGACATTACACAAGCATTACAACTAAGGTTAAAATCAGCACAGGGCGTCCTAATCGACGTGTTAGTGTCCCGTACAAGCGTACGTCTTCTGCTCTCCACTTCATCCACCTCAGGGCCCCCTGTTGCAAAGTCATAGCATTGATAAAGCAGAAGAGTATCCTGCTTGACCTAAGTGGTGGTGGCGCGTGGTGGCGCGCGCAACACAGTGCAACACTAGCAGCGACAGGTCACCGAGCGCACTAGGTTACAGATCCGAGCATTTTATCCCTCATTTATCCACCCTGAGATTTGCAAAAATGCATGATCACACAAGCAGCATTGTCACATTCGTTCCGTTCTTCCCTTGGTAATGGTGGCCTCTTGGTCGCAGTAACCGAGCCGCAAGAAGGGCAAACACGTTACCAAGTGAAGCGCCGTTTTGGCCCCAGCTGCTGATTTCCGATGAATAACGATCTGTCCTCGTCACGCCGCACAGAAGCTATAGCTAGAGAATCGCCATCATGCGCAATTGCGCAGACCCAAGGCGCGCAGCTGTGGAACTCCATGTACTTCCACCTGCCCAACAAAGATCGCGCCCATCCTGTAGATACGTTGCAAATTTGACCGCCTGTGAGCAAGGGTTGTACCATGTTGCCTTGCAAAAGACTTAAGAGAGCTCGCACAGAGTTTGCTTCCACCGTTCGAGTGTAAGCTTTTGGCCGTCTGATACGTCCTGCCGCGCCATTTCCAACCACAGCAGCAGCTTCTTCATGGGGACCACCTGCGCGTTAGGAATTTTGAACGCCATAATTTATAAAATAAACGAAGCAAAACGTCGGAGCCCAGTAATTACTCATCTGCCGGACACAGGTTAAATGAATTACTACGCGATAGTAAAAACTCTCACGGGCTATTTCGCAGATTGGCTGCCAGGTATATGCGGCCCTTAACGCAGCGGCATATGCCTCTTCGCGGAGAACCAACCCATGGCACTGATCGCGGCGCTGGTGCCGATGCCAGCTCACTTGCGAGCTGCTCGTTGTGAGCACGTCGACGGCCTGCGGGATGTCCATGACGTCGAAGCAGTCCACGTGCCGCAACACTTTGATCATCTCATCCATACGGAGAGCCGGAACGTGGAGTGACACGTTGAACACCTCGTTCAGGCCCATGGACTCCATCACGTCGTGCATACTGGTGGTGCCTGCGGCCCGGCGGAACGGCGCATGGTGAGGACGGCAAGTTTGAGGTGCCCTCCCTTAAGGCCCAGTGCAAGGGGGTCAACGCGACGATTGCGGTCGTTTGTGGATATATTCAGACAACGACGCCATTCGTGAAATCATGGGCGGCTTGGTTGGGGCTTGTTGCTGGTACGATCTTCAGGTGGAGAGTGCTTACGTTTATCCAGAAGTGATAGGCGGAGACAGTGAAGTGATGGGGTCATGTCACCAAGACATGCTGCTGGACAGCACTGGGATATTCCAGATCCATCTTCACGCCGAACCAAGGGTCGGTCACTTTTGGGATACCAAGGCACGCGGATACCGTGGCGTGTGCGTTGCCGGACGCTAGTCAAGGTTGTCAGATAGCGCATTGGCAGATGCTCACCGATTACGAGTAGTTTGTGGCCTGGTGGCGGCATGCGCTTGACAACCACCAAGAGTGCCTGTGGGCCACGAAGGGGCAAACAATGAACATCCAGTCCACGAGCATGGGGCTGATGGGAGGAAGCCACTTCCGCAGCAGGCATCGCGCGTGCAGATACACACGTGTATTTTCCTCAGCCTTGCTTTTGCTGCGTTTACGGGTGCACTGTACCTGCAGAATTGTGTTGCTGAACCGCGGCCCAATTGCAACGTACTCCAGCAGGCGTTCAATGTCATCGAGAATGATCACCGAAAGCGGAGACTTGTATGCGTCCTCAAACACCTTGATGATCTGACTGGCCTTGGCCTGCGCGACAAGTAACACGTCGGCTCTGTTTCACTTCAGTTCAGTGGGACGATACAACGCGGCCAAAACAAAGGCGGCCGACCAAGACGCTGGCGCGGCGAAAACTCCTCCACTGCGCTACGGGAACACATGGCAAATTCACGTGTATAGAGTGGTGAAGATATCGGTATCTTCACCACGGCGTTAGCAAAGACTCGGTCGACCTTGCGGAAGCAGGCAACACAGACCATCCGCAGATTTAAGATACTTCAGCCGTTCCTCTGTCCACGGTACTGGGGGAAACCACCATTATCCCTCCACACCTGCTCGGAGTAGCCAGCCATCGTTTCGCTGGAGACGACCTTGCAGAAGGGAAAGTCGGAATGCTTTGCTGCCGCCGCCGCCAACGCGCTTTTGCCGCTGCCGACTGGCCCTTCCAGGATCACCGACAGCAGCGGCGTCTTGTCGCTCTTCCTCACCTGTCGCGCAGCACTCAACCAGGCAATCGGCGTGTAACAGCATTGCCCACAGGAGAAGGAAACGAAGCCACGGTCTCGATGCTAAAATCCACCCGACCAGCGCATCAACGGGGATTGACGGCGCTGAAGGGAAGACAAGGACTTTAGACCCCAAACAAGGAGGACAGGCAGCAACGAGGGCACTAAGCTCAAGCGAACGCCGGGCCGCAATGTGGGCTCCAGCACTTTCGCTTACCTGCTGCACCAGCATGGACAAGGAGCTCTGCAACTGTTCAAATGCATCTCCGCAAGGGATAATGCCGTGTGTGAGGTACGACTCCAATGTCTCCACGGAAGTGCCGAACGCGGGCTTGACCTCCTCGAGCGCCTTTTCAAAGTCCTCCATGGTCACCTGTAAAACCCACGGTAATTCACGGATAAAGCATTTCAGAGCCGGACGAGGCCAAGGCGTTATATGGAGTTCAAAAGACGAGGAATGCCACGTGTCATGGGGGAATGGCACATAGAGCCAGCCGGGTTGGAAGGTTGCATTGAAGGCTGCCATGCAGGTCTTACAACCTATTAGTTCTGGGTATGGATTATGAGCCTATTATGCAAACTAAGCAGACTTTCTTACCGTCGCCATGCATGGAATGAGCACATGGCCAGGCAACCTGCTTAGGAGGTCCCTACTTCCGGTAGGTAGGAGTCCTAAGACACGGCACACGACAGTCAACCCATGCGCACCTTCAAGTTCTCCTCCTCCAGCGGAGCGTGCAAGTCATCAAAGTTGACGGCCCGGTTCAAAGCGTAGGCTGTGGCATCCTTGACCAAGCCCTCCAGCTCGGCCCCGCTGAAGTTCTTGGTGAGCTCCGCAAGGCGTGCGAGGTCAATGTTTTGCGCGAGAAAAGCATTTTCGCTCATCTGCAGAGAGTAGCGGTGGTGAAAGCAGGAGTATCGACCAGCGCCAGTCGGGAAAAGCCATATAGGGTCATGTCACGGCTTTGGAGGCCGTAACCGAGAGAGCACCGAGGCTTGTAACCCCAAACGTTTTTTATTTTGCTTGCGGAACAGAAACTTTTGTGTACAACATGCAGTACGGAAGCACTTGCTGGGCAGGCCGCAATTCAATGGTCGCCATTCGCACTTCCTCGACAAGGGTAGCTCTCCTATGCCCTTGCACTTCCATAAGGGGAGGCCATGTTTGGGTCCGCGGTTTGGTTTGCGCCCTTTGTCAGCCCCGGCCAGGTTTGCGTACCTTGCTGGTATGGATCTTAAGAATCTGTAAGCGGCCCGCCGCGTCCGGAAGCCCAATCTCGATCTGCACCTCCAGACGCCCTGGACGCAGCAGCGCCTCGTCCAGCATGTCTTTCCGATTCGTCATGCCAATCAGAAGTATGTTGTTCAGCGCATCCACACCATCCACCTAACGTCCCGATAACGGTCCCGAAAATATGCCGCCGCCGTAAAAGCCGTGCCATAGTAATTTGCAGACGAGGTGATAAGGAGCGCCGGTAGTGCAACAAACAAAAGGCAAGTGAAACATCTTCCACAAACCTAACGTACAAATATACACACTGCAAGAAAGGCCGAGGCTCATTCCCATGATGGCGCGCTATGGCATCTTACTGCCACATTCTCCACCCAGGTCCTAACGGTAAAGAAAGGTGCGCCAACAGGCTGCTGTCCACGGCACGCGGCGGCAACGTAACCCTGTTTCCGTCGCAATCAGTTTTCACCGCCTTCTTGCCCTCCGGGTCCCCCCGCTGATTCCAACCCCTTCCAACGCCGGTCTCCACAATTTCCAATCCCACACGTACCTTAGTCAGCAACTGGTTAACGACGGTGTCGTGCACGCCGGAACCGTCACGAACGGACCCGCGCTGCTTGCAGATCGCATCGATCTCGTCAAAGATGATGATGTGCAGCGCCGATGCATCTCCCTTGGCCTGCATTTGCATAGCATCGCGGCGATCAAAATGCCAACTGCAAAGCACAAGCAAGTATAATGCGTCTCGTGAGGATAAAGGCAATATTTCCCGTTCACTAGGACAGGAAGGTCCCAGAGAGCAGCGAGCCAACAAAATGGGACTAGTTGACAAGCTGGTGAGCTGGACTAGAGCGATACTGCCCCACGATGAATCAACCATTACGGGGAAGATGGACCAGGGGACGACATTGTACACTTACCTGTGCTAGCCACGGGTTCTGCTGAGCAGCTGCAAGGCAGCTGAAAGTTCTTTTTCATACACAATTTCAACGCCAAACCCGTTGTGGACCATTACCCAACCGCTTGTGAGTAGTCCCCTACTCCTCCCGCAAAAGGCATGCCCGTTCAGATCCCGATGAGAAGAGCCCCGTACCACACAAGAAGCCCCGTACCTTGTACTCCGCTTCAGCCTCCGCAAACAGATTACGGATGTTCTCCTCGCTCTGACCCACGAACTTGTTTAGCACTTCGGGACCGTTCACGATCTTGGGCTCCTTGCCATTCAGCATCTTGCCGATCTGGCGCGCAATGAGCGTCTTGCCCGTACCGGGAGGGCCTGAAGAGCCGGATGGAACAATTGAAGGTTAAAGGTCGAAGGGCCGTCGGCCGCGACGAGTGGGACCTCCGCGGTGGCTGGGACCTCCGCAGGGTTACGGTGGGGTGTATCAGCGTGTGACGAGAATCATGGCAGAGCAGATGAGGAGTTCAGCCCGTGTGGTGTCCGGCCAATCGCCTGCCAAAGCCTAACAACCTAACAACCTACCGGCCCGTCAGATTCAAGAGACACGACATGCACCTTCATGGCATGCGGCGGGTTCTCTTGCATAATGAGTACGTAGTAATCATTTGGCCGGATACTCCTTTGATACCGCGTTTGATGCGAATATCTTTTTACAACCATGTATGCACATCGCTCAGCACGACGCCCACATGTCCTCCGTCTTAGATGCGTACCGTGCAGCAGGATGCCCTTGACGTGTTTAATCCCCAGGCGCTGAATGATGGACGGCGGGAACACGCGGCTGGCGAATGCACGACGGAAAATAACCTCGAACTGCTGGTCTAGGCCACCAATGCCCAGACTCTCAAAATTTACGGTCTTGTGCTTGAAGATTTGGCTAGACGCGTAGCCCTTCTGGCCTGTGATAGTTATCGGACTGTCGCCTTCATTGGTGAAAAAGAAGGCCGTGCGTCCGGAAAGAACGCCACGGCTGGTCTCCATTGACTTCCCGCCCACATCGACCAGCAACTGCTCCACGATTAATTTGTAATTCCCCGTGTCCAGTTCAAACGCAATCTGCTGGTCCTTCGTCAGGACCTGAAAGTGAGGAGTAAAGAACAGGGCCGGCAAAGGCCAGAATGTGCATTTCGGCTGTCCGGTGTTTTTTGGATGGCTGTTTCAGGAGTGACCGCGCCTCTCTGGCCTAATATGCTTATGCAAAGGAGGCGGGCCGACTTCAACAGCCTCATCCTGACACCGATAGCGAAATACACTGGAAAAGAAAATATTCTCCTTTCCATGGATGACGACGCAGAGTTACGCGAAAGAAAACAGGTATTGGTGCCGTTCCTGTGCACATGAAAAAATGTACGTAAAATATCCTTTGGGGCGTGGGGTATAAGCCGCGGTCGCTGCATCCACACGCCACACAACTCATCACCGCGGACCCCTGAGTGGTTCCTGTCAGATAGACATGGGGCTTCAGGCATTGCTGCATATGGCTTGCCCATCCCTTCACATTGGGTGCAACCTCTCGATGCGGCCAATAAGGGTCAGTATTGCGGTCTGTCCTCACGAAATGCACCACCCCGGGGGCCTTTCCTATGGGTCCCCAAGCTAACTTAGCATGGTTTTAAGTGGCGAAAACGGTGTGGCCCGGGAGACGTGCAGGTGACATGGCAAAATCGTCCGCTGTTCGGTCGACAGCCTCCCATAAGCATTAGCATGCAGACACAGCCTACAGCCTCTCATGAAATCCTCGGCTGCATCAGCTTGCTCTCGTCCCCTTAACTGATTTGGCCCGCCCAATGTTCTTATCTTTACCCTTGCTGCTCCCAGCGCAAGGACGTCCTCAGCAGTACAGGTGTTCGGCTGTATCCTTGCGTGTTGGAGAGGCGGCGTCCTATACTGGAAGGCCAATTCAGGGCTCCTAAACATGTTCATGCGTACCTGACCCTTGGCCTTCAATAGCCGCTGGATGACATCATCTGCCTTTAGCTCCACTGGTCGCACCTTGTCCACGATGCCGGTAACCTTTCCGTACACCATACCCAAGGAAGGAAGGTCCTTATGCTGTGGATACGCCTTAAGAGTCAAGAGGTCCCTGACGGACACCCGCAAAATCTGTGGCAAGACGAAGCGAGACAAAAATATTGCTTCTGGTGTGGTGAAGATTGGCAAACTTGTGAGCGGCATCTTACCTTGCGCTGTACGCTGTTAAGCGCCAAACAGCCATCTTGTATGAGTGCATGAGACCTCAAAGTAAACACGCTGCGATGAAGGTGAGAAGGGTTACTACAAGCACCAGCAAACGAACTGCCTCTCCAATTGTGACCCACAAGCCGCCAGCCTCGACAAATTCGGATCGAAGAAGGTCATCGTGCTCTGATACATAAACAAAATTTGTTGTAGCGGAGGCCTGCAGTAAGTTTGGAAATATCAGCTGTCATCAGTGCCTAAACGAACTTGTGAGAAGCTAACCTTATCAGGGCAGTTATCCACGGTTCGTGTTGACATTCCTTAATGGTGCAAATGGTAGACCAATAGTATAATTAATTAAAAACTATGTTGCCTAGCCTTAACTTTATTGTTAATAAGAACGCAAATGAACGCAAAGTGTGGCAAACTGAATTCGACCTACGAAGCTTACAACATGCATCCATTTGACCCTTCAAGTTCCAGCCACCAGTTCCGTACCATAACCGTGCCGTACAACCACCATACATTAAACCTTTTAGCTTGTCTCCAGCTCGACGGCTCATGCGCCGCCCCGGGTCATACTAGCTCAAGGAATTTGTAACTCGCCCACAATCACGCTTCCCAACACGTTTCCAATCCCCTCCAGGTATTCCGCAGTGCTAGTGGCTGCGAGCGCGGTGGCATCTTTCACCTGTTGACGGAACTTTCCAATCAGAGACGAAAGGTGAATTGGGAAAGGTGGGGCGACTTGGCGGTGTTTGCGGGTTTGTGCAGTCGACAGGGCCAGGAAGGAACGGCCGGCCTTGGGTCCGTGCGGAACCCGCCCGAGGCTAACAGACAGGACCTCCGTATGAACAAACCACCAGGGCCGGATAATCCTCGCAGCTTCCTAGCTTAACCTCTGCAGGGAGAAGGGCCTCGGGCTTCATCTGTGCATGTGCATGTGTGTGTGCGTCTGTGTGTGTATGTGTGTATGTATGTGTATGTGCATGTATGCATGTGTGTGTGAAGGTTACAAGTATCAGACCGGGCCTGACACTGGCCACAGGGGCTGCTGGCCCAGCCCCAGCGGAAAGACCGCCTAAGCTCTCTCCCGCGGACGGGGCGTGAGAGGCGGGGAGGGGCCCCCTCCTAAGCAGCCGAGAGCCGCATGAACGGCTCGTGTGCAAACACCCGAATGAACGCCAGCCACACAACAATGTGGCCTTTCACGACCAAGCATGCTGGCCTCGGCTAGCACACAGTTAAAGCCGGGAAAGGGCATAAAAGTATTACAGCTGTGCTCGCTAACGGGACCGCGGCAAACTAGCTTGTCACATCCCTCAACAGCAAGGAAAGGGTGGTTCAAGGTACGGACCCCCGTAGCCTCGTCATCCTCAAAGTACTCCTCCTCCAGCACCGTATTCTCCGCCACCTTCACCACGACCCAAACCCCCTCGGCTACCTCCTCAGCTACCGCTGAGTGCACCACCGTCGGCATCAGTAAGAGCGCCCTCGCCCTGCCTCGCCGTCACCAAGGCCTCCCCGGCCACTACCCAATTCACCTCGCCCAATATCAGGCCCCAGTTCAACGCGCCAACGTCATCGCGACGGCGCCCTATGTGTAAGAGCCTAGCTCAGGACTTCAGAATATTTCCGAGAAGGGATTCCATTCCTTACCTATAACCCGTTCCATTGTCGAGGGGAATATCGTACAAACGGTACACGTAACTATCTTCCGTAATCCTTGCGGCTACAGCCATACCTGGCAGTATATGGTTACGGCCATGGCTGTAACGATCCCGTACAATTCTGCCCGTTCACGGCCAGACTTGTGTCGTACTTCTTCTCCGGAAGGTGCAACCTGTATGTAGGAATCTCCACTATTGTACGGCATCTCATCCGAGCGCTTCAGACGGACTGCAAGCGACTATAAGACCCCACGGGAAACCCCCGGTGTTTATCAACACCTCCAACAGTGGTTTAGTCGCTGAACCTGTCTAAGCTGCCAGGTAGGCTCTCACACTATAAGATCCATCAGGGACACCGTGTTTGGATATTGTGACGACCTTCAGATGGCCTGCTATCACCTGAACACCTCCTGCATCCAGTAGGTGCCACAGGAACTTGACGCTCTGCCACATTTAATAGCTGTCCGTTGGATACAAAGCCGCTGGTGGATACAATGCGCGTAACAGCTGTCGTACAATACGTCATGCAAATAAGCGAATAATATACGAGCATTAAAGCGAGGGGCCTTTTCGGCGGCCAGGTAATAATAACACCGTAGTGCCGCCGCAGCGCCCACTGATCAGGAGCTACCCTCACTGCTGTGGCTGCTGCCCTGGTGGTGGCCCCGCACGCTGCTGCCCAGCCAGGCGAATGAACGCGCCTGCTGACCCTCCCATTAGCCTAATAAAATCAACCACACACCAGTTCTTCGCATTGCCGCTGCAGCTCCGCCATCCTGACCTTCAGGCCCTAGGGCCGCAACTACTACCTCGATACGGCCTCAATCATCCAGGACGTGCAGCGTACATGCATTGCCTGTGGCCCTGCCGGTGGTATGGTCTGCCACGCTCTGTCACACACCGTGCAAGGTATGTGCGATTACCCCGGGAAGACAATGGCAAGAAGGCGCGCTGGGGTCTGGCAGTGTATATGATCGCTGGCTTCCTCTTGACGGCTAGCAGTCCTTCCTGTGTATAAGTTCCGGTGCCGTTGCGCGATGCTCGCTTAGCGAAGCAACCTTAGCAACGCTTTGTTACACTTACTGGGGATGATAGTCAGCTCAGCTCTCTGCATGAGCTTTATGAAGGCTTAGTTAGGTCAGTCGTGCAGATTGTACAACTTATCCATATGGAACCAGCTCACAAGAGGACGGACTGAACCAACCGGAAACTGTACTGTTCCACAACGGTCATGCCCGCTGTCACGGAACGCAGATGTCTGCAGCATGCTCTGCGGATGAGTAGTTGCACCTGGTCTTGGCAGGTTCTGTGTTTGGCAGAGTGCTTTGTTTGGTGGTGATGGGCCGGACGTTACTGTTGCACGTACTCCCTACAAGTTACTTATCGCAACAGCCACAGGGACAACTTTGGTTGATGTTGTGTGCTTTCATAGCCCCTTCGACCTCTCCGTCCGGTTAAGGGGCAGGGGCTCCCGGGCACGGAATTCCACCTGCGCTTCGTATGTGTATGCCTTGTTGCTGCATGCTAGGACTTGGTGGCCAGGGTTTCGAGATCTCCTAGACGATATTTATTTGCGAGGTTTCCCTTGGGATAAATTTGAATCCACACAAAAAGAACGAAACGCTGCACCACACATGCGCTTACCATTTACATATGAGTTTCAGACCTCCTGACACTCATATCTAAAAAGACAAGCCTGCCAGGATCCTAAGTGACAGAGGGATGAGGCTGACGTTGTTCATTCAGTTCATTTTTTCATTTATTTACTCAGGGCTGGCGTTGAAATGTTTCGGACGAAACCGCAGACACGGGCACGAAGGGAACATGCAAGGTTTTGCTTTGAGTTGCGCCTGTTGCGCTGCCGTGATACAAGCCAAACCGGCAGAACCGGCAGAGGAATGCGGAGGAATGGCGTATGGGCAAAAAGCTATCGATGGCCTTGGAATGAAGGGTTCGCTTTGCCAGGCCGCCAGGTCCCATGAAGATTTACCTGATACCGAATATTCGTAAAAAAAATCATCCACGGAAGTTATCAACTAGTTGGGATTTTTATTGGGCTGGCGATGTAACCTGGCGTAACCGCGCCCGCCAAAAGCAGTGGTCTCCCATAGCTTTCACGCAGTGACAATTAATCGATTTATAATACTCAAGTAAGTTTCAACTTCTTTTGTCGATTTTCCACCGGTCCATCCCCACCGGGCGCTCTGCTCTTGCTCTGTTCGGGTTCCTCACTGACCGCTCGCCTGGTGGCAGCCGGCCGGGCCATAACCGAAATTGCATTCGTTTGATTTACCTACAAGACCGAATGGACACATCCTTTTGAGATATTTGATATGATGGATCTTGTACGCGCTATTGTGTATCTCTAGCCTGCTTTGGCGCAGAGTCCAATAAGACCAATAAGAGTCCAATAATGTTGCAAGAGCTCGTTGTTGGGGCCAAAGCTCCCCAGGTGATTCTCAGGTGACATGGCCTTCAGCTACCGGATCCGTCGGCCTAACATCCGCCACGCGCCGCATTCTCATCTGCTTCCTGAACTGGATTGCATTGCAAAGGTCGGCCCGACACACCAGCTCCTGGTAAACTAACAAGCTCAAAAGGGCCTAACCAGAGCGCCACACATGCGGAAAAAGTCGCGCGTGTGTGTGTGAATGTGAAGGGTTACAAGTATCTGACCCAGAGCCTGACATTGGCCTAAGCTCTCTCCCACGGACGGGCCCGGGAGAGGGCGCGCATCAGGCCCACAGGCATCCAGTCAGACCCATGGGAGCCTAGTTAGGCTAATTAACTCCAAAACGGATGAAACAAAATGGCACGTGTCCAGAATGATACACATGATATAAAATTCATTTCAGGCTTTTGAGATCTGACCTGGTTACCATTGGGCTTTAGGTGCATGGCTCCCACGTATCAGGCGTACAGGCGTGAAGGGCCTCTGCCCCTTCCTAAGCAGCCGAGAGATGTAGGTCGCAGCGTCGTACGCGCACACGCTCTCACGAGTCAAGGCTCCGTCGCGCGAGTTTGCGCACTGAGCCGGAAACACGAAACAAGACTCCTCTCCATACCCGGCCTGATCCGGCTCTTGGGCTGAGGGTTCACGAAGACACAGGAAACCCGGAAACCCTGTACAGACCCTACCCATCCCTACCACGGCACGCGGCCCTATTAGAAAGCTCGGCCTCTCACCCAATTCTCCGTAACGGGGGAGCGGGCAGGGTTCACGAAAATCGCGCTAACCACCTCTCGACGGGCGCCGGGCACGGACTAGGCTAGGACCTATCAGTTCACCAATGATGCTTGGCATGCTTCGAGGCAGCACCACATTCACACAACTCACTCTGATGTAGATTAATATGACTGCAGTTACCAACATAAGGTCCTGGGTTCGATTTCCGAGGAGATCCCCGTCTTAGTCGGTTAAGCCAATATTACGCCCAGCTGCTGAGACGGGGAGGTGAGATCACAGGTATTGGACCAGATTCGCACGCTGAATTGGTGGCGAATGCCGAACCCTCCGTCTCTTCGGATGTTTAGGTGAATGGATGAGGAGGGATCCCTTAAGGCTAGATCCACCGCCTTGGAATTACAGTTCGTATGGCGTATTTCATTTTGGTAGTGGTGGATGGTGCTATAAGGTGATAAATCGTAGAATTGACAAATGTGATAAAGCGGCCCAGAAGCCTCCCACTCTGTAACACATTACACAACTCACACAGCCTCACTCAGTCTGCTTTACAGCCATGAACAATGGGTCAACAGGGGTACCCATAGACGGCTATTCATGAATCATCGCCTGAACCACGAGCGATTGCGCTACACATCTTTCCGCTGCAAAAAATGGTTAGCAAGTAGATAAATGGCAAATGGAGACACACGCACGAAGTCACATAGGCACACATACGCACACCACTATCAGTATGTCCAGCATTAAACAGCAAGAAGGTGCAAAATGCTTGGGTGAATGGCATAAATCCCCTGGCGAGCCGTTCGAGCCGTACGTGGGATCCATACTAGCATGCGATGGGCGGCAAACTGCTCCTACAAGTTTGCAACCTTAAAAGCGTCGTTGCAAAATACGCATATGACCGCAAGGCACTGACTTGAAGCCCTGCTGGCTAAAATTGGGGTAAAGGTAAAATAAAGCTACCTAGGGGGACGAGCGTTGCCATATCCGTACTCCTTGTTGTATAGCTGGCCAGGACGCGAAACATTTTTTGCTTTTCCTCCCTCTCGTCCAAGTCGCAGCCCTAGGTCATACTTTAACTTAGCGCCTGGGGCTCGGTTCTGCTGCTGACGACTCGTCGTCGTCCTGCCTTTCTGGCAGTTTCGGTTGGTGGCCAACTTCCCATGCACCTGCCCAACCGCCCTTTACCGCCGTTGGGCGGGGGACATTCGCACGTCAGAGCAGCTTGCGGTTGGGGAAGCGGGTCGGACCAGGAATCTGCTGGGCAAGAAGTTTAGAGCTGTAGCACGTACAGGCTTCAGGTCCGTGCCTCGCGGCATGGGATGTGGATGAAAGTGTTTAGGATGGGGCCCTCCATGAGAGGACCACAGGCTGAAAGGAAAACTCAGAACCAGAACCTGAGAGAATCTGAATCTGGATCTGGAATGTTCTGTTAGCGCATACCTACAAACAGGATCAGGGAACGAGCTTTGCTTCTCAAAAACATAATTAGTCCTAATGGCTTGGTAATAGTGTTACATTGGGCTGCTCGTTTGGCTCCGCCGTCACGCACCGCGTAAAGGACTTACAGGGCATACGGGCACGGGCATTACCGTGTGTCTCACATGCAAACATTCGGCTTCGAACACTCGAATGTTTTGCGCGATTGATGACATACATGCAGTTCCCTATAGTGCGCAATTTAAAGAATCCAGTTCCACAAGAAAACAGATGATTCCTCGCCTTAAACAAGGTAAACGCTTTGCGGCACGGGCGGCAATACGTGCATCTAGGTCGGACAGGTGCTTCGCATGGCTTGGTTGGGGTATACTGAGGACGTAAGTCCAGCATTGCGGTAGATTAAGGACTGACGTGTTAATGCATGTAGGTTCGCAAGGCTGCATGTTCTGAATCACCTTTCTCGCTTGGAGGGTTTCTTTGCAGCGGGATTGGACTAAAGGTCCACTTGGAGGGTTTCTTTGCAGCGAGATGTTCTGATTACTCGCGATTATTGGCGGTTTCATGGCGGGCCGAAGAAGACGTCGAGGACGTTTGTGACGTCATTTCGACACAGCAGCAGTTGGTGTGATTCAGTGGCATTGACACATCATGCGTTCGTTTAAGCGCAGATAAATATATGTCGCCGAACGGGCCAAACAGTGTTCCAGGCATGCATTGCATGAAAATGACTTTGCCTAACCCCCGTTGACTATGGGAGAAGATAATCATCAGGGGGCCTTTATCTTGCCTTACATCAAGGTCCGTAGCAGCTTCTTACCTTCCCATGCATGCTATGCTTTGAGTTAGTTGAAGAGGTGCGTTAGCGCGTACTGGCGCTACATCCATCACAAGCGCAGAGCAACCTAAAACATCCATAAGTAAGGAATAAAAACTTGAATAATTTTTTGAATTCAATATACAGTTTGGTAAGGGAGGCGCCTGAATTGGTCGGGGAGGCGCCCGACTTCCGAGTCGATGGTGTTCGTACCATTAAGTTCCACGATTTACGGGACATGCAGAGCACATTATATCAAGGGAGGCGTAGTTTTGCATGGGTGTATGTTGTATTAATCTAAAGGATTCTATCAGCCGGCCCTGCCAAGCAGTCGAGGGTTTGCGCAGTGCACTGACCGAGAAAATATTCGAAGGTGAATACGAGTCTGAGATTGTACTAAAATATACCTTTAAGCAGCTGTGTAAGGTTAGGAGGTGTGAGGCCGCAAGGAAGCTTCCGTGTGGAGCTCCGTGCAGTACTTCAATCTCTGTCTTCTTGTTATTATACGCGTTGACATCATTGCCTTAATAGCTCACATGTTAAGACTTTTTCAACCTCCCTTTCATTTTTGGTAACGCAGTACCTCCGTAGCTGCCATCTCATCAAAAAGGATTAATTAACATTACATTTGGACGACTTTCAGCGTTTTGCATCTAAAGGAAGTTCCTAATGTCGGCTGTCGGGAGGCAGTGCATGCCAATGTGTGCCGTTGGCTCTGTGGCGAGGCGACGGACATGTAGTTTACAGTTTCTCCTTCAGGTCCTTCTTCTGACTGCGGCCGGAATAGGTAAGGGCATTGCGGTGTGGGACTCTCGAAGTAAGAGCCTGTGACATTGTGCAATTGACGCGACAGTTGCATACCTGAACAAAGCGGTTACGGAAAACCGGGCATTTGACCACATCCACATGTGCGACAGGTGCCCAGCCCATCGCTCAAGATCCTTCGCCGCCGCGTCCCAGGCCCCCCCGGCCTCCATCGCCGCGGCCTCCATCACCCCGTTCTCCCCCACCCCCACCGCCGTCCCCTCCTCCGTCTCCCCCTCCATCTCCGCGGCCATTGCCTCCTTCGCCAAGGAAGCCTCCATCTCCACCCCGGCCCCCACCATCACCCCCAAAGCCCCCTGCCAAGCCACGCCTTCCGCCCCGCAAGCCACGGGCTCCCCAAAAGCCACCTGCCCTGCCGCCGTCCCCACCCCGTCGCCCTCCTTCACCTCCTCGTAAGTACCGCCCACTCAGCCTCGTGCTGACGAAGTAGCTAAGACGCTTTCTGCCCGCAGTCCATACGCTTCACGTGTCATTGAGGTCATTGAGGTAGATAAACGAATGATGATAATATCTTAGCTCTCCCTCTGCATTTCCTCCGCTTTGGAAACCATTGGTTCGGTACAGCACGGCGGTACCGTGCACACTCTGCTTTTGTCGTATGCAGTCAAGACACTAATACCTTTTCGCACTTGCAGCACATACATACACACATACATGCACACGCGCACACCATTGTTCCTCGGACTTGTGCTATGCTGGATTACTTCCCTTCCCTGTGATCCTCCGGTATTCCTGTAGGACTGTCCGACTTACATACCGACGTACTTGTTCTCCTCCGCACGTGCAGGCACCCGGAACGGTGTCCGGCTGACCCGTGGGGCTGGTCGCATCGGCCGCCTAGAGGTGTCCTTCAAGCAGGAGTACTACCCCGCCCAGTGGGGCTACACGGAGAACGGCGGCTGGGCGCCCCTGTGCGATGATGGCAGCGTTGGCCCCGACGAAGCCATTGTGAGTGGGTGGGGTGGCGTGGTGTGGCATACAGTCCTGCAAGGAGGAAGAAGTTGTCAGTCGTACAAGGAAAGGGTGCATGCAGCTTGTTTGTTTGTTTGTTCCCGAGGCTTGGCAATAGGCTCCTGCGACCTGAAACCGGGGGCAACCTGTGTTGGGGATTGGGGCCGGCCTTCCCCGTCATGTTCTTGTCCCACGTCAAGTAGCGCCACGTAGGTGGATGGGCGCATATGCCCGTGCGCTTGTTGAGGTGCTTGGGACCTGTCTTCATAATCACGAACTTCCTCCTTCCCTCCCTGCCCCTCCCTGCCCCTCCCTCGACCTCGACAGTTCTTCTGCCAGCAGCTTGGATTCAAGACGGGTCGCCAGTACTACGCCGCGGGCATCAGCGACTTTGGAGCCGATGAGGTTATCACGTAAGTCGTCTCGCCTGCCTGCCTGCCTGCCTGCCTCCTCATTCCCTTCCTGCTCTCACCTTGCACCAGCTCCCCGTCCCTGCTGACTCTCCTCTCTGTTGGCTCTCTCTCTCTCTCTCTCTCTCTCTCTCTCTCTCTCTCTCTTTCTCTCTCTTAACCAACCAACCAACTCTCTCTCCCCGGCGCGCAGGCCATCACCTGTGGGTGGTCTGCTGTGCGACGGGTTTCCTCCGGAGATCCCTGTCGGCATGATTGCTTTCCAGAACGATGACGACCCCACCTGCTTCCTGTTCCGGTCCGACTGCAGCGAAGGGGTACTCGTTGCCCTCCAGTGCTCCAACGGTGAGTGCACCTGCGGCCTCGCATGGGTGTACCTGTGTCCCTCCTGCCCATCGTCGCTCCTTTGTCACCTTCCAAACTCCCGAACTCCCGCACCCGTCCCCACACACTGGCTAGAACACAGCGATACATTCAATTCGATAGGAAATACGCACTAGGCCAATGATATAATGTGTGAGGTGCTCTGGAAAGTCCGGCCTCGGCAGGTGCAGACATGTATGATGGGCGCAAACAGAAGCAAAACTCCCTGGAGGTTATGTAGTGCGGAGTTGTGCTTTTGTGGTGCAGTTTACCTGTTGTCTGTGTAAGCTGGGAGAGAGTCGTTCAGGCTGCGTATACCTGACCTGACCTCACTTCATCTGACCGGGCTCATCCAAAAAGGTTTTAGGCCCTGTCGTATTTTGCGTTTGTCTGTCATGGTATCTCATTAGGTCGTTTGGGTTGCAGCTCTTGGGTAGAAAGGTCAACAGCTCGCTCATGCTTGCGTACCCCTGATGGCCTGATAGCCCTGCAAGTCCATAACATGGTGCTTTGCATGCATTGCGACTGTGCCTATGCAGCCAACTTCACGACGCCGAGCCGACCACCTCCACCTCGTAAGTTATCGGTCCGATTCTTTCTCGGGGGTCGAGTGTGCGTGGCAGGACTGGGTTTGCCATATGTGCAGCGTTCCCGGGAATGCGTTCCGTTTATTTTCAACTCATTCTGCGGCCGTTGTTACACGTTCCCATTGCGACGCGGATTTGCTGTGGTTATACTTGCTTTGCTTTGTGATAACTGATTTTTTTACTGAAATGCTGTTGCCCTGGTGTTTAAATTTATGTAACCCTGAAGAAAACCTCGGTTTGATTCCCCATGTGTACAGGCGCAGCAGGGCCGCCGCCGCGCGCGCCACCACCGCCTGATATGCCCGACGCCATCAAAGTCTTGGACCTGGAACCGAACCTGGTAGACGCTGGCGGCATGCGTGCCGGTAATGGCCGTGTGGAAGTGCTGGTCAACACTTCCGCGGGGGAGCCCGTCTGGGCGCCACTGTGCGCGACAGCGGAGGACCTGGCGCTGTTCAATCCACCAGAGTGGGGTTCCGACTATATCCCAGATCCGGTCGCTAACACGTCTTGCAATCAGGTAGGGGCAGTGCATGGCGGATCGTCCTCTGGCACAGCATGGCAGCAGAAGAGCATATCCTCTGTGAAGGGGGCACAGGCTGGTAGGAGAGGCGAAGGGAGAGGCAGCGATTGTCGCGGAACTAGGAAAGCCAGGAAGAGCCGGGATGGCGTGGTGTTCCTATGTGATGTATCTATCAGGCAGGCCCGGTATGATTTGGATTCGAGAGGAGCACGGGAGCCGCTTTCGGTCCCTTGCCTTGGCCCTCGCATCAGCTAGGGGCGCTGCTTCCTCCTTGTTGTACTCCTCAGCCTGTTGCTTTGTCAATGGTCGTACCGCAGGAGGACCCAAGAACCAACACCTGGAATACTGAGGTGATTGGTTTCATCCGCCAGCCGGTCCCAATCCCCAACGGTAAGTCCTTGGTGGCATGGGATAGGGTTTTATTTCACTTTCGCTGTACTATAGCATAGCGGGGAGTGTGGATGCATGGGGACGGGTAACCAACCCCGTGTGCCTTAACAATTAATCCTCCTGATGGGGGTGCATCAACCGGGAGACGGGTGTGATATGATGTTCTGCAACCGCATTGCCGATTATCCTGGTCCAATCCCCTCACCCTTCCTTCCCCACATCCTCCTGTCACCAGACACCCTCCCCGTAAACTCGGAAGCCAACCTGTTCAACCCCGCCAAGTACACGCATTGGGTCACGGTGGTGGGCGGCAAAAACGAGAGCAAATACGCGCTACAGGCGATGGATCTACAGGTGTGTGTACGGATGTCTGTGACGTGGTATGGCCACACGGCGTTGAACTACGGGCGTACCCACAGCGGTCTTCTTGTCCTGGCTGGCTGGATGGCTGGCAGGCTGGCTGGCTGGCTGGCTGGCTGACAGCCTGAATTGGTCTCATCGCAGCTGAGATAGGATGCAGGCGACCGTGTTCGTTCTACCTTTCCAATGGGAACGTATGTGCATAATGTAGATAATATAACGTGAATAATATAATGTGAATAATTTAGTTTATGTATGTGCACAAACATCACCCTATGTCCTTCACATCCCTCGTGGCGCTCTTGCGTCTTGCAGGTCTCAACCACCCCTTGCGCCACAGGCTACATGTACAGCCTGATCTGCCAGTACCTTACTATGTACGGATGAGGCTAGGGGGACGCTGGAGTAGCGAAGGCAGGCAGGTTTCCAGGCATGAGAGAGGAACATGCATGGGGGGGTGGGAGGGGTGCGAAGATCTGAAGCCGTGGTGCAGCTCCGCATGGCATGGCTGGTTGGCTTCCTGCGCTATGCAGGCAGGTGCATACTTCGGCGTGGCGTGTTATCCGTGTAGCTCGGGTGTACAGCTGGGTTTGACTCCAAGTGTGTCCCCCGAAAGTGCAGTTGGGCCCCCCAACTGGTTCTTCGCTCAGAGCCGCTTCGCACCGTATTACATGCAGTCAGTCTACGGGAGACGTTGCTTCTTCGCCCTTGACCGTCAGGTTGGAATGGTGCGCATGCGACTGCGCGGCGGAGATGCCGGGGGTATGTCGGGGTGGTGCGCGGTCCTGATTTGCACGGAGTAAGGACAGCCAGATGATGTTGGGTTGCCGGTGGTGGGCGTGGCTTCTATTCTGGTGCATTGGCAGAAGAAAAAAAGTGCGTAATGGAGCGGGGGCAGTGGTTGCAGAGCTTGCATGATACATGCGTCATGCTTTCTTTTTTAGTTGCGTGCGATGTGATCTGTTTCTTTCTTTCTGTTCTGCGTGGATGCGGGGCCCGGGCGGGCTGTCTCCACCGCCAGGAGTTGGCTGCCGGCGGGCAGGGCAGGTCCCTTGGCTGTCTATCTTGGTGGTCTATCTGCCCCGACGCCTGAATTAAGTTCAACCAACTTCATCATGACCCGTGCATATATAGTGCTAAATTGGCTATTTTAGAGGCAAGCGTCGATTAGCACCCCATTTGCGTGTAAATTGCTATTGCTTAATTCATCACCACAAGCGGCTAGAATAGGCTTTGGTGCTTTCGCAACATCCAAAGTTCCTTTTAGCATGGCTGATCGCGCGATAGCAGACCTCGCGCAGGCGACAAAAGGCTGGTTTGGGGTAATGCTTTACATCTCTGCATTAGCAACATGTGTCCGAGATTTTCTTGTAATTACTTATACTATGTTCACAGTGCTGGAGAATGCTAGTTGATTTGCTTCGCTGGAATATAATTGATATGGGTCCCTTGTTCGGCCTAGGTGCGTTATGTAAATGCTTTCGCCTGTTTTTAGTTTGACAAGAGAGGGGTAGTATGAGTGGCTGACACAAGCATCACGCGTTACTCAGCACATCGCACAAGAACCATGCTGCAAGCACTGCGCAACAATCACGATGGTGGTTGCGAACAATCGCGCTGAGTATTCCTTAAGTTTGCATCTGCCGCTGGGCTGCTGCCTGGGTTGCTGCATGGAGTTTGCAAGCATTAGCATGCCAATTCTAGCATCCGGCTCACAGCAGGCGCGCGCTCGGCGGCCCCAGTGCCGTTTGCCATTCGCATTTCACTTGCACAGACGTCTCAATGGCTCTATCAATTCTCGGCAGGGCCAACGGTGTGTTTTAGTAAAGCTGCGACATTGGCTAGTAATGGCTCAACATAACGCTTACAACTCGCGCACTGCCCTTGGCCGAAACACTTCGGGCGAGGCAGTTGTGTGATGCTCGGAGCTTCTCATCCGCCTGCTACATTTCTCCCGCAACGCACGCACAACACGCTTACCATCGGAGCTTCTGAGCCAAACACAGCAGCGGTCTCTGGTTCGCTGTAATACCTACTACTACAGCAGCGGGCCGTCCGCTTGGTTGACTATTAAACGTACTCTACTTAGATGGCCAACGTGATTAGCTATGGCCTAGGATTGCCTCTCATCATTCTCATCATTTATTTAAGCGCTATTGTGATTTATTAAACGAGGCGTTAGTGATGTTCTTAGATATCTGGCTGGTTGTCCAAGGACAATTAAGGATATCCTAGTACGACCTGCTTTGCACTTGTGTGTAGGAATGCATAGCTGATACACATGCGCGTGTCCCCCACGGAATGAAGGAGCGCGGACAGGAGCTGTGTGGCTGATGGTACGATTCCCATATGGGCACGGTATCTAGAAGGGTAGCTAGACTACCCGTATCCAAATGTAACAAATGGTGCATCCAGACAACCGCGTAAGTGGTGGGGCGCAAGTTGAAGCCATATATATGGGTGCAGCGGTGGCATGGATAAGAGGAATATTGGCTTATACGAATGGGCTTCGTGTTCGTATAGCGGACAGAAAACCCTAAACCCTTGAGCCCTCGGCTCGTATTGGGCAGTTTGCAGGTACGGGGAACACCACCATGTAACACACACAGAAAATGTGCCGGCGGATGGATGGATGACTAGCTAGCTGTGGCAGGCTGTAGGATTATCAACCCCCATCCAAAGTTAATGAAACACATATACATTTTTTATCCAATCAACATTTCTGGATAGGCTTGTCTGATACTTTGCTTGCAAAGGAGACGAGAGAAGTGAGAAATTTTGTCGTCCCACCACAAAAAGTCCAGTCCGAACATGCAGCGAAGAGATAGCGGAGGTAATGGACAAGGACTTCGTTACCACTACGTAGCACCAAACAGAATTCTGGTGGACGGAAGTGCGATGGCTTGAGGTTTCTGGCATAAATCGTTGACTCGATTTCATGTGCTTTCCCTGCAAGGCTAATGCTGCTTGATTAGTTTGGCCAACGTCTGGCAGTGTTCATTATGGGACGTCAATCAAACATAAACGACTGAGATTTACAGTCATCAGGTCACAGTGGACCAGGAGTCCACCCGAAGTGCATGCGAATTCATCCGCCGCCAGTGCAGTCGTAAAATGCGCAGCGACTTTATTCTTTCGGCGGAATTCTGTTACTCCAACAAAACGCCTTGCCCTGGATTTGTGGCCAGGGCTTGCCTGTTTAGTCTACAAGTCGATAAAAAATTCGATTGATTAGATGTGGGGTGCAGGCGGCGGCGGGCGTTTCGTTTCTCCTTGCATTTCTCTTGATGTGACACCTTTTGATATCCTTTTGTCCCGATGACAAAATAATGTCACAAACAATACAATTAATAAACATTCGGCGCAGAAGCGACTCCCTTAAGCGCCCCCTTAAATTTGCAAAGCAAGGGTTCTCCAGGGTTCCTCTGTTGCAAAATGCACAAAAACAAATGCAGGCTGGCTTTGGAGGCAAAACAGAGCGTGAAGGGGCAAGCACCATGTCCCCCGGGAGCAGCGGTTTTGTTGTGGCACCAATAGCCAAGTCAAGGATGAAAACACGTGTTCATGGAATGCCCAGCCTATAATGATGTTCGTGCGGAAGAGGGATTCGATCATCAAACAGAGCATGCATGTTGGAGGCCATGAAATGGGAGCCAGCACGTCTGGCGAGGATGTTGGAGCATATGTGGGCTCACCGCAACTCAGTTATCCCCTTTGGGCGCTAGTCTGGGTGCAGTATGCAGAAGGCGACGCAACCACAAAGTGGTGGTATCGAAGATATCGATAGAGACAAGTGGTTTGAATAGTTAGTCAATGGTGACTCCACTTGGGCCTAGTGCCGATATTATTTCGCTGCTGCTGATGTTATGCCCTGCGGGCGTGGATATGCCCTGCGGGCGTGGACATGTGCAAATGGACATGTACATGCATCTTTAGATGTCGCACATAGCTCTTGGTGTGCATAACTACGTGGAAGTATGTGCATAGCAAGCATATGGCCGCACTACCTACATACGACAGACACTACCGCTACGCATAGGTGTGTGCGTGTGTGTGGGGGGGTTGTTACAGTGGGCTCTAGACTCACGAAGAGTAGAGCCAGCGGGCCAGCTGGCCGTGCGCTGCACTAGAGACTAACATGTAAACGAGACTCCCCCCGGCTTTTACGGACACACCCGCACTTGTGTGCGGAACTCGTAACTCGTAACTCGTAACTTGTTAACGAAAAGCATCCTCCGATAAAGACAAGCCCGTATACCCGAGTGGGGACCCACGAACTTGCATAAGGTGACCCTGTACCCGCGTCAATACCAATATAACGTCCATGGCCCATCCAAATGAGACAACGCAAGTCATCTAGACGGCCAAAAGCGCGACCAAAGGAAGGCTCAGGACCCACAACCATTAGTAAATGAGGCCTGAGCCCCCAAAAGTCCCCCAATTAAAAGAATCCAAAAAAAGCAAAAATAGGTGATAGCTAATCGTCCACCGGTGACCGCTCCTGTGAACATAACACCTCGCCTGACACAATTCGGTGATGTGACCCAACAGGATCCAATCCTTTCGGTGAAACTCCCAGCGCTACGAAACCCCGAAGGCGGCCCCAAAATTCAACAACAACTCACAAATGGCTTCTTCTGTTAGGGAAAGGCCAGGTAACAGTGCCGTGTTGATCTTTATGGCTGCAGCCCTATATCGTCTCCCATCTGACACCGCAGCAAGAGCCACAACATCCCAGACACATTGTTGCACTGTCTGTGGGGCTTGGACAAGTCAAAGTTGTTCCCGTGACACTGGTAGCTCTATTGACAGAGTGAGTTCGTCCGCTGCTGCCTGTGCCACCGGACAAGCCCAGAAGTGATGACAGCGAGGGGATACACCTCCCAGGGAGCCTACTGGATAACCTCCACGAGCACACGCTGCTGGCCGCGACATCCTGAGATGGGAACTTTGTAACAGGCACCCAGGCTGGGCGGCCGTAGGAATGGAGCTCCCTACGCTTGTAATGCAACCCAAACGTGCGCAACGAAAGGACAGCAAGACAAATAGGCTGAAGAAAGCGATACCAATATTTGCAATCCCACAGGGCCCAGGTATACGAACGGGCTTGCTTGCTTGGCCTTTATTATTGCTGATTACCTTGCTCTGCAAATCTGGAGCGCGCACCGATCGGTTGTGCGGCTGTACAACGGCGGTCGATCTTATTACTGCGCAATACGCAGGGGAGACTGCTCCTGACGACCCCTCAAGTTTGCAGTGGGCTTACTTGGCCATACATCATTAGGTCGCCTCCACCATCGATCCATCCGTCGGTCGTCGATCCGTCGGTCGTCCACAAGTCGCGTTGCAGGGACCCCCCTTCCGCCCCGCACTGCTCCAACCTCGCGGGCGACAATGTCATCACCACAAAAGTTCTTGGAAGGTGATGGCGTCCAGCCCCACATCCAAAACGAATGCACACGCAAAGAAAAGCCATTACTAGCAATCAAGAAGGATTATCAATACAGCTCGCGCATCCAAACCTCGCGCACATGCGCACATGTAACAATTCAATTAACAATTCAATTCTCATATGTAACAATTCAATTAACAATTCAATTCTCGCTTAGTTCGGTTCGCAGTCTTCTGCGCCGCTGTGTTGCCTAGCCAGGGGCTGGGCGAGCGTCCCGGTTGGTGTGAGTGAGGGAATGAGGCGCGCGCGGAGGAACAGATGGACGTAGAGCCGCGCGCCCGTCCCTGCGCTGTGTTCCGGCCCGGTCAGGGCCCCCGGTGCTCGTCCTTTATCGGGCGAGCCGCCCACAGTGTAACAACCCATCAACAATTCAATTCACAATTTAATTAACAATTCAATTCAATTCACATGCGCACATGTAACCTCACAGCGGAAGAAGTGCCTACTGTAGCAGCTGGCCGCGGCCAGCGGCCGCTGAAAAGGCCTCCCGACTCGAGAGTCTCGAGATGCTGATCAAGCGCTTCGTGTTGATTTTCGGCCAGAATTTCTTACTCAAATGTCCATTGCCTAAATGTTCGTAGACATCGATAGCCGCAACGAGTGCTTGAATAGGCTGTGTCTCAACCCGTTGCGCACGTTGAGTCCGACTAGTGTACCTGCTTTATACCTGCCTTGGGCCGGGGGCTGCCTGGCAGTTGCCTGTTTAGTGCGCCCACCTAGTACCGCACCTTGTCTTGTGAGTATTTCTGCAGACAGGTTTCTTACCTATGCAGCTGATTGTAAGTTCCGTGGGTTGCTTGAGACGTCTGCTTCGTCACTTAGGCTTACGCACGTTTCAGCTCATGGCGCCAGCCTGGCACGCAGCTGGTCCGTCTTACACACTTCGCGCGTATTTGTAGTTGATATGTGTGCCGTACCGTGCACCCCCTTACGGCCCCATACAGCAGCCTGTGCCTACCATTGCCTACCCCGGGGCTGAGGGTGAGCAGTCCACGTCACGTCACGTGCCGCCCACGCAAGCGCCTAGATGTCTTTAGGTTTTCAGGCACAGAGTCTTCCCAGGCAACCACAGCTACATTTTGAGTCGAGTTTTCGTGCAATTAGCAGTTGTCTATCCCGAAATCCACTTGCATGGGTCGTCGGGGTCGACCTGACGACTTCAGAATCGTAAAGATGTACGCGTCTGACTGTCTTGCCAGAGGAGTACCCATCAGATGGGAAACAACCGGGTGTGCAAATGGCGAAGTATAAGCACTGGATGGGGCTGCCCTTTTCAGATATGCCCGGGGATATTCAGATCACGTTTTAGATCACGTTTATGATAAGGTACTCCTTCGGGGAAATACTTTCTGCCCTCTTCCCATTGATTTAATCCTTTTACAAAAATGCTCCAAAGTACTTTAAGCTGTCCAATCATACCAAGGGCTACACCTAAGTGGCAACCGGTAATATCAACCGAAGTCAACTTAAAACCAGGTAAGAATTTCTCCAGTTCAGTAGCTCGGAGAAGTACTTTACGGAAATCAGCTCTAAATGTGAGATAGTTAGTACCGGCAACACCCCAACGCCCTGGATTGTTAGGTACCCAAGAATATTTTGTTGCGAAGACGTTTGACACTTGCATTTGTAATGTTTTGCAGTTCGTTAACGCGCGTTTCTGAAACCATTCCCTTTCAGCATTCTTCTTTTGACACTTGCATTCTTCTTTCAAAAAAGGAAAGTCCTCGCGACTTTTCTGTCCCAGTTTTAGAACCACTTTGCGGAGAACTACCGTAATGATACGAGTTTTTTCTGACACGGAATTGGTATGGCGTCCCCAAATGCATAGCAGTGGAAAAAGGTCTTAGGCAAAATTTTATGGGCATCACCAAACTGGCTGTCACAAATGTGTCGTACACCGTGTTAACGGTATCGACCAACAGTAAAAGCCCTCCAGAAGACGCTGTTGGCTTGTAGTTATCTTCGTCTTTTACCCCTAAGTTGATCGGACAAGAACTTTAGCTTACAGGCCCACCCTCAGAAAGCGCGCTCAGAATGGCGCCTAAACAGCTTAAGCTTACTAGCCTTTTACCCAAGCTCGACACCAATGCTTCCATTGAGCTCAGGGCAGGCATTACCAGCGTTCGAGTGGCGCCGGAGGTTGAGGCTGCAAGGACTGAGCGCGAGAAGGCACATGCCGATGAGAGGATTGCAAAGCTTGCTGAAGCGGACGCTGAGGCCGGCAAGGCCATCATTGAGCAGGCCACGGCTCCTGGACACCAGCCAGTTGGCAGGCCCAGCAATGCCAAGCCTTCCCTCGCGTCGCTGCTGCGCTGTTTGACCGGCGAACCGCTTCCCGTCCCCGAGCCCGCGCCGACTCCGAAGAACAAGAACAAGTGGGCTAAGGTGGCGCCTGTGCGTGGCAACTACGAAAAGCGCAGCGACGAGATCAAGCGAAGCGTAAGCGCGCGAAGCGTGAGCACGCCCGCGGGACGCCCTGGAGCCGTCACCAAAAGTGTATCACAACTGTAGATTTTTCTCGTGACCGTCCCCAAAATTGCATATCATCAAAATAATTTCAGCGTTAATTTTGGGCCTTCCCCAAAACACGTATCAGAAAAAACTCGTATCATTACGGTAGTCAACAAACATGTTAAGTCAAAGGCAGTTTGTACACGTGGACCTAAAGCTCGGTTAAGTGCACTTAGTAAAGGGTTCTCATTAAAGAACTCAGTTAAAGTCTGATAAAACTTTTCCCAGGAAGAAGAAACATTAAAAGGAAGACTCCAATTTGCCGTCACTACAGTCTCTATATGCATTGTCCAGTTTTTAATCTTTTGGTATATTTGTGTATGTTTGTTTCTTGTTTCTTGTAGTACACTGTTGAATTCTTGTGGCAGATAGCTTTCAAACTGTGGTGTAAACTTCTTTCTTAATACTTCTGTGGACAGAAGTTCGTCTGCCGAAGGTTTTGCCTCGTCTGGCACAAGGTCCATAAAAGCAAGACCGGTTGTAATTGGTAAGATATTATCTTTACAGCCCCAATCTAGTAGTCCATATTCATCCAATTTATCTATTATTCTTTTTAAGTCATTATCCAAGAACATTCTATTTATAAAGTTTTCCTGTTTTCTCCAATCATAAGTTTTAATATTATTATCTTTTACGAGAGAGCAGATAAAGTAAGCTAAAGGTTGTAGTACTCGTGATTGCCAAGTAAAGTCTTTATTGTGTAGTTTATTTCCTATCCATTTTATTAGATTTTGAGGAATATTCATATTTTCATTTAACGGAACTCCCCTTCCAAAACGAAGTATATTTCTTTGAGTGCTTTCCTGTGTTACTGTTGGTGTTGTTACTGTAGCAAATACTTGTGTTTCTTGCGTTTGTGCTGTAGCTTTGTCTTCGTTTTTCATTTCAGAATCTGGCTTGTGAAGACTATTAGGGTTGGTGCTTATTGTGTTGTAACCCTTTTGTTCCTCTTGTTGATTTTGTTTTGTTGTTGGAACGCGTTTGATACCTTTGCCTTTTGGTGGTTGGTGTGTCCGCGTTCTCTGATGTGTCTTGTTTTATTAATAATAGCGGTCTATCACAATATACTAACTCCAGTTCTAGACCCTTCACATGTTTTTGTGTCCAGAACTTGTCCCAGTGTCCTAATGACTTATTCCAAATTTCTTTAAAAACTCGCTTATCTTTGTCTGGCAACTCTTGTTTACTGATTTGTTTAAGGACCTCTAAAGGTACTAGAGTTATCTCTGATTCATTAAGTAACTTAGCTATTGCTTTACGTCTCTCTGGCGTTACTTCGGGTTTGTATTCTTCTGTTATTACACTTACTGCGTCAGTTTTATCTTGATGTAGTTCGGATATGTGGCCAACACATGCTAAGGTTTTCATTCCTCGTTTAGCACATCGTAAGCTAATGCAGTTTCGTTTATGTTGCAGGGCTTTGGAGGCAAGCAGAGCACGAAGGGGCAAGTACCACGTCCCCAGGGGGCAGCGGTTTTGCCGCTGTTGTGGTACTAATAGCCGAATCGAGGATGAAAAACACGTGTTATTGGAATGCCCAGCCTATAATGATATTCGTGCTGAAGAGGGCTTCGATCATCAACAATGCATGTTGATGAAGGAGGCCATGAAGTGGGAACCAGCACGTCTGGCGAGGGCAGTCGTCGCCCGCCATCTGAAAGCTAGCAAAGAATCCATTCGAGTTAATAGTCACCGACTAGCCGGGTCAGGAAATGGAGTAATAATAATACGTTACATACTGAAACAGCCTGCTCACGTTATGCCCCGCCCAGGAACTGGCTCCGCACCGCACACAAACACAGGAGGATCTTTCGCACATTGTTATAGACGAAACCGATGTCTGCAACGTAAGCCAAATGTACCCTATCAATGGGGCGGCCCGCCGCCGATGGCATTGCCAGGATTGGCAAGTAAGCTTGGGGCGCAAGATATAACAGTAGTTGCATGCAAGACGATTACTAAGCTATCAGTTAGCGCCAGCGAACACCAGCAGCAGACGACAGGAGACGCAAAAACACGCTGCTAGAAACGGAAGCAAGACGATAAGCTTGATCAAACAATGATAAGGAATATAACAATTTGGCAGCCGTAAATAAACAGAAGGAGAAATGAGACGAACATGCTTCATCACTGCCGCGCACGCATACTGCAAGTAAAAGCATACGAATGTGTAGTAGCAAGAAAAAGGAGTTTATATGTTACCTCTCTATGCGCTTGCTGGCAAACCTGCACTCATTAATTTAGGTCCATAAAAAATTATTGCACCGCCGTTCCACAAAGAGGCGCAAGTGCGTGTGGTAAGTACGCGGTACCGATCAGCCCGAAACAAAGCATTAGCACCCATTCAAGAAGAAGCTTTACTTTCTCCAAGCTATATTGCGAATGCTACCGCCCAACGACTACCGAAATGTTGACCGTATTAATGAACGTTGACCCTAAGCCACAACTGATTGGTATGTAGGGCAGCAGGCCTTTGAAGAGTGGCCATCGAACAGTGAGATGGAGCTGTGCACATTCCGTCCACGTAGTTAGGTTGGTAGTCGAGCAGTGCATGCCATGCGAGGTAGAGGCCGGGGAAGAGGGCGGGGAAGCACTTCAATACGCGGAACACGTGCGCGCGTTCAAACACGACTTGCGTAGGTTGCGTGGGGTACGATCTAATACTGGACCTTAACAAAAAGAACTCGGGGCGATACAACGGCGTAAAGGCAGCAGCAGCAGCAGCAGCTCGCACAGCAACGGCCAGGAGAGAGCGAGCGAAGCACTGCGAAATACGTCGCACTGACTTACCAGACATTAGACACGCAAAACTCTTGCAAAGAGATATCGTTCTTCAGCTCCATACAAACCTCTGCACCGTTAGCAGTTGCCCGGTTCCAAGTCAGGCCAGAAACTGCACGCAGTGAGGTTAAGAATTTGCGGGAGGAAGGCAGGGTAAAAATAAATAAACGATGTAGCAATAACAAGCTAGTAAAAATAAATAAACGATGTAGCAATAGTAAATTGTAAAGCGAAGTCCTCATGTGTACGCTGATAGGCCATGATTAACAAGCAGGAGAAAAGAACAAACGGCGGTCAGCAGCACCTGTATTGTTGCAGCTAGTTAAGACGCACGAGGAAGGCGCAGGAATGCCGCCGAATGTTCATGTAGTAATGGCGACCAGTATCCGTTGCCTACCTTTGGCCGTGTTGCTGCCCTTGTCGCCCCAGGATGGGGACAGCCACCTGGTCTTGCCGTCGGGGGTCGAGAGGCGAAATCCCCGCAGCTTGCCGCGGCGGTCCTCGTCTGAAGCGCAGGTAAATTGATAGAGCGGGTGAGGTCATTGACGTGCTCAATGGTAAGGCCGTCAGCGCAAGACCAAGCACTGAGCAAGATGCCGCACAGAAACAGAAACAACGGTTTACACAACGAGGGCAGCAAACAATCAAAGTCTGTCCTTCGTTTGCGCGGCCCAAACTCACTAGCCCAAATCTCGACCTTGGCCACCTTACTGCTCGAGTTGCAGCGGCCCTGCATGAACACAAAAGTAAAAGCGTCACACGACGGGAAAGAGTACAGCAGAGCTCTTGCGCCCACTTAATCTAATCGTGTTGTAGCCTACCGGCAGCAGAGCAAAGTCATTTGGAAGGACGCCCAAGGTGAAGCAGTACAGTGTCGTATCATTTGTACGGCCTTGCTCAGACGACGCCGAAGGGCTCACGTAGAAGGGTGTCGAGTAGCGTTTCCGTTGGCACCTGTTGTATCATCAAGGTTGGAGCGTTTAGCAGCACGCAAGGACGGCACCGCTCAGAGACAAAAACGAGTTGCATAATTACCAAACGCCGACATGAAGACGTTACACAGACTACTCGTCGAACACCAACAAATTGTTACACCCTGATTTTCAACCCCACTTACCCGCAAAAAGGAAAATCGCTCTGTACCAAAGAGCAAGTCCGCGACTTTTCAACATCCATGCACTTGTCGGTCGTAATCCGGAACGAGTAGCCGTACATGACGGGAGTGCAGGCGCTTGCAAACGAGTACACCCAAAACTGCTCCGCCTGAATTCGAGTCCACTCCTCCAGCTGCGCAGCATCAGACTCCGAAGCAAACTTCCCGCAAACACTGATCTTATCGGAGCTGCACTTGCTGGCGTCGACCGAGAAGTTTTGCGCCAGCATAAGGCCCATCGAGGCGGCCTTTTCGTTAATATCGTACGAAATAGAGGTCTGCACTATTTCACATGTGAAACTGTCAAACTGGTACGGCGGAAACACACGGGCTGGATCAATCGTCAGGTCAATACACATGTCGCAAGAGGAAATCGGAGGTGATGGAGAGGGTGGGCTGGGGGATGGTGGCGAAGGAGATGGCGGCTCGGGGGATGGCGGCTCGGGGGATGGTGGCTCGGGGGATGGTGGCGAGGGAGATGGTGGCGAGGGAGATGGTGGCGAGGGAGATGGTGGCGAGGGAGATGGTGGCGAGGGAGATGGTGGCGAGGGAGATGGTGGCGAGGGAGATGGTGGCGAGGGAGATGGTGGCGAGGGAGATGGTGGCGAGGGAGATGGTGGCGAGGGAGATGGTGGCGAGGGAGATGGTGGCGAGGGAGATGGTGGCGAGGGAGATGGTGGCGAGGGAGATGGTGGCGAGGGAGAGGGAGGTGAAGGAGAGGGAGGTGAAGGAGAGGGAGGTGAAGGAGAGGGAGGTGAAGGAGAGGGAGGTGAAGGAGAGGGAGGTGAAGGAGAGGGAGGTGAAGGAGAGGGAGGTGAAGGAGAGGGAGGTGAAGGAGAGGGAGGTGAAGGAGAGGGAGGTGAAGGAGAGGGAGGTGAAGGAGAGGGAGGTGAAGGAGAGGGAGGTGAAGGAGAGGGAGGCGAGGGAGAGGGAGGCGAGGGAGAGGGAGGCGAGGGAGAGGGAGGTGAAGGAGACGGAGGCGAGGGAGATGGAGGCGACGGCGACGGAGGCGAGGGAGATGGAGGCGACGGCGACGGAGGCGAGGGAGATGGAGGCGACGGCGACGGAGGCGAGGGAGATGGAGGCGACGGCGACGGAGGCGAGGGAGATGGAGGCGACGGCGACGGAGGCGAGGGAGATGGAGGCGACGGCGACGGAGGCGAGGGAGATGGAGGCGACGGCGACGGAGGCGAGGGAGATGGAGGCGACGGCGACGGAGGCGAGGGAGATGGAGGCGACGGCGACGGAGGCGAGGGAGATGGAGGCGACGGCGACGGAGGCGAGGGAGATGGAGGCGACGGCGACGGAGGCGACGGCGATGGAGGCGAGGGAGATGGAGGCGAGGGAGATGGAGGCGAGGGAGATGGAGGCGACGGCGACGGAGGCGACGGCGACGGTGGCGACGGCGACGGAGGCGACGGCGACGGAGGCGACGGCGACGGAGGCGACGGCGATGGAGGCGAAGGCGACGGAGGCGAGGGAGAGGGAGGCGAAGGCGACGGAGGCGAGGGAGAGGGAGGCGAAGGCGACGTAGGCAAGGACGGAAGCGGTGGCGAGGGTGGCAACGGAATTGGTGGCGACGGCGGGTTGTTGCCACCGGTGCGTGTAATTGGGCAGCAGTCCAGCGAGTAATCAAACATGGCGGCTATGCACGACCCCGGCGCCATGCCATTGGGTGGAACGCACAGCTGCTCCAGCGTGGTGCAGCCCTGACCGGCGCTGTTGGGTTTGAGGGTGATGCAAATCTTGGCTCCGTTGCTCGTCAGGTTGAGACCTAGCTGAGTCACTCGCAGAATGCTGCTACCCGGCGGACCATCTTGGGGCCGATCAAATGAGGGACTGACTGCTGTGGGAACACCGTTGACAGTTGCCGATACGGAGGCGCCAGGGACCAAGCAGCTGCTGTACACGTTGAACTGTGATGAAGCGATAAAAGAAGCAAGGTCCAGGGATATGTATAAAATGCGTTGGATGACAAATTCGGTTTTGGGAACGACACAACGCGGTACGCTAGCAGTGTGGAAATCGTAAGACCGAGAACAAAGAGTAGTAACACAAAATTTTTATTTTAAAACTGCGCGTTGATACTGCTGGGTCGATGGATAGGTTTTCTTTGTTAGGGTCGCTTTTACCAAAACTGCTAGACAGATGGCGTTGCAGAACTGTCGCGTCGCGTGGCAAATAATTCCAAGCATCTTTGATTGGTCTTCTTAGATGTAAAATTCGCAACCTTGAACCTGCCCCAAACCGCCCAAGCAGCCGGCGCACCTCAATTTTCTTCAACGGGACATTGCAGCATGTTTTGTTGCAAGGTACGGCCAGCAGGGTGAAGCAGTACTGGCCTCCGCCCACGTTGGTGACGACTGGGGCGAGACTGAAAGAAGCTTGCGCCCGAGCGCACAAGAAGAAGGGGAAATAGGGCACCGCACCCGTCTGTGTGTACGCGAGCTCCACCGGCGCGACCTGGGCGGTCGCTCCACACGCCCTGCAGCCAAGCGAGGAATGAAGGAGCAGGCAAAGCAAAACCGGCAAAAGTGCCGTCAGATCAGTCTCGCGCTTGCTCTTGGATCATATTATTGTCACCAAATGAAGTGGATTGCCAAGTTAGAAGGTGGCCAAATATATCGAAGCATGATTCAGAGCAGTAATGTTGAAATATTGCGAGACGTGGGCAACCAAGGCAAACGTGAGGCAGCCTGCTGGATTGCTGCTACGCCCATCTCTACCTAATAACACATCTAAATTCAGTCCGTCACATTGCTAGTGCTGGGCAATCAATCGTTACCATGCAAGTGCCAGAGCCGAAGCCACGAGGAGAAGCGGAGGCGCCATGGTTGGGTTGGCGACTTCCGACTGAGGAACAAAGAACGGACAAGGCCTTTTATGTGGTCCTGCGTCCGGCCTCCCCTGCACCGCCCGCCAGCAGTTTACCACGCATGGGCCTAATGCACGTACGGCGCCACGGCGGTTTCCGACGACGCAAATCCCAGCGATGCCTGCCGCAACCTTACTACTATTGTCACTTGTAGAAGATTATAGGAAATGATGGAACGATGACGCCGCCCTAGCCATGGGCGTAGGTCCTACAAGGTCCTTCGAAGCGCGCGGCGTTCAGGAATGGAGGCACTTTTCACAGCAGGTACAGCGAAAGCATGGTTTTGCATGGCTTTGTGTTTCGGCCGTTGCTTATTATGGCCGCCGTAGCTGATTTTTGAATATTAGTTTTTTAGCTGATTGTTAATTAAACAGCCCTGGGCGGCAGAGAGAGTCGGAGAGACGGAGTTTCGTTTTGCTCCTAGCTCCAGCAGCAGACTTGGTACAGATGGCTAGCTACTACTGGGATTCAGCCGCCTTCCTCGCGAGACCTCGCGACCTCGCGCCCGTGGAGTCGGGGCATCCGGCGGGTCAACCACCCGCCACGTGCATGCGTGCGTTGAGACACATACCTGCCGTCGTTCGTGAGCTATGTGTTATCTTATTATAATTTCACTTGGGTTTATCGACTCGCTCGGAAGCTCGCAAACTGAGTTAGGGCACTAAAACCATAGAAAACTGGGCGCTGCCGGCAAGCTGGCGAGGTATTTCTAAACAATGCCACATAGATAGGCGCAAAACGAGGCATTGTGTTTGGGCTCTCGAAGCTAATTTTTGTGAGCATAAGGGCCAGGCACGCCCAAAAGGAGTCAGAGCGTTCAAACATCAAATTTAAAAGCCAGTCGACTTCATCATCGCCGGTTGATGCGCAGCCGAGCCCGGGGCCCAAGCAGGGACGAGAGCGAGGACCGCTCTCCACCCAGCGACTCACAAGTAACCCTTTGGCACGATTTGCGTTTGCGCACTTGTTTTAACAGGCATGTGGCAGATGCGTAAAATCCTGGCTAAAGGGCACGGATCTAACTTACCTTTCGAGCATCATCACTGCTTGCCGCACCCTGGCCTATGACGCTAAACCAACAGCCCAGTTTGTGCCTTGTTGTATGATTGTGGGAAACTTGATCAGGGTCATGGGTGGAGTGCCCGTTATATTCACACAGCAAATTTGCTGCATTTAAATTCAGCGTGGCCTGTGCTGAACCACCCTGGCATTTGCTAGCAGCAAAAATAATGATGGGACCAGATCGGATGGTCATTCTGTTGGCATTAGGATGGCCCGGCCATGACTTTCTTCCTTAGGGAGGGCAAGCATCCGTCTAAGTTACCTGTGATACAGCGGCGCTCCATACAGTATTGTTTCCAACGCGACTGTTATACCACGGCTTCAGAAAGATACCGATCGGCGGATGTGGATCCCGTGATATGTCCCGGATACGACGGCAACACGTTGTACCGGCTTAAGGGTGACAGCAAACCCCGTGCCGCAACTGCGCCAGGGAAGCACACGGAGCTTATTAAACACATCCGCAGGCTGGGCATTTGGGGCACTTTGGCGCTCTTGCTTACGAGTTACTGCTTATTGAGTTCTGTGCTGCTTTTGGTATGCGCTGCAACGTTCGGAAATGTGAGGCCCTTGTTGTGGCTGCTTCCGTTGATGTCGTTAAGAGGGCGTTTGAGGGGGTGAGGCTCATGCTTCCTCTCCGTACTGATGGGTCGCTTTGGCACCCACCCATGGTTGGTAGTTTACTTGTTCCTAGTCCTATTAACTGGTGTGGTCGCGTTAGGTACTTGGGTCTCTATTGGGGCCCTGCGTCCCCGTTTGCGAGTTGTGTCAACGAACTTTTGGAAGCAGGGCGACGGGCTATGTTCGGTCTTAGTAATCGGTTGGATGAGAACAGGGTGTGGGCTCCTGCCGTTCGGCTTCAAGCGTTCGACACCCAGGTCCGTTCGGTTCTCTGTTATGGTGCTGAGGTCTGGGGTCCTGATAGGATTGTCTCCGTCCTGCGGCTAGGTAAAGGTGTTTTACCCGCTGGTAAGTCATATTTTGATTTGGCTTTGGAAGATGGTATGGTCCAGGTCCAGCGTGACTTCTGTTTACGTTGTGCTGGGCTCAAGCAGGTACCTTACAAGCTGTTGTACAGGGAGCTGTCTCAGTTGCCTTTGCAGTACTTTTGGTTACGCCTTGCGTTGTGTTTCTGGAATAAGATAGTCAAGTCCCGTGGGTCGGTCTATCATGACGTGTTAGTAGATGATCTCCGTCTGGCTCTTCTGTCTGATCTCAAAGTGGATTGCTGGTCGTCTAAAGTGCTCATCATTTTGCGTTGGTTGGGCCATGAGTGGCCGGCGTGTGACTCCGTTTCTCAGAAGGTAGATGTATACTCGTCTCAGTTGATTCGAGTGGGTGAGGTTCTGGAGAGGTTATCTGCGTTCCTTTTAAGTGACTGGGATCAGTTCAGCCATGGGGGTGATCCGCGTGTGTTCCAAGGTAAAGGGGTTTCGCTTTGCAGGTATCATAACTGGATGGGCTCCCCTTCACCAGCAAGAGAGGGCTCCGATCCCACAGGCTATTTGCGTGTTTATTTGCCGGCCAACCGGTTGCGTATGGTTGCCAAATTCCGTCTTTGTTGTTGGCCTTTGGAGGTCAACAAAGGACACCATAGGCCGAGAGAGTGCCGTACGTGTCAGGTCTGTACGTCGGGTAAGGTTGAGGATGAATACCATGTGCTCATGGAGTGTGAGGCGTATACTGAGTTGCATAATAGGTTTCTGATTAACGTTGAAGATACTGATATGCGCAAGGTATTTCTTAATACCAATCCGAGGAAAATCGCTACTTTCCTTACTGAGGTTTTTGATGAGCGTCAACAGCGTGCTCTGGAGCCTCACGGCTCGTGAGGGCACCCGCCGCGTCGGCGGCGGAAATACTGTAACCACAATACAATACAATACTAATGGATGGGCATGGCTCATCATGTGGCATGTATAGTAGTACATCACTGTGCAGTTGTGACCGGTGTCAACACCAGCTTCTCTATGCAGACCCCGGAATTGAATCCACTATACATCTCCGGCTTATTCTCCTGCTGGGGTTTCGTTCTATGCGGTCCCTTCAACAAAACGGACCGTGGTTACTGCTACATCATGGTCTGCATGGAACACTTCTCTAAATATGTGGTTCTAATCCCTCTGGCCAACCGCCGCACGTCGCACCACATCTTTCCGCACCACGTCTTGGCGAGTGGAAAGGGGAGTTCGTGCAGGTTTTATGTGATGCCCTAATAGATCATCTCCAGACATCGGCCAGTCATCCCCAGGCCGACGGCCTGGCGGAACGTGCATTCCAGATGTGCAAAAGTGCACTGAGATGCATGCTGGTGGCGACGTCAATGCTTGGGATAATCACTTGCCCAACATTATGCTGAGGCTACAATTTCTCTGTCCAGCGATCATCGAGTGTCCGTCCATACCACGTCATGCATGCTGTGGAGCCTACAATGCCGCCAGCAATTAAGCGCTTTGAGGGCATCATGACCTTGGATGATCCTGAGATGACAGCTAAATCAATCATGCAGCAAGCAGCAGCACTCCGCCGGCAAATGGCCATCGCAGGAAGCAACCTACCAATTGTTCAGCACTGAGATGCTCTCCGGTATGCGTGCATGAGG